CGAATGATACTTAGAAATGTCTTTCAAAAGTTGGGTTTTTGGTGGTGAAATCAAGCAAATTCGGACTGAGCGGGGTATTCGGCTGTCCCAGAATTTTGCCCTTGTCCCAGAATTTTGCCGCCCACTCTATGAGTGGGGTTCCTTTTTAGTCAAACCCACGAGTATCCACGGCAGATGCCGCGCTCCGCACTTTTCCACCACCTGCGATGACTCACTCCCTCAGCATACACACAGAAATCCTACGGGTTGGGCTGATGGTCTGCTCTTATAACAAATGTTAACCGAAAATGAACATCACTGACAGATTCCTTACATCGCAAGAACGGCAGAGGTTGAAGGAGGAGCTGCTAGCAACTAATGATGATTTCATACGACAGATCCCAAAGGTCGAATTGCACATCCACATCGATGGAATGGTAACACCAGAGCTTCGATGGAAGCTAGCCGAAAGAAATGGATTAGAAGTGCGCATGGGAAACGACAAGGTCGTCATTGAATCTCTCGATGACTTGAAGAAAGCTTACGCATCCGTCATCTCAACCTCTCAACGCCACAAATATGAACACCTCGGTCCATCTCTGATTCCACCTACGTTCTTCGAAGCCTACTACTCTGGCCATGAGGTCCTCCGAACGCGACAAGACTTTTATGACGTCGCGTTGGCGTATTTCCGAGGTGCTTCAGAGATGAATGTGCGATACTGTGAGGTCTTTTTTGACCCGCAAGCACATACTAGCCGCGGTGTTTCTTGGGAAGATATGATGGGAGGACTTCGTGATGCGCAAAATGAGTCGGCTAGGACCCTGAATGTAAGACTCATCTATCGAATTTGATGGACACGTCTAATGCGCTAAATGCTAGGTCAAAGTTGCTTGGATCATGTGCTTCCTTCGTGATCAATCTCCAGCTTCTGCAATGGAACACTACGAAGCAGCGCTTCCATATCGAGACATGATCATTGGAATTGGACTAGATTCAAATGAACACAAACGGCCTCCGATCCTGTTCAAGGAAGTCTTTCAACGGGCCAAAAATGACGGTTTCAAAATCACAGCGCATTGCGATGTCGGTCAGGAAGACACTCATCAGAATATTCACCAGCTCATCTCACCCTCCGAAGAAATTCTCACACATCGCATCGACCACGGTCTAAACGCATCAGACAAGCCAGAGCTTGTGGAGCTTATCACGAGCCAAGGCATTGGCATGACAATCTGTCCCTGGGCTTATCTAAGGCGCTTCAATCTCGAGGAAATTGGCCGCCGTCTGCGGACATTGATCGATGCAGGTGTCCAGATTTGCATTTCGAGCGATGACCCTCCCTTGATGGAAGGCGCGTGGATTATGCATAACATACTGCTCGCCAGGCAGCTTTGTTGCTTGAAAGAGGAAGATATTGTAAAGATGATGGCAGATGCGGTAGAAATCTCTTGGGCAGTTCAAGACGTGAAGGCGGAAGTTTTGGCAGAGCTTGGTGGGAACGCATATAGATCTGTTACTAATAGAAACGCTAAGTAGAACCTATTAATCTTTAAATTAATTTATAGGTTTTTATTTGATTCATAATGGATATAATGATAATCAAATATCTCGATGATTGGTCGACAAGGCCGAGAAAACAGGATTATTTACACGTCACTGGCATAACCTCTCATGGTCGTCTTTATTATGTACAACCCCCTCACTTTACTTATGGCATCATCGTGCGCTTCGAATCTCTGGTACCAATCGATTGAATCTCAGAGAGACAAACCCAATGTCGATATCTGAATGGGCGTAGAACTCATTGTCTCAGCTCTTGACAGGAGGTGATCTTGTCCATAATTGAATGCAAATATGGGGCCAAATGTCTCATACACGTCACGATAGTCAGAGCTTGCTACATTGCAGTTAGTTTAATATGTATGTGGTTTTTGTTCGGGTCTAGCGTAGTTGAGCTGAAGGGAAAATGGCTTGTTACTTGTCGCCCACAGTGTACAAAAGGCAGCCAGTTTGCAGCCATTGAAACATTCTCTGCCAGAACAAAATATATTCACCATTCCCCATCATACACTTTTATCACACTCTTCAATATGCCCGGTATCGCTAGTCTCTACGCTGAAGGTGCTGATGATGGCACGAAGCTCCACGTCTTCTCCATCGGCTCCGACAACAATCTCCAGCTTCATTCTCGTGATGAAGGTGATGTAAACGATACTCCTGAGACACATGACTTCAGCACCCAAGGCATTGAAGGCACTATTGTCAATAGTCAGATCACTAGTGCACAACTCGTTCTTGATCTGAAAAAGAGAGATCTCGTTTACTCCGAGGGTGTCATTGGCTTTACTAACAAAGACGATGATGGCGAGTCCCACAATGTTTCTGTTATCAGCCCGAAGTACATCTCGCTTGATAAGACGGAGAAGCATAATTTGACCATTGCCTCGTGCTTCTCTGAGTGTGATAGTTGGGTCTACTATTTCAAGTAAGTACTCTTCTTTCCTGGGTAGAAAATAGACTAACAGTCTGGAAGAGGAGCCCAGGATGATCGCATCTTAGTCGAGTGTCACCCCGTGTTGGGCGAGTCACATGAGATAGACGACACTATCCAGATTGACAGCAATTCATCTCTGGCAGCTTACTACGATGCCGAAAATGAAAGACGCTCTGTAATCATCCAAGGCGCTTCCAACAGCACCTTCTACGAGTATTATCCTGAGGGCGATGGAGACAGTATGTGTGAACATTCCCTTCTGTTTGAAGCAACCTAACAGAGATCCCAGCCCAACGCTTGAAATACACCGATGATGCACAAGCTGGCACCCCTTTGGCTGTTGTATGTGTTAACGGAAATGTTTATCTCTACTACACGAACCGTTCCAATGAGCTACGCATCGTGACCAAGCAAATTGGGAGGAGTTGGGGTAGTCCTCAGGAAGTTCAGGGAAGCCCAGTTGATACTGCTAGCCAGTTGACTGTTGTGGCTAGCGAGAAGGGCAATCACCTGTTCTATGTGGCTGAGGGCAGTGACGAATCTGAGATCAACCATGTTCTCCACGTACGGTAATCATACATAGTTAGTGAAAGGATTATGCGAGGAGGCTTGAATTTAACTTAGGTTTCCCACAATCCACTTATGCATCTGAACCTAGGTTGTGAACGTGGCGCTCTTGAAACCCCTCATTAACCAATCTGACTTGCTTCAAGATTGTCGGAATGCTATGGCGTGATGCCTCAGCCACTGTTTCAGAGAGGGATGATTGTGCCAAAAGGAGACCTCAGAAGGGTCATTTGCCAAGGAGCCGTGGTGAAAGCTAGACTTCTGCACAGTTGCTTTTACCAAGCTAGGCAACTAAAAACAATCGAATGGACATAATTTGCGATCAGGCAGAAATCACTCACTAAAGGTTCGCGCTCGCGTGAAGCAAATCGGCTCTGGAACAAGAAAGCTCAGGCAATCGGAGGTCCGAGCGGTGGCTGGGAAACAATCACCCTACAGCCAAAAGAAACGCCGGGCTAAACCCCAGTTAAGCAAGAAATAGTTGAATGAAAAAGGATGTTGACTTTGATTCCTGGATATATCTCAATGCTACCAGCATGTGGTACATAGTAATTCCTGAGCGCTGAGCTTCTGTGCTCTTCTGAAAACAGCCTGTGACAGGGCCCCTCATGGTGGCCTTCAGGTTGTCATATCCCATTTGAATCGCTTCATTGGAGACTTGGCACATTTTTTGGATCCGCTTGGTTTGTGAGATGGCTTGCAGCTGAATCCTGGTGCAGCATCGGCTCCAAATCCTATTTGCCATTTCTTATCTGTATTGGAGAAGCTGAAATGCAATGGCGGCAAGCCATGCAGTTGCTCCCAAAGGTAAAGGGAGAACGAATGACTCATGGCAAGGGGCGTTCAACGAACTGGAGGATACGAATGCAAACGTTTCATTATGCCCTGATCCAATTGATCCAGCGAGACAATCCATATCAAAGATACCCTTGACACATACATGATTTGCTGATAAATCTATAATGCAGGTCTAAGCCGTATTAGCCTTAGTTAGGCCTAGATTGAAAGGATTTGACGGTTCTCAAGCCTATTCAATGCAACAGCTGTGTCTTAAAAAAGACAATAAATAGGCCCTATGCTTATTGGATTACTATGAGTGATATGCAGGTGATTAGGTTAACGATGATTGAAGAATACATGACCAACCGGCCCAGCTTGACAGACGGCTTAGATCGATTCTACATATGAAGTATGAAGCTGCCCCTAAGTGAAAAGATTGTTGATTTAATTTGACTATGGCCTCGTCTCAATACCATCCAGTGAGTTTACTCCCGCGGGATTCTAAAGACAGGATACTCCATTCCCGCTTCAACCGGAATGATGTTGAACTTGACATAGCTATCAATATTCTCTGGCTCGAGAGCGATAAACGCCAAAGCCGCATTTTGTTGCCGCGTGCTGACATGATAACTTCCGACCGGCAATACTACTTCTCGACTCGTTGAGTTGGTGGTAACTGTGTTGAGATACGTGCCTTCATACAGCTCTGGTTCAACAACCGAAGACTCAATTGTCAAGGTTTCCAAGGTTCGTCTAAATTCGTAGTTCATTCTCTCAACTTTCAGTCCCAAGATTTCGAGTCTCTCGGCAACGTCAGACCAAGTTCGTGGGATCACATAAGCTTCGGGCCGGGGCCTGGTGAGATTGGCAATAGACGGGGTAGTCCGCTGGAAGTCGATTGGCACTTGAATAACACTACCGTTGCGAGTATCAACCATGGTAAAAGTCCTATTCTCTGGGACATACGAATCGGTAATGACGATATCCTCATCGCTGTTGATAAACTCATCACGGGCATCCTCAACAATAGACTTGACCATCTCACAATTATCGCGCGCCAGCTCGAGGATCGTCTGAATCTTGATGAGAGCAGTCGCAACACGACGCTGAAAATGCTGATTTGCGATACGAATACCGCGCATCTCAAGCAAAAATGAGATCGTTTGTGTTAACCCAACGGCATTCCGACCGGTACGTGCCTCGGTCACGGCTTCAGTAAAGCGAATGCGTGAACCTTCTGTGCGATTGGAAGGTCCAGTTACGTAAGGCTCCCAGCGGAGACCGTGAGATTCAAGCTTTTCGCCAACTGCTGGGATGAAGAAGTCGAGAAGCTGCTCACGAATCTTGGGATGAATGTTGGGGTTGATGCCACCTGAAAGGAGAGAGTCGGCGCCGTGCTGGTAGTGGCCGCCGTAGATTGTAGGAACAGTGAACTCGTCTGCCACGAAGGTTAGTTATGGCAATTGATGGGCATTGATGGGCACTTACGCATGTCGAGCGCTATGTGAGGGTTCCATTCACTGACAACCCGTTTGATCTCCCTTGATTGACCGCGCATAAGCTTCAGATGCTCTCGATTGGGATCAAGGTTCGACGCCAACTGTCTCTGGAAATATGCAACGCCGTCGACATTATATCGGGGAAGGATCTTGATGTCCATTTTGTCCAAGATTGACTTGGCCCATGCAGGCTCGGCATCCATCTTACCCAGCAACGCAAGGACAGACTCATCAGCAGCTGGCTCATTACCGTGGATTGCGGCTTGGAGATATATGCGCAACTTGTCGCTGCTTGAGTTGGTGTTTGGCAGGGATAGGAAGACATACGGAATCGCACGGCCTTCTTCGGATTGAAAGGCCGCTGATTCGTATGTCATCCAGTCATGCTTTTGAGCCAGACTGCGGATGAAGTAATCTTCAAAATATTAGCATGTATCCTCGAAGCATTGGCATTGGTGGTCTGACCGAGTTCAATATCATCAGTGGGACCATCAGTGCCGTTTGAGAAGCGAGCGGGGACCTTCTCGGGATTCAAAAATGCAGGTGACCGGAGAGTGATGTTGACATCGGGGAAGTTTGCCGAGACGAGGTCAGAATCTTTGGTAGTAGGTGCCCAGTTCTCGCCATATTGGAGACCTCTCTGAATACCACCAGACTGTCCTGCGACAACAGACACGACAACCGCGAAAGTAATAATTCGTTGAGCCATTTTGGAAAGACTCTAGACAACTTGGGCGATCGTTAGAACGTCAACGGTGATACTGTCTATTACCTTGCGGGAGCACCAGCCTTTAAATACGACGCCTTGCATTTCCGTGCCACTGGCCACGGCCGTTGATCGGAACTTGTTCTGAATCCGTCCATCGCTTAGAGACGATCTTCACATTGCATTCGAGTATCGTGACATCAAGTAGGATTTCATTGTCAATTACCTCCGCATTCTAACCAAGTTAATGCGAGGGACTGACTGACGAACTGAGGGGTATGCTTGGCATCAATGATACTCTGGAGACAGTGGATGATGGGCAAGGAGAATTACCGAATGAGGTAGGTCGGTAGATAAGCTTAAGTAAAACTCCGGAATAACCCGAATTTAGTGCAACGTTTATTATGCTTCGCTGGAGACTCGGAATCCGCATCTCTTTCGCGGAGCTGGCCTCCGTCCCGGCATCCATCCCGTCGTATTGCCGAGCATGGTATCCAGACGACTGGCACGAGACTGTTATGAACCTCTCTTGAAACATGGCCCGATGCATTTTGTTAAAGCTATATGAAAGATTACTCTGAGATGAGGGCAATCTACTGACAGGGTCACACGATGCACATATCATTCTAGGAGACCCTACTCCTCGGTTCCCGCAGCGTGTCCATTAGTGGGACCCTCTCGAGGAGGCACCTCGACGAGCACCTCACCAGGCTCCTCATCAGCACCAGCTTCCTTGTCATACTTCGCCTCATCAACGCGAAGGACGTCATGTGCCTGCTGAAAGTACGACCTGACCTCTCCCGAAACACTTTGCTGCTTCTTCTCCTCGCGTTCGAGTTTCTTGATCTCAGCTAAAGCCTCAGCAGGCCCCATGTTCCAAAAGGCCTCATAGGTGAGCGCTCTGATCTCGGCTGAGTTCTTGCGAACATCAACCTCGAACAGCTCTGGTAGTCTAACCGACGGCGCCCAGAGGCTCAGCTCGTACATGAACTGATCAGGATTGACAACAGCTGTCCATCCTAGGATGAAAGCGATGGAGAGAAGAGGACCAACGCCCGGCACGAAGCCTAGACCAAAGCTAATAGCATTCTTGAAGAAGTCCTCGAACCAGCTTCCTTTCTCACCCTTACCCCACTCAATGTTCAAGCCGCTGTGCGCTTGTGCAATGGTAAGCCAGCTAAAGTCATACGCATCGCTGTACGAGTCTCTAACAGACACTGTTCGGACAGTGTCACGATGGACGAGCTTGATGAACTTGGCCTGGTAGGGGTTCACCTTTCGGAAATGACGAGGGCAACTCAGAAGTTCCGTCAGGCCCGTGATATCGAAACCTATAGTGTGTTCGCGCCATACACCGAGGCCACTAGTGGCGTTCGTTTCGTGACCCATGAAGGTCGAGCCTCCACGCCATATGTCCACGACTCTGTTCTGTGTGAAGGAGACTTGCAGCCACATGCTGAGGTTGGGATGGTCCTCGCTAGCAGAGAAGGCTACAGGGATGTAGATAGCTCGAATGCGAGCAAGCATCTGTGTCATGGCTTAGTATCATTCATAGTTAAGAGGCGAGACCACTGGCTATGATACTTACATCGATCCACACCCACCGTTCCTCTTTAGCCGGCATCGGCATGGTCATGAACCAGGCCTAAGGCATCGTCGTCAGTACATAACATAATGACGAAACAGAAGAATGTCTACCTCGGCAGCATCTCCTTTCTCATGGTCCTTGAACCGGTTCCCACTGGTGCAAAGATTATGCTCAAGGCGCCTTCTGATATCTGACTCGCGTGGGCCATAGCTGAACGGAAGTTGCTTCCAGTTCCCATAGTGGGTACCCCAACCACTACCAGTGACGATGGTGTAGGGAGAGCGCTGGTGATAGTGACCGTCCCAAGAGTTTGCATTCTTGGAACCGTGGTCAGCCTCTACGTTCCAGATGTACTCGACCATGAAGTGAGAGTAGAAGTGGGCGGGGTTGTCGGCCTGGTAGTGAGCGGGGTCTTTGTTGCGCAGGACGCTGCGCATGAAGAAGACTTCTCCCTCGGGGTATGGGATGGCCATGTTGACTAAGTTCTGTAGAAACCTCGTAGAGAAAAGATAAGGAGAGATCGGGTTGGAGATGAGATCGAGGTTCAGCATACATCAAGGGAAGAATATCCCCTTATATAACCAGAACAGTTGGGGAAGCTGAACCTCCTGGGCAAAGCCATCAAGCGGCCAGCCTAAATCGACTGAATGCAGATTCTTCTCCTCTTGGATTAGCCGGAGTAAATGAAAGGCATGAAGCGTATCAACTGAACGAAAAGGTCTTGGATCCTGGCCATCCGAAAAGTTTCATCTGAAACTTGCATCGGGGCAATTCAACCAAATCCTTATCTCCCCACTCGAGTCAGCGAATGTGAACGCCATCAAGGCCATTTCCATGAGGACTACCGAAACCGAACAGAGACATCTGCGAGTAGTCCAAGTTTGGGTGATATCAACACTCCCGAAATACTCGTATGCATCGAAATGTGGGACCGGTGTATCTGCTTGTCTCAGTGCATCTGGCCTTTTACATCTCCGAGCCGGCATTGCATATTGATAACACTCACCGCTTTTTAAGAACCAGCGTATCGAGAATGGAGAGAGAACCCTGGAGATCACGGTTGAAACCTATGACGCAGGATACTATACTGTTCTCTGGGCACCATATTGAGGTCACATTGATAACACGAGGAGTTGATGGCCAGGCTTATCAACGGTGAATATACCGTAAAAGCAATCACTGCCAGTCGCTCTATGGTACTACTTGCATCTTTGAATATCCCTACGTGACGAGAGGGCTGAGCGAGTAAGAAGGCAAAAAGATCCGAGACATGACATCAAGATTCAGAGACGGCTATAGATCTCTTTCCGTTCATATGCATCCGCTCCACAATTTGTAGAGTCAATGACCCTTACATTGGACAATGGATGGCGATAGGTTGTAATACGATTTCTCTTTCGAAACGAGAGAGAAGAGGAAATATAGAGGGCCACGATCGGAGCGGCCCGAGCCTCTTCCGAAGATTGATACCCTAACCCCGATATGAAGCCAGCCACGAGTTCTGACGTATTAGTTTCTTCTGATGGCGGATGCGATGGCACTGGAGCAACGGTAGGATAGACCAAGCATTTTCTCATAAGTATTTATAACTGTTCTTACCTATCGTAATCCTTCATATGTTCCCAAACACTGGCTCAAGATGATGAAAAATGACATTTTGATTCCATTCGTGAGCCTGCTTACTGTTGAACCGCGAAGGCTGGCTTTAAGTGACTGGCCAGTCTGGGCCAACCATCTTGACGATTGGGTAATATGATAAAGTCATAAGGAGAGAAGCTTCAGCTTTAGTACAAAGGTGTCTATTGTAGGACATATGCTTTGCAATAAGAACTTGGGAGATGGCAGAGGGGAACCCAAATCACTTCGAATCAGCTGTCACCAAAGTCATTTATTCCAAAATCAACACAGGGGTGACTTAAATTGGCTTAGAGTAAGTCGAGAAGATCAAAAGGGTATGTTGAATAGAGATGGCCAGATTAAATCAATTATAGGAACAAAAATCAAGCTTAGAATATCAAGGGCAAGGGGGAACAACATCCTTGTAAACTAGACTGGCTGTTATTGATTCACCATCAAATCCAATCTCATGACTTCTTCCCACCTATACCCGGAAATGCCCCACACTGCCGTTTCTGGCGGTACTGGTTGTTGATCAATTTCTTTCTATAGGCTTGAAGATATTGCTAAAGCCTTGGCCAACGTCATAAGTAGGATACGACAAGCTGCAGTCGTTGGGGGCTATTTTGTAAATTCCGGGCATGTTATAAGTATAAGGCTTGACACAATCAAGCCAGAAGGAGGATCCAGTAAAAGTGCCATCAGCTTTCTGCATCAACGATCATGAAACTATTCGCAGCAATCTTCCTTTTGGTGTTTCCAGCTACAGCTGTCTCGCTGTCCAAGCGTGACTGCAAATCCTTCGATCTCAGCGGCACAGGACGCAATGGATGGTCCAGGATGGGCCAGCCATTTCGGGTATCAGAAATCGTAAAATACACCGCTGAAAGAGCCAAAGAAAACAGCGACGGCAAAGGAAACTGCAATATACAGCGCTATAGAATGGGAATCATCGCCAACGCAACTATCAACAGCACTGACGGCGCAACCTATCATGCACCAGCTCCAGCAAACCTCAACACTTCCATGACAAACAAAAAGGCCATCATCGCAGCTCTCAAAAAGGATGCAGGGCCACTGGAAAACGTCACTCTGGACAGACTCGTCGTGCTGCCGTTTACTGCCCCTTTCAATACAACGCCTAACGGGACTTATGGGTATTGGACATTTACGCCTGCAATGCAGTGCTGGCGAGGATATCCGAAAGACTGTGATGGCGACTTGGAGGATGATTTGGACGGTTATGCGGCTGTGGTGTGCGGCTTTAGGCTTAAGAGCAATGGGACGGATGAGAATGGAACTTTGTATGAAGGCAACATTAGTTTCGTGGAGAGGGACGAAAAGGATGCCATTATAAGGTTTGAGACTAGGCCGTGGCCAGAATTCAACACGGCTCGTGAAATGGCAAGGGAATGGGATGAAGCTGATGTAGACTCAGGGGCCATGAGATATTATGTAACATCAAAGGCAGCCATCTGGCCATCTCTTGCTTGTCTATTTTTATTTATCTGACATAGAAACTCATATTTCCACATTTCATTGAAATCTTGTATCAACTCACGGAGCCTTCTCACACATGCCACTGTTTGTAAGTATAATATGCCCGCGCACATGGATACTACTCAAACCTCACGTCGCTCAAGAGAAGAGTGCGCTAAGCCTATCCAGTAGTGCACTGATATGACCTTGAATTCCTGATGTATCTAATAACGAAAGGTTATGGTGGTAGGGTTGAAAAGGTTACATGGGAAATGTACCGCCAAATAAACACTCAGACCTGCAGATCTCAAGATGAGGGTGATGAAAACAAGTAAAAGTACCAGCCTTGTGACTCGGGAATTTCCAGTTTGGCATCTTGAAATTGTTGGTTATCTTCATGGGCTGATCGGATTGTTTTTATAGGTCTCTGGGCAGTCACGCCACCTTGGCGAACGTCATTGAAGCGACAAGAGCTGAAAGAATTGGGGGCTATTTGCAAGATCAAGGCAGCGACGAAAAAGATAAAAGAACCTGATTCAACTCTTGACATGTCCGCAAGGTAACAGTCAGTTTACATGTTCATGATAATGAAGTTTACAATATCCTTCCTCGTATTCTTGCCAACCGCATCGATGTCGCTATCCAAGCGCAACTGCAACCTTCAAGCTAGGATCGCCAAAGGACTCCAAAGGCTACTTTGATATGGGAGACGCGATGCGACTCTCTGAACTCGTCAACTGCAACGCAGAGAGAGCAAAAGAAAATGGTGACGACAGGGGTAATTGCAAGATCCAGAGCTCCAAAATAGGCATCATCCTCAATTCAACCATCACCGATGGCGACAATATGCCTCTCGATACTTGTCTGTAGAATAAGAAAAGCATCCTTGAAGCAGTGCGAGACGTAGCGGACTCTAAAATGATGGAGTACGTCAACTTGGAGAGACTTGTAGTGATACCATACACAAACTCATCTCTCGTCATACTCAAAGGCAAGCGTGGGTACTGGATGTTTGTGGCAGATATGAACTGTTGGCTCGGAACACTGGATGACTGCGATGGTGATGATGGTCTGGACGGTACTGATGTGGTGGTTTGCGGGTTCAGAATTGATAGGAAAGGGAGCAGCGAGAGTGATACAGCGTATCGTGGCAGGGTTGAGTTTGTGGAGGATAGTGACCCCAACTCTAGGGTCGAACCTGGTGTTAGGCCATGGCCAGACTATGACAGGGCTGTTTAGATGGCTGAGGAATCGGAGAAGAATGATGTGCATGTGGAGGAGTCATTGGCCACGAGGTTTTACAGTGTTTTCCCGACTCTAGTTTTGTCATCGCTTGTGTCCGTATTTATACTAATTTAATCAGTCAGCCCTGGTGCTTGGATCTTGCTATATGTAAATGGGCACGATTGGCTCACAGAGGTCAATTGGAGACCTTTTCACAAGTGCCGGCCAAGAAACCGTGCCGGTATCATTTACCGGCATAATGTACCGGCAAAGCTAAAATTTGTCAGTGCTAGTGAAATCACCCATCAAGACTGCTCTTTGGCCAGCTCTGGAATCCTGTCCCGCATGGTGCCGGACATGAGACCGGCTTCTCCGTACTAGCGGGTTTGGAAGAAGTATAAATGCTCCCCATTGGCAAGGCCGGGAGTCCACGTAGATGGCGATCTTTTACGGTAAATGCATATGTACTCCGATTCCCTAGAGTGCAGTATAATAAGCGCGTCTTAACGTGAAAGAAGAAGCTATTTTTACGAGATCTAAAGGGTCGGCAAGATGTCATCAGACCTGACCACCGTTTCAACATCACAGGGATGCCCAGGTGAGCAACACCAAAACTCAGCCAGCCATAGAGAACGAAGCTAACTCTTTGTGACAGCAATCGGACCTTATGTATAACTCCTTCTCAATCGATAGCAGCATTGCACTACTAACTCTTACCGCAAGTCCCAAGCTGTAATCGCCGACCCTTATGTCTTCCTCTCAGGCCAGATCCCAATCGACTCAACCGGCAAACCTCTTGAAGGAAGTATCGCAGACAAAACTCACGCATGCTGCAAGAGCGTCCAGGCAGTCTTGTCAGCGGCCGGCAGTGACATAAGCCGCGTGGCAAAGGTCACAGTGTTCTTGGATAATATGAAGAACTTTGCCGAGTTCAACGCGGTTTATGAGACCTATTTCACTCATAAGCCGGCTAGAAGCTGTGTGGCGGTGAAGACTCTGCCTAAGAATCTGGAGGTGGAGATTGAATGCGTGGCTTTGACGAATACCAATGGGCCTCGATTGTGAACATTGGAAACTGGGGTCCCAGAAAGAAGAATAGCCAGTTAGCTTTACCCTTTAGTTAAGAAAAGACATATATTGAGATCTCAGTATCATCTATCCACACCCAGACGGAAAGGGACTTGATGTGCAGATGTGTTATTTACAGTTAAGATCTGTGGCTGAGAGCTTATATCACCATGCAGAACATAGAACATGATGTGCTGGTGAAAAATCAATGGATATTTAAGAAGACTAAAGACATGTCAAAGTTTGCTCCGCACAGCCGCCTCCTCGATGGTAGCGGACGTGGCCAGATCTCGGACCTTCAAAGCCACGCCATAGCTATATGTATAACCCAGAGTATTGAAGCCATAGGCGTGTATCACGTCATCCTCCCGCTCCAGGTGATATCCTCCTTCTCTGCTCGGTCGGAACCCAACCAAATCCTTCATGACATGCTTGTCTAGATCAACACCCTGATACTGGTCGTTCATGACGAGCTTCATGCGTCGTAAAATATCTGACCGTACTTCAGGGTCAACCTTTTGATCCATGTTGCCTGGCTGACTGACTCCTCCAACAATCACGCCGCCACTGTACATCCGCGGAATCTGGTAGGTGTAATGAGAGCCCTGAAACATGACCATTTCGTGAGAATCACTTTCGACAAGCATCGTCTGGCCACGAACGGCGACCACTTTGTTGTCATTCGCAAGGTGGAAAGCCCCTAGGCCTGACGCGTTGACGATTCTCTTTGTCTGTAGAATTGACCTGGCCTCCTCAACGGACTTGACTTCAGCGCGGATGAAACAAACCCCTTTCTTGTCTAGCACCGCCTTAATCCAAGGCAAGAATACTGCTGGGTTGACAGTCATCGATTGATATTTGAATCCGATTTTGGCGTTTGCTGGAAGATCTTTTGATGGCAGACGGCGATACTTGGGTACCATACGTTTATACCAGATAGTAGAATCATCGTCTCGGTCATCATAGTACTCAGTTACATCTACCACCTGATAACTGATTTAGCTGTGAATACTTACGGGTAAATGACATCGATAGACCACCTACCTGTACTCCACTTGTCGGATCACGATGGGCGAGTGCCCAGTAGAACTTGAAGCTCTCGGTCTGCAAATCATGTCCTTTGTAGTCCGGGTGGGGAAGAATGCCAGCACCAGCCCTTTACACAACACTTGTCAGCTTTAAAGAAACAGTCATGGGGGCTGAGTGGTCCCTACCAAGGGCTTGCCCACTGCTGAGAAGAATCGTCCCCAGGTAAATCACGGGCGATGATGGTCACAGAGTATCCTGCATCGACGAGGGCAAGAGCAGACGTGAGTCCGATGATCCCAGAACCGATTATGCCGACTTCCATTGTGAATGCTTTTAGCAACTTTTTTCACAAACAGTTTACAGTTCTTGGAAAATATCCCACCGGATGGGGCATTGGTAGCAGTAATTTGAGGGAATCTTGTCCATCGATAATGCGATTGCATGTGATACAAGCCGGTGCCGGTCCTGACAATTAGAGGGTGGCGAGCCTCCTGCAAGTGGAGATTTTTTAGCAGCCAGGCACTACTGACCGGCACGTCGATTGCTGAGCACAAGAAATACCGCTAGTCAAGAATCGGTAGGTCTTCTGAGAGCGCTGAGGAATGCCGGCGATGAAAGCGGGGCCGTAGCCCGGACCCTGGACTGTGGAGACATCCCGGCACCTTGACCGGCACAACCGGACAATAGGGCGGCTTTGTGATGCGACTTGCATCCGGGAAAGAATCATCATTTCAATATTATCGAACCCCCCAGCTTGTCATTGCAGCAACCCTTGGCTTAGAAACTTAGCAAAGGCAAGTCGAGGCATAACATAATGAGTTCACCTAAAGACAGAGTACTACTGATCGGCAGCGGTGGTATTGGCACAATTGCTGCTCTGAATCTCGAAAAAGGAGGTTTGGCTGAAGTCACGTCTGTTTTGCGGTCCAATTTCCAAGTCGTGCGCAGCAAGGGATTCACGATCAGGTCTTGCCAGCATGGCGATATTCACAATTGGCGGCCTACTGAAAGTAAGTTCAGCCTGTATTCCTGAAACCTCCAACAAGATGAAGAAGGTCCGCTGACTATAGAGATAGGCTTGGATGCTATTCCGAACAGATACAATGCACAGGGCCGACCATTCGACCATATCGTTTGCTGCACCAAGAATATTCCGGACATTATTCCTACGTTATGCGACATCATTGCACCTGCAGTCACTCCCGGCCATACTGCCATCGTCTTGATACAAAATGGTCTGAATATCGAAAGACCGTTTATCCATCGATTTCCGAACAATGTTATCATATCTGGTATCAGCAGAATCGACGCCCACGAAGTCGCACCTGGTGTCATCGAGCAGAAACAGAACGACCTTCTACACATCGGAGCTTTCAATAACCCGTCCTTGCATCTGAAGGTACAAGAAGCAGCAGCGAAGCGCTTCGTAGAAATCTACAGCATGGGAGGCAAAACGACATGTCTGTACCAACCAGACGTCGATTTTGACCGCTGGAGCAAGTTGGTGTACAATGCTTCCTTCAACCCGATTTGCGCGTTGGCTCGCCTGAACACTGGCGAGCTGCAGAGAACAGGCAGAGTTGTGGATACTCTTGTAATCCCCGCGATGAAAGAAGTTCTGGCTGTAGCGGAAAAGGCAGGACACGCGCTTCCGGAAAGTATTATAAATGATACAATCAGGAGCAACCCAATAAACGATAATATTACTCCGAGTATGCAAATAGATCTGGAAAAGGTAAAGTATTCACCCAATGGAGATAATAGATTAAGATCTAACCTGCTCGGCTGCAGGGTAATTTTATCGAACATGAGAATATCATCGGGGAGGTGGTCCGAGAAGGTCACGAAAGAGGAGTAGCTACACCGATATTATCAATTTTGTACGAACTATGCTGTGCAGTGCAGTGGAAGCTCAAGGGAAAGAGAAATGGTAAATAGAGTAGACAGTTAATGATCCGGTATCCTTCAATTGCCTCTTTCGATCTTCTCCAATTGGCCAAAAGTATCTAGTTACAAGATATCAAAATTCGCTCATTCTCGGGCTATCGTGTAGTAAGCTGGTTTAGTACCCTGAAGTGTTTTTTTAAAGACTGTTATTTTGTATTGATAGACCTGACAGTTGATGCTTGCGTCGCGCGCCTTATCTCGAGATTCGCTCCTCGTTGTCCGCCAGACTTTTCACTTACCCTACTGTTGACAGTCGGTGTGGGACGAGAGACAGGCAAGCGCCAATTCCTGACTCGCATAACGGAACGAAAACGAGGTTAAACGAGGTCGCCAGGTTAAGCATCCAGGAACTTTTGCACTATGTCCAGAGATATCCACAATAGCCCACGCTGCGGCCAATTGAAAGCCATTGTGTGCTGTGATGGATGGTAGGGGTGTTTCCACCGGGTAGTACAGGGACATTGGACTGGTTCCTTTTATTTGACTTTCTCTTTTTCTCGTTCTCGTTTTCCTTCCCGAGCTTTTTAACTCCCGCCGCCCCAGCAATAAATAATTCAGAATATTAGCATTGGCTATGTCGAGCCGCACGCCAACGCCGTTGCCTACATTCGGAGCCTCGGAGCATCGAGGTGCCAAAACGAAACGAGGGCACAGGAAATCGAGAAACGGCTGCCAAACATGTAAGCTAAGGCGTATCAAAGTAAGTCTAACTCCAGCCTCGTGCCCGACCGTCACTGATCGATCGATCGTAATTGACTTTCTTTAGTGTGGAGAAGAGAAACCTGTTTGCGCTCACTGTGAGAGACGAGGTGAAGAATGTCACTATACTCTTCCATTCCATACCAGACACTACACGTCGCCAGCGTCGTCACCGCAGGCATCTGCAGCAGCACCGAATCTTGGCCTATTGGACTTGGAGCTCATGCATAATTTTTGCACGTCAACTTACGCAACACTAAGTAACGATGTGGCAATCCGAGATCTCTGGCGAATTCGCATCGTCAGGCTTTGTCTCAAATGCGAATATGCCATGCTGGCAGTCTTGTCTGTCTCAGCACTCCACCTCAGCTACTTTTCCACCGAGCGAAGGGAATTTCTCCGCGAAAGGGCTATTGTATATCACAACCAGGCTCTCAGCATCGCAGCTCCGTTCATCGACGCCTACAACGACTCAAATGCTCAAGAATTATTTGCTTTTTCCATCTTGACTATTTACTACTGTGAGTACCCCCAAGCATCCTCGTGGCCATGCTAACCCTAGGTGATGTAGCATTCGCACAAACCCCAGAGCAAGAAGACGGCCCATATCCTCCTTGGGCGGTCTTGATCAGCGGGTGCACGAGCTTTGTTTCGTTGGGCAATAGCACGCTCTCTCTCGGCCCTTTCTCAGCTCTTCTGTCCAAGGCAAGAAGACGTTTTGAAATCAGGAAGCGTGTCTTCGAAACCGACTATGTGCAACAGCTCAAGGTCTTTATTGACGAAACAGTTACAGATCCAGCAAGACACTCTATCTACCAAGATGCGCTTCTCGCATTAAACCAGACGTTTGGTGTTTTCTACGAGACGGATGGTGATAAAGACTTGGTCGATATCTTTTCCTGGATCGTGCCAGCAAAGGAATTCTTCGAGTTTGTGGCGGATGAAGAACCGGAAGCCCTTGTCGTTCTTTCCTACTTTTGCGTCTTGTTACACAAATTGCCCAGTCAATGGTGGCTGACCGGTTGGGTTCATCATATCATGACGCGGATATATGCTTCTGTTGGAGAGAAGTATCTGACCTATTTAGTCTGGCCGATGGAGGAGATTGGATGGTTACCGAAACATTAACCTTGGTTGGTGCTTACATACAACTAGCTAGCACAGCCCCCGCAGACAACGTGATGATTGATGATCTTTGGATATTTCTCATTCTGAATTGGTGACCGCATATTTTCGCTTAATGGTCCGTGGTTTCGTTTTCTCGTTCTTCTCGTTACCCACTCTCGTTCCTGGAACGAGATGCGGGCCGCAGCCAAGGAGAAAACGTCGCCAACAACAAATGTCATTCATCCGCTTACCAAGTTCGCATTAAATGCGAAATACGAAGCTAGCCAAGCGATACAGTCACCGTGCGGAGGTGGAGGCTGGGCCAGTATGCTATACCTAAAGTAACCATCCACTTTCTTACTTGATGACCTTTTTGTTTTGTTTCTTTGAATCACAGTTCTGCGTTCTCGACAAAAGCTGTTCCTTCCTTTCCTTATAAGCGACTCGCGCGTCAATTTCGAAATCGTCTTCAATTGAAGTCGCTAGCGAAGATGGAGCTTTTCACACGCATTGATACTCTCGCCGACGGCAAGCTTGACTTCAAGCTGTACCGGTATACACCATCATTTCCTGCAGCCATCGTCGCTACGGTCATTTTCGCCATCCTTTCCTGCCTTCACATTTGGCGCCTCACCAAAGCCCGAGCCTGGTACTTTATTCCGTTCACAATCGGCGGTGCTTGTACGTCTCCCCAATCCATGCTCACTGACCAAAACTCCTAACGTGTGTTCCTCACAGTCGAGACCATCGGCTACGCTGCCCGAATTATATCCCATAACAACAAGGAGTCTGTGCCTGCCTACAGCGTCCAAGCGATTCTTATCCTCGTTGCGCCCGCCCTCTTCGCCGCCTCGATCTACATGATCCTCGGCCGAATCATCATCTCCCTTAGAGCCCAGCATCTCTCATTGATTCCCGTCCGATGGTTGACAAAGGTCTTTGTCTGTGGTGACATCGTATCCTTCTCGCTACAAGCAGCTGGAGGCGGTATTCAAGCGTCCGGTACCATCGAGGCATATGACAGAGGAGAGAAGATCATCCTCGCTGGTCTGTTCGTTCAGATCGTCGTGTTCGGCATCTTCGTTATTACCTCGGGGCTGTTCCACAGGAAGTGCCTCCAAAACCCGACACTAGCTGCTAGAGAGAATGCCTTTCCGTGGAAGCTGGACCTCAACGTCTTGTATACTGTCAGTATCATTATCTTGGTTCGAAGCATCTTTCGTGTCGTCGAATACCTTCAGGGCAACGGTGGCTATTTGATTTCTCACGAGGTTTTTCTTTACATCTTTGATGCAGTTTTGATGGCTATTGTCATGATTGTTTTCCTTATTTGGTACGTTGACCACCTTCAATACAAGGACGGCAATGAATACGATCTCGAACCTTGTGTCGTCGACGAGACAAATTCGTCTTGATGGAGTGGCAGGAAATATCTCAGTTGGGTCGAGTAAATGTCTAGGGTTACATGGCGCGGTCAAGTTTGTATGGAGGTGGTTATCAGTGTTTAGACAGACATGATGTTGAGTTATATTTAATGCTTTTTAATATCTTCACGAGATACGGTGTACAATTTCATTTCACATACCATTTTTGCCGGTCGCTTCGAAATGAAGGCCCACGTGAATGCCCTACTCTCAGATATGTTAGTCCGGTTGATGTAGCACGATAATTGAGAAAAGCGCCCAGAGTCTTGAAGTTCGTTGCATATGATCCGTACTCATGACCAGGGCGTTTTGGTTATTGAGTGGTCACCATCACACTTTAGAGGTTCACGGAGACATTGAGAACTTAATTGAATAAATATTAATTCGCGGGAAAGCCTTATTTGCGGGATATTTGCCCTTTCACTTCAAAAACGTGTCTGAAGTAGAAAGGGGAAGCCTGATGATGGTGCCACTTCAAAAATAGATGATAACTATGCTTCAGACCTTGTCTAAGTAACCTTCCAAGCAGTTTGAAAGCATCTAGTCCGGCTAGAGTCCACAGTGGGCAGGAAACCATACCACACTCTCTACTTCTCCCAGTACAATCGAATTCCATTTCTAACAGCAGTTCCTCCTCCGTTCAGCTTAGCATTCAGCTGACTAGGATGCTCCCAGGCAAACAACACCATGGCAAGAAACATCAAAACACTGTCGAAGATATACATGTAAGCCTCATGTGAGATAAGGTAGCCCGCATTCCCCTGTGCATATTCGATCAGCCGAAACACCGACCGTACAAGAATCAGGCCAGAAGCGATGTACAGTGTGTACAAATATCTCTGCCAAGGGATTCCTGATACAGCGGCTTTTGCGGACATGGAACCCACGAGCCTCATGTGAAACAGGGCCGCAGTGACAGCAAACAGTGAAAAGAAGACAATTTGAACGATTAGACCTATGATGACGATCCGTTCGCCATTGTGGAGAGCATCGAGGGAACCACCTGCCATCATACCACCACCTAAGAGCGGTTAATACAACAGTGGAAAAAGCGGAGTTAAACAATAGACTTACCTGCGCCCTGAAGTATGAAGGAGGCAACATCGCCGACGACAAAGATTTTTGTGAGCCAGACCCTCTTGATTGGTGAGTGCCGCTCGCCGTCGGTAATGATGATGATACGTCCGAGGATCATGTAAATGCTTGCTGCGAACAAGGCTGGTGAGATAAGCAGCAGCAAAGTCTGGACCACATAAGGCTTCACAGTCCAGTTGGGGCTTTCGCTGGAAGACACTGCCCTCTGGGCTGAGGTTAGAATCGGAAGACTTCAGCGCTGAGAAAACTTACACCGACGTAGCCAATGACCTGCACTAACCAGGCGTCAGTCTCGGAAAAGGAACATAGATTGCCTTTCGGGAAGAGACTTACTGAAACCACCGATGACAAAGGAAGAAAAGAACCACGTCTTCGTCCTGATCAACTGATACGTATGCAATCCAGTGACTAGCAGAAAGAGAATGATGAAGATAACAGCCGCCCCCATGGACGGGTCATATCGGTAGAGCTTGAAAACAGCATCGCTGTCTCCTGCTGCTGATTCAGACATGGTTGAAAGGTATTGAGGTTGGCTAGAAATCTGGAAAGACTGATAAATTCGATTTCAAATCTTGCAAGAGCAAAATGTGCTGAGGGAAGACTTCTTGCGTAAAGGTTATAATAATGCCATCATTGAATAAAGTAAACAGACTTTATAACAGCGGCAAGACATTTTTCAATGGTCGCTTTGGCGATCTCCACAGACTCCGTGGCGGTGCACTCCTTTTTTCAAGCGCTTGCTCCATGTGTAATCTCGGGTTCGTTTACGGGCTTTGACGAGAATGCGATGAACGAGGACAGCGGGTTTGGGACTGCCCTCTCGTATGTTTCGGATTCTCTGTTTCACAACAGCCCCTGGAAATATGGATCCAACGGCTATTTAAGTCAAATTTCTATTTAAAACCTGTCTTTGTTACGTGTCATGCAGGTAGGCACGTCCGGTATGGGTGCCGGCTGCACCGTCACGTCCGGCGCGTAAAAGATACGAGAACGCCTTGAGAGTGGATGCACTCAAAGCAGACCTAGCGGCTCAAGTCATGAGCCAATCATCTTCAACATTGATCAGCGGCGTTTCCGCTGGTCTTATATCATCTAATCGGGAATTATAATGCCCGCTCTCCCTATAGTTAGACCAGGAAGACTGTGGTCCTGGCAATTGTATCGGATATGGATTTTGTCAGTTCCTTCCGTCTGGTTCATACAGTATTCCTGGCTTTGATTATACATTGAGATATGAATAATTACCATCCGCGATTACGGGCTTTGGAAGTAAGTGATAAGCATAGAAATAGTTTGAGTACACTAATAAGACTCTGTTCTACTTGTAAACTCCCTCATTTGGCTTTCCGTAACTACCGCGACTATCTTCATTGTCTTGGAACAATACTTTAGTCGCCAGTGTCTAATTACGCGTTTCAATTGATCAGCATATGTGGCCTTTACCTTTATGACAGGGCCGAAGCTTCCTTTTGCCCCTCAAGCATATCAACTTATCACAGTTGATGATCCATAATGCCTATCTTCTGAAGGACTTGGACTTCTCCCTTTCAGTCCAATACAGTCATGGGATCATTCTAAGACTTTTCAGTGAAGTACAAGATCCTGCTGGTCATGCGTAAGTACTGTCACATCTCTGTGGCTGTTGTTTGCTTCTAACCTTGTGATGCTTAACCAATACAAGAACCAGCACAACATCGCATCTACAATCTTCAACCGTGGAACTGGCTGCGATGTTGTTCGAAATACCTAAACTGCTTACGGAAGCGTGGGCGCCTCTAACGCAGTGCTGTCTGCAATCAAGGGGTACTTGGTATGTCGTCAAATTGTGAGACTGGAGTCGATTACAACTAGTCAGTTAGAGGGTACTTGTGAGCTATCTAGAAATAGAATTTCTAATTCATCAATACCCCAACTATCTGCCGTGAATGTCGTGAGTTGTTGTTCGATAATATAGGGTAGAGGGCCGAGGCGGGCCGCTACTATCCTTGGACGCTTCTCTACACTAAGTATGCCGATAACCTAAGATAAGCTTAACTTGGATTAGCGCTTACACCTGCGCGGAGAATATTCAACTGTGAGTATGCGACTTGGCACATGAGAAGTGCTGTAATTATGGCTATGTCCCAGTGACTTTCCGTTATTGAGAAGCACTGTTGCCACTGTACACCACTTTGCAATTTTCAGTCGCTACGTATTGCCTCAATCGTCTTCGTGTTTTCGCTCAGCCTTATTGCCAAGCTGCACATGGAGTCATCGGTGCAGCCCCCACTTCAACACACTTCCCAAGATTGGTTCAAGCTGCAGTGATAAGCGCTTCGTATAAAGGCGCAGTTTCATGTGCGACACTTCAGTAGTTCTGATTGGTTATATTGGGAGGTACGCTGAAAAAGGGCTTCTCGCACGCGTGGTGTTCTTGGACTTGACTTTTCCTTTTTTAATGGCCCTTGGGCTAGAGTGTCTTTCAATCTTTGACGATCTTTTTATCCCAACTGCTGTGACAACAAGATGCAGCCCAAATCACATCGGTATGAGGCGACGTCAGCTCGCGACATAGACACAGATGAAATCGAATTGAATTATACCGGAGAATCCTCTCGTAAACGCAGATACGTCCGTCATGGAAACCTTTCTACTCAAGGGTGGGGTTTGGAACTACTGTCGTCTTTCACGACACTCGTCCTGTTTGCTGGAATGATTGCGATATTCTGCAGCATGCGCAACAAGGCTTATTCCAAATGGCCCCTCTTAATCTCTATAAATACAACCATCGCCATTCTGTCCACTGCTTGTACGGCGGCCATGATGCACAATGTCAGCGCTTTTATCGGACAGCTTAAATGGCTTCACTTCAGACGATCTTCGCGGAGCGTGTATAATGTTGAGAGATTTGATGAGGCCAGTCGAGGTCCACTTGGAGCTATCCTTCTCATTTTCAGAGTTCCGTGGAATCTTGCAACGTTGGGAGCTCTTATAACGATCCTCCGTCTGGGGTTCTCTCCACTCTCTCAAGCTGTGGTTAGCCTAGAACCAAGGATGGTAGACGTCCCAAGCAATGATTCGACCTTTGGATATGCACATGCCTATGATAGAAACATGACGACGGGTGCTCAGTCCGGTAAGACGCAAAGGCTCAATGATACGAACAGAAACTGACAATTCTTCCTAGAAATACCGCCAGACACACAGGTGCAATCTGCCATTCTTCAAGGTCTTTATGACATAAGTTCCATTCCAGTGTTCAACTGTGGTGGCGCCTGTCTCTGGAGAGACTCGTATGTATCCTTGGGCTTTAGGAGTACGTGTAAGAATGTCACCATGTCGGCGTTGGACACAAAGCACTGCATAAAGCCAGAAGGGAGACCAGGGATGAGGTTTGATCGCAATTGCAATTTCACAACACCGGGAAACATTACACTTACAACTCAGCATGTGCTGACTGACTCACAAACCACCTTTCGAATTAATGCGACACGTACTCATCTCGACCATCCCAATAATATCACGACGACGCTGGATGACATTGTGAGGATTGCAGTTTGGAGATCAGGCTATGATACCAGCTTCAACGCTACTGATATCAATATCACGGAATGTACCGTGGGCTTCACTGCGTATGAGTACCTGAGAGCCGAAGCGAACGGTAGCACCTTTTCTTTTGGAAAAGTTACTGAAATGGATATTAAACGTGCTAATTGGTCCTGGGAGGATCCCATGACTAAATTACATCTTGTGAGCAACAAGACTTCCAACCTACCGGCGTTCAAGATATCCATCATCGACCTCGAGGCCCTACAAGCCTTTTTCGAGTCCACCACCTTCCAGTCGGAATTCGTGAGCGGAAATGCAAAAAACAATAATCCTGGACTCAGTGCCGCCCTAAATGGGGATACTGATCTCACGCGTGCTTTCGACAACATGGCACGGGGCATGACAGACTATCTCCGCTCAGGGCCGAACGAGAAACTGGCCCAAGGAGTTCGAAGAGAAAGCCAAATCTTTGTATTTATTCGGTGGTACTGGTTGATTGGCCCTGCGGCTTTAGAGCTAGCTGCGCTGATATTTGCTGTCTGTACAATAGTAGGCACTGCGACGAAGCACGAGGTGCCGCTGTGGAAGTCTTCGGCCCTTGTACTATTAAGTTGTCGACATGACATGGACTCGGGTATAATCCATGGAGAGTTTGAGGATGTCAAAGAATTGGAGAAAATGGCAAAGATGTCAAAGGCACGGCTGGAGTAGCGAAACATATTAATAAAATCCTTAGATGCGCATAGAGTAGAAAATATTCCTCAATCCACACCCAACTTATGTGCATATTAATGACGCTAACATGGAGACCTGGCCTCGACTTTTGTTACTAATCCTAACAAAACTTCCCAGATATCACTCCTATTCTTACTGCCTTCTCCCTCGAGTTCCCCTCGGTGGTGTCAGATTACGCCCCTGGCCCGACGTACCATAAGGCCCAGATCTCAGTGGGCTCGTATCCCTTCCTCTTGGCCCAATAGGCTGCCGGGTATGACCTGTTGGGGACATTGACGGGCCTACAGTCGAATTGGGACCTCCAAGCGGCAGTGATGTCCCTGATTGTCGTTGGGTACCATGAAGCTGAACTCGAGGTCCTAAACGGCCGGGGCTTGCACCCCTTCTGGGGGTTTGTGTTGGCTGATAACTGGCGGGATACATAGGCGAGCTTGACATAGTGTGAGCTCCTAGAGGCGGCGTGGACATCCGTCGCGGGACGTTGTTCTGGTAAGCGTTGACCCTTGTATTTGGACTGCTTGCTCGCCGACCATGAGGCTGTTGCAGATAGCCAATAGAGGCCTCAGACATTGGTATACCCGATCCCTGTCCCATGGGAGCGCTCTGTTGATTATATTGGTTGAAACTCAGTTGCTGCATCTGTGCCGTCATTGTCCCGGCATTCGGTGGTGCTCTTCCAGTTGGATATCGATTATCTGTTGGTCCTGATTGACTGTGTGCTGGATAGGATCGACTCGAAGGATTAGGCGGAGGAAATCGATATTCCGGTGCAAGTTGCTGGCTCGTTTGGGGCAGCGGGCTGGACGGCCTATATGATTGATATGGTGGTATTGGGGCAGCTGTCTGGCGAGGCAAACCCACGGCAGGACCGGGAAGAGTTGATCCTCCTATTGGGGGGAGACGACTACTTCCCGCGGCGGTGTTAGAGGCATTTGACGATGATCGTCTGTGGCTAGAGGATGATGGCCTTCCCGTTCCCTGACTTGGTATTGCCGTTGGTTCATACCCTCCACTTCCTGATGCAGACCTATGATTCGATCTATGCCCTGGGGCAGCTTCTGTGTTTCTACGGACACTGACACCCGCAACGTCACGAAACTGCCTTCGGTTTACCCGATACGGAGAACCCCGATCGTCGACATATTCATCATCGCTTGACTCGGTAGAGTCGGTAGAGTCGCCTTGTCTAGATGTCCTTGTTAGACTGGGAGCTATGTCGCTACTTGTATAGCCGCGGTAATATGACGGTTGTTGAATCGGCGGGGCTTGGAAAGAAGGTGCTTGAGGGACCACGTTCTGCTGGAGTCCAGATGGAGGCTGATAATCTGAGAATGGTTGGGTGCCTGTAGCTTGGCCAAAGCCTTGTCCACTCGACGCTCCAGGCTGATAAGCCGTAGGTTGACCATAGTTTGATAAATTACCTTGAGGTACATCCTCTGATCTAGACGCTCGGTGGTGCTGTTGTCTGGATGACCTCGCTTCTAGTGTTGTTGATGGACGTACATCTGGATTGTGTGTCGTCCTACTCGCTTCCCTAGATCCTTGAGGCGCCGATGTCGAGCCAGTGTTTGAGGAGTTGGCCGTTTTTCGGTGGGACTGTCTGCTAGATGATGCAGGCTGTCCTTGGAAAGAAGGCAAGGCGTCTCGTGTCGATATTCTGGCGCTAGTATTGGCGATCCTCATTCGTTCGAGCTCACCTCTCAAGTCTTCTGAGCTACGTTGCACGGTCCTTAGTCTGTCTTGCGCTGCTCTGATTTCGCGCTGGGTTTGAGCTTCACGTCCTTGTCTGGTGGCCTCATCTCTCTGGGCCTCTAGGTTCGCTGTCAGGCTACGGATCTCTGACAGACGTCCACTACTAAAATGGAGCATGGGATTAGTGTATTCAACGCAAATCGTATCGTGTTGGGGGCTGTACCTATCATGAGACATTGTCAAAGCGGCGCAACCAATATGTGATTAGAATTTGATATGTTTTAAAGTTCATGCTTTATGTGGGAAGAAAGTTCAGTGACTAAGTAGTGAAATGTTGTAGGCTATTTATGCCTCTTAGACAACAACAAGGGTTTTTGGCGGAGAGGAATCCCTAACGCAGAGCCTCATCTTGAACAACTCATCTGCTGACCCCCCTTCTTGTGTAAAGTGCGACACTCAATCGCTATGATTAAGCCGGTTCGCTGTTTTATCGCTCAGCTGAAAATATCATGCAGTCATGCAGCCACGCTCAAGTGTTCCAGCCAGTGAGTAGATGCCACCTTTCTGTGGTGAGGGTTTTATGCAGGCGCCTTTATCAGTTGGGAGCCTGCTTTCAGCCGCCATCGCTGATGATGGGGGAGGGTCGCATGGGAGGCCATATTTGGATAAGCTACCTACGTCACTAGTTCTTATCTAGCAATACTGACGATTCGTACGTCCAGAACTTCTATTACAGTCCTTCTCGAAAGCGTCAAACCATGGTAGACGATTTAGCTGAGAGCTTGACTTTGGAGGAACTGGAGGTGGCGATTGCAAGTCTGAGAAATAGCTTGGAGAGCATGTCGCGCAACGATCCGGATTTCTATTCAAAGACGACTTTGCTTGCACATGGGCTTCGGAAGCACCACCTTTTATCACGGCCACATGGGGATTTGAGCGCTCTCAACGAGTCCATCACCTTTCTGCAACAAGCTGTCGATGGTTCGTCTGTAGACGATGACAGGAGAGCTCAGTGGCTCATTAGCCTCGCTTTTGGCTTAAGCCTTCGTTGCGATGCGACGGAATCTGAAGGCGATGCTATAGAAGCTTCTCGAGTAGCCTACGAGGCCGTAAGCGCGGTACAGAAGGACGATTCGTCACATGTTACAATCCTGCAATCCGCTTGTCATTTCATAGGAAAAAGCGCAGTCAGGCTCAACGATAAAGATGATTTGGAAAGATTGCTCGAGATGCACAAGTCCATACTGGCGGTCACAACCGTCGACCATGCAAAACTCAAATCGCGACTGCGGAGCTACGGTAATACTTTGTTCAAAGGGTACTTGTCATTCGGACAGATAGAGTATCTGGAGGAAGCGATCCGAGTCTCGGAGTACATCATCAATATCCCAGATCAAAGCCCTGAAGAACACGCGAGAAATGTATGGATTCTCGGCCAGCGCCTCGTTCAACGATACTTGAGGACCGGAACATCTGCCGATCTTGATGACAGCATAAGAGCATGCCAACAAGCTGTCGACGACACTCCACTCAGCTCCAACAATCGACAGCGGAGGCTACAGTCCCTTTGCGATAGGCTGGGAGAGAAGTATTCTCAGACCCTGGACGAAGCTGATTTCCAGGCTGCCAAAGTGGTGGTAGATAAAATTCTTGATCAATTACCGACGAAAACGAAGAGCCGAGCGCGATCCCTTGGAAACATTGGCATTATCTTGAGTCTCCGATATAGGCAAACAGGACGTGATGATGACTTTCAACATGCTGTCCGTGTTGCTAGAGAAGCCGTTGAGCTGACTGTCCAAGGCGATATGGGCCGTGCTGTCCGTCTCAGTAATCTTGGTGGGGTGTTTGCCGAGGCGTATGGCAAGACTGGAAACAAGGAGCAACTCGAAGAGGCAATCCGAATCGGAACAGACACCCTCACTGCCACGCCTGATGATCATCCAGACAAAGCCCTTCGGCATTTCAACCTTTCAGACAGACTTCAGTTACGATATCTTGAGTCGGAATCAACTGATGACCTCGAAGAAGCTATTTCCTTATACCGATTCGTCCTAAATCAGCTTAGTGCCCCCGTGTTTCTTCGTGTTCAGGCTGGCTACTCTCTGATGCAGAGTTGCGTCTGGAATCGCGACTGGAACGAGGCATACAAGGCTGGCTCCCAAACGATCGATCAATTGTCACTCCTCAGGCCTCTTTCACTGCAAAACACTGATATACAGCGTGAAGCGAGCAAGCTTTTGGGTTTAGGTACTGAGACAGCATCACTCGCATTGGAAGTGGGGAAGAGCGCAGCAACTGCCCTTGAGTTCCTCGAGATGGCTCGAGGAGTCATGGCGTCTTCCATAAACGTGCTTCGGGCCGATATCAAAGATCTGGAGAGGGACTTCCCGGAATTGGCCGGCAGATATGACCGTCTTCGAGACCGACTCGACACTGGTTCTGTTCCCAAATCCGACTTTGCACTTGGCGAAGAGGTTTGGGGAAATGATATGAGTCAGAGGTATGATACCGGAGAGCAGATTTCAGCATTGTTGGGGGAGATACGTTCAAAGCCGGGCTTTGAGCACTTCTCACGGCCTGAAGATGAGGAGCGGATGCCAAGTGCGGCCGCTCTGGGTCCGGCGATTGTGGTCAACGTTGGCCCTCTTGCTTGCGACGCTATAATCATCCAGCAGGATGGGTTCAGTGCCATCCCCCTCCCGCGCTTAGACAAGAACAAAATCGACTCAAAGAATAAGTCATTAGGTCGAGGTAGTCTCAAGGTCCTCTAATGGCTTTGGGATGTCGTTGCTGAGCCCATACTGACTGCGCTGGGTTTCACCGAGCCACCCCGTTCGGGCGAGATGAAGAGGGTATGGTGGGTTTTGACTGGCTCTCTGAGTACCTTTCCTATTCATGCTGCAGGGCGGCACAGTCGTCGAAACGGCAAGACGGTGATGGACAGAGTTATGTCTTCATACGCTACCTCGGTATCAGCCATTGTACAAAGTCGAAGGACGGCCCCTGTCTCTCACAACGAGGCGCTATTGGTGTCTGCTGGTGAAACGCCTAGTCTCCGAAGGCTAGCCTTTGCACATAAAGAAATCAGCGTGTTACAAGATGTTTGTCACCGTATGAAGCTCAAGCCTGTCGTGCCTGAACCCATCAGAGAAGATGTGCTGTCACATCTACGAAAGTGCAAGATCTTCCACTTCGTAGGGCACGGATACACAGATACAGCTGATCCTTCCAGAAGCCAGCTGTACCTGAATGACTGGGAAACAAGCCCCCTTACAGTCGCAAGCCTCCTTGAGCTCAACCTTCATCGGGAGGGTCCGTTTCTTGCTTATTTATCTGCCTGCGGTACAGGGCAGATCAAAAGCCAAAAGCTCTTTGATGAAGGTATCCATATTATCAGCGCATGTCAACTGGCGGGCTTTCGGCATGTCATCGGGACTCTGTGGGAGGTCAATGATCAGTCTTGTGTTGATATGGCTGCTATCATATACGAGGAAATTCTCAGGGGAGACATGTCGGATGATTCGGTGTGTCGTGGTGTTCATGCTGCCACGAAAGCGAAGAGAGATCAGTGGCTTGATGAGACCTATGGCGCTGAGAAGGCCACAACTCCAACAGAGAATGGGCCAAGAAAGGAGAAGAGGGAAGTTGATGTCGAAAGAGATATCATCTCTCTTGATGAAGACGATGGACAAAGTATTCCTGGGGCGGGGAATGGTCTATTGCACTGGGTTCCATATGTGCATTTTGGTGCATGATTCTCAGCTTTTAGCCTCGGGTGTCTCGGAAACTTCAACAGCCCGCGGTGTTATCTTTATCAAAAAAGACCAACTGTATTATTCGCCTTTTATCAATCTCACTCAAACCATTAAATATCGGTTGTGCTCATTTGGTCGTATATCCGACACTTTCAACAATATCTGAAATCCCAACATGCCAGTATGCTCGACGCAAATATTACCTAAATCATACAGCTTTTCTCATGAGCTGAAGAGCTGTTCAAGCTTTGACTTGCCCTCCAACTTCTTGATCTCTTGCTTCATCGCATCAATACGATAGTTCTTCCACGCCTTCTCTATCCGCTCTTTTGCTTCAGAGTTCTTCGTAATAGTGCGTGACGCTGACGCGGTACCTGAAAGAAGGCCTGTTTCACCACCTAGGAACAAACCTCCGATAGAGAAGAAGAAATAGGTGGCTGCATCACCCCACTTTGAAGGCGCAAGCTGGGCGGTGAGATCTGGGATGGGTTCTGTGAAAAACAGTCAGCGTAAGAGCAAAATGCGTGTTGCAATACATGACTTACGGGTCCTGCCATCTGCAAATTTGACCTCGACGGGCTTCTCCATCGCTCTGAAGGCGTTAAAGTAGGCCAATCGCATCTTTCGTAGTCTAAAAGCGCACAAGACGCCGAAACCAAGACCCAGCAGCGAGCCTACCTTGGTATGGGTTGAGACTTTCCTCCCCGCAGTTCTCAGGATTTCGCGGTCATTATCGTTCAAACTCGACGACGTTAATATTTCCAAGCTTCAATTCAGCGTGAGAACAAGCGGTTGGACGTACTCGTGCTGGAAGTGCTCTTCCGCGAGCTTCCGGAGCTCGTCGCTCCTCCCAGATCGGAAAGCGGCAAGTGATTCGGACATGTTTACGATTGTGGTTTGACTTGATGAATTGGGAGAATACTTATGAAGCTGAATGAGAGACTGAAAGATAAACGAGCAGCGAGTTTCAAATAAATACGGAGACGCCTTTGGAAGACGTTGGAGCTCGTAACGCTGACGTCACCACCTTCAATTCTCGTTCCTTGTCCCGATTTCGCTAGCGGAAGAAACATGAAGAATTCCACAAAACGTCATTGTTGTGTCCAAACGTATCTTCATGATTCGGCTTTTTATGCGGCATTGAGTAATGGCCTAAATTCAGTAAAGACTACTATTTATGCTGACTCTGAATCAAAGCCTCCCACTCCGTCAACAGTCCCATGATCTCAACACTCTGATCAACATTCGGCGAAGGCCGTTCAGCTGTCTTAACACCGCGAGATAAATAATCTTCCACCTTCTTCACCTGATATCCAAACGCGTCCATTTCTGCAGGCACGGTGACTTGTTCCGTTGATCCGCCGTAGGTTTTGATCTCGATGATGTTGTCGCCTGCGATAGGTAGCCAAGGGTTCGTGACGAACCTGATCCTGCCCTTGTCTCCAAGAATCGCGAATGATGAGTCGTTGCCGTAGCTGTCTGTTGACTGGAGACTTGCAAGAACGCCATTGTCGAAACGGACTGTCAGTGATGCGTCGCGGACATGTACGCTGCCCTCGGTTGAGATATTGCCGAAGCCGTGCAATTGACGCTTTGCGAAGGCGTCGCTTCCGAAAGCTGTCTCGATGACGAAGTGCAGAAGCGAGACTGGATAACAGCCCAGATTGTAGATAGTTCCCATGCTCAGAGGATTCGCCTTCTTCCAGATATTCGCAGAGTAATACCCCGAAGCACCTCTCACCGTCCCAATCTTGCCCTCAAGAAGCAGTTCCTGAATCTTCTTCATCAACGGATGCGTAAGGTACATGAGCCCCTCCAAAAAGAACACACCCGCATCTTTCACGGCCTTCTCAATCGCCTTGGCATCCTCCATCGTCGTCGCCAACGACTTCTCAGACAAGATCGCCTTGCCTCGCTTAGCAGCCGCCAACACTGCGGGTGTGTGCATATGATTCGGCAGGCCGACGTACACGACATCTATCTCAGCTTTGTCGAGCAGCTCATCTATAGAAGCGTATCGCTCTGCAATCCCATGCTTGTCGGCGAATGCTTTCAGGCGGGCTTCGTTGCGCCCGAAGACTGCGGCGATGGTGGAGTTTTGGCTGGCGAGGATGGAGCGGGCGACCACGTCGGAGATGAAGCTCGTTCCGAGCATTCCCCAGCGCAACACGGTCATATTGGATAAGTGATCAGACTGGATAAGTTAATTTGAAGGTATAAAAAAGTTCTAAATTGCTTCAAGGGCGTCTTTTTATAGCCAAGGCGGTCTCGTCAGCATTTCGGAGTTGTTCTTGTGAAACCGCTAACGTTTAGTTCCTTATCTGGCTTATCTAAATCCGGTCATCTCCGAGTATTACCGCTTACAAGCTGCCATTTCCGTCCTAACCTGAGGCTATTCACTTCTGAATTACAAACCAGTAATACGATATCCTCTTTATATCTATAGCTACATGGATATAACCTACGGTCTCTCCTTTATGTCCTCAACGATACTCTTTCTTTGCAGCTGTGAACGTCTTGCCTTGAGCGATATCCCGCGCCATGTTGTCATCAGCCTCAACCTGCCCTGGTAAGATCTCCACAATCTTTGACAGCACTTCCTTGGGCACGCAAACAACCCCATTTAGATCCCCAAATATGATATCGCCCGGATTGATAGTCACATCAAGAGCAGAGTCCTGTAACTTCACAGGCACATTAATCTATAATGCTTTAGTCATGAGCGTCCTACGTTTGGTGAATATCACGTACCTCACTGGAGCGAGCAACCTCATAGAAGCTCGGCGTACCGACATTGCGAGCGAAGACCTTTAATCTTTTAGTTGGAACCTCAACCACGTTATGAACAACCTACTGGGTAGTCTAATTTGCGGTGATCCTGCAAATCTCGAAAAGTACCGTCGACAACCGTTCCGACGGCTCCAGAGTACTTGGCACGAGTGCTCATCAGACCACCATAGACAGCGTTGAAGGTACCATGGGGCGCTGAAATGAAGACTACATGATCTTTTGGGATGGTGTCGATCTATAAAAGCCGTTAGTAGTGGTTCCTGTCAAGGCAGTTGTGGGCTCGTACGTAATGCTCCTTGAGCTTGGGTGCGTTGGTCTGAGTGTTGCGGACAAACTTGACAGTGTATGCAGGTCCAATGAGCTTTCTCTCGCCTTCCTGTCGCAGAGGCGACCACATGCTCAAGTTGGGAAGATAACCGCCATGAGGAACGCCCACTTTGAGCAATGCGTCTGATACATCGCATCTGCACCAGAACTCATATCAGTATAATTTACTACCATGACTTTGTTCTTTTTTACGTACGTGGAGTACGAGCGAAGCCTCTCAGTCAGCAAAAGGTCTGGAGATGTCATGGTAGATAAGGCCGCGGTTGTAGAGATGCTGCGATGAAATGGTGTTCGATTGGCAACGAGGACCTTGTGAAATAATCTTGTAATGCTCATTGATGCTGAGTCGAAGTAGTTATATATAATATTCTCTAGAATGGAAATTTCATGTGGGCTTTGGTGGGTTGATATGAGCGCACCGGTCTCTCGGCAAGTTTCCGGGAGATTGTCCGGGACAACCTCCGGGAAAGTATCCCGGAAGAAACTTGCCCTAGAGACAGCCAAAAGACTTGATTGCTCTGTGTATAAATCGAATACAAATGCCAAAATATTCAGGGTGCTATAATTTTAACATTCAATATTTCACTATCTTTCGCTTGTTATCATGGCTGACTCCAAACCAAGCGTCTACGTCTTGGACCCCTACCATCCAGACGCCATCGCGGCCCTGCAACAATCATCTGACATCAATGTCGTCCTCCCAGCAGACCCAAACAAGAACCAATATGTTGAAAATGCAACTGCAGTCATGCTCCGCAGCGAGACTCGTCTCGGCGCAGATGAACTCGCCAAATGCAAAAAGCTGAAATACATCGTCAAACAAGGCGTTGGCGTCGACAACATCGATCTCAAAGCAGCTGCCGCAGCGGGCATCAAAGTGTACAACACACCTGGTCTGAATGGAGAAGCAGTCGCTGAGCTCACACTCGCATTGGCTTTGACGTTGTCGCGACGTGTTGCTGAGATTGACCGTCGGACGAGAAACGGGGAGGCTATTGTCAGAAGCCAGACACTTGGAAAAAGCTTATTCAAGAAGACCTTGGGAGTTATTGGAATGGGGAATATTGGGTTCGCTGTTGCTAAGAAGTGGGTTGGAGCTATGGAGGGCAATATCGTCGCTTATGATCCCTTCTCTGATGGAAAGCAGTGGCTTAGCACTTTTGGAGAAAGCAGATTTCGCCAGGTCTCAACACTTCATGATCTTCTGCACGCATCAGATGTCATAACTCTTCATCTTCCTCTCACCCAGGACACTGAAAACACCATCTCAACCGCAGAGTTCAACGTCATGAAAGATGGTGTAATCCTGCTCAACTGCGCCCGAGGTGGAATCGTTGACGAGGATGCACTGTTAACTGCACTGAAAAGTGGAAAGCTATTTGGTGCTGGTCTTGATGCCATGGTGGTTGAGCCTCCGACTGTTGAGGCATACCCTGAGTTGCTGGCGTTGCCGAACGTTGTCTTGACGCCGCATGTTGGGGCTTCGACGGTTGAGAATCAGAGTCAGAGCGGTATGGCGGTTGCGGAGATTGCGATGGCGCTCTTGAGAGGGGAGGAGAAAGGGAATAGAGTAGCTTAGATGCATTAGACATCAGTTCGTCCTCAGTAGATCATATGAAATAGAGTATTATGAGTATGTTTCTTCACACTGATGTTGATCTCATTTTAATCCTCCAATAAGATGACGTGCATCTGAGGATGATGCTGCGGAGTGGAGAGTGCTAGCTCAAAGTAGATACAAGCTTTTCCGAGATCGGCCACTCCAACGTTCACTCCATCTCGACTTGTCATCAATCTCTCTTCAATGGCCAGGCCACGATGAGCCAATTCCATCTAGATCCCATCAGAACTAAGCAAAAGATATCTTGTATCTCACGGGACTCATATGCTGGCAAATATACACCATAATGCCCAAGGCAAGGCGCGAACGAAGAGAATCTCCGCCCCGCCCAAAGAAAACAGCCCGATTGACATGCAAAAACTGTCGTGCCCGCAAAGTCCGCTGCGATGGAGGCCAGCCCATTTGCGGTATCTGTATAGCATACAATGAGGCTTGCCAATATGATCGACCACCGCCCATGACGCAGATTCGTGCTATGGCAGATAAGATCGCTCAGCTTGAACAGACCATCAAAGACCTCCAGAACAAGGATGGAAACAGTATTGCTCCTCTGCAAGCTAGCGCGGCAGTTCTAGCAGAAAACACGAGAGTTTCAACGCTTGCAGATCCTCTTCCGACCATTGAGGTTGCGGACGGTACTCTAGATACAGCTCGTGCTTACTACGACACCACGTCGGCAGTTCACGATCCCGGAGATACGCCATCGCAAGCAACGACGGGTCAAATTACCGTGGCACACAGCCCTGAAACTCGCCAGCCACTACCTATGGAGACGCCAGAGCTGAGGTTCTGGGAGGATCAAGCCGTCGACAGCGCAGCAGTTTATCTCAGCATTCCTCAGGATGTTATCCGACGTCTTTTCGCAACGCATTGGACGTGGGTTCACGCGAACTTTATGTTTGTCCCGCGGGCTTTGTTCCTCCGTGACGCCGCAGTTGGTGGGAAATTCTTCTCTCCGTTTCTGTTGAGCGTGTTGTGTTTGCATTCGACGCGTTTTAGGGAACGCCATTTGACGGAGCAATTACTCGCCAGAGCGAAACTGTTGTTCAGCCATGAAATACATAGTGATGGGTCTATACCGCTAGTCCAAGCACTGCTGCAGTTTAGTGCTCGCGAAATTGGTAGAGGCTCTGTGTCGCAAGCTTGGCTGTATGGCGGAATGGCATTTCGAGTTGCTATTGATATCGGTCTTTTCTCGACATCACCTGCAAGGTCTGAGAACATCATATGGACGCAACTCGGTCGGCATCTGGCATGGTCTTGCTTCTTCTGGGATACAACACTGAGTCTGTATCTCGGGAGAACGCCGTCATTGCCTGAACCACCGAAATGGGACCCTGCTATGCCCGATGATCCAGAAACCGAGTTATGGCCGCCTTATCCCATCCCCGATGATGAAGCACTCCAGAGCTATCAACCGAGAACGTCGCATTTGTTACTTTGCTTTGCATATACTTGCAAGATCAGCGTCATCATCAGTGATATACTTTTTAATATTTACGGGAGCAGAAGAACGAAAGATGTCCTGGACTTTGTACAGAATACGAGAGAGAGGCTGCACTCCTGGCGTTCAAGTTTACCGCCAGAGTTGCTTGTGGACTATCAATCCCAGATTTGTCCGCCTACACACTTCGTGGCCCAGCAGTGAGTGCATGTTGCCCTTGAAGCCGTCATCGAGCTAACAGAAGACAAGAATGTTGTACCATACCACTATAATTCTACTCCATCGGCCGTTCCTAAATAACTTAGTTTGCTGGAAAGCATGCCAAGAAGCCTCTGAATGCGTAGAGCAACTTCTCCAGCTTCTCGATAGCACCTTTGGCTTCCAGCGGTTCACATATATCATGGCTTACTGCACCTACACCGCAGCTACAGTCGTCGTGCAAGACATGAAAAACGGCAGGCCTGATACTGCCGAGCGATTCAAAATGTTTATGAGGGCTCTGGACGCTATCACAGTCAGTTGTCCTGGCATACAGCGCAGCATCGATATTTTGACAAAGGGGCTGGGTACGGTTGTCGAGCAAGATCAAGAGATGTCGCCAGCCGTTCCTGAACAAGCCCCACAGATACCGGCTTTCCCTTATACTGACTTTGGATATATCTTTGCTGAAGGAGTAGACGAGACTAGTCATGACACGACTGCGAGCTCAAATCCGTTCTTCAGCCTTGATTCTTTCCCTCATTTGCGGTTTGATGAGATTTCAGGCAGCGTGTTCGATGACGGGCAGGCTAGAAATTCGCTGTAGATTCTTTGCTCATTTCTTGCAGTACAATGTCCTAGATAAGGTTTTGGGAATCAAGAGCTAATGTCAACCTGAGATATTAACCGAGAGCCCGGCCAGAATCTATCAGACCCTTTAGGAAAATGGAGACATTTAATCAACTCCACCTTTGTCCGACTTCCCCGTCTCTCTAAGAATCTCAGGTTACTATCTGAAGTGATGAAGGACTCATTTGATGTAGTGATAGGTGACTACCCTGAAGCTTTTGACGGATCTAGAAAATCATGAAAAGCAGGGAAGAAACCCACAGCAGTGGATACGCTTCGGCCATCTTTTCTGGAGTTTCTTTTCTCCCATTATTGATTTAGTTGAAAATCACGGAAAGTACCGCATTCGTGGACCCTCTTCCTTTCTGGAGAGACCAACAAGCTCAACCCGGCTTCTGGCCCGTGCATAGCCGCGGAGTTCTCGTCTCTCAAGTCATGAGCTAAAGCAGACTGCTATGTCGAATGCGCCATGATATGAGCTTCCACTTGTGTTCATCTGGAAATGGATGGGCAAAAGATTCTGGGCTCATGCTATTCGTTCAGGTGCTGAGTGCTAACACGAAGACAGGAAATTAAGCAAAGGGAATAGGTTCACGAGAAGCTTAAAACCTAAACAGGAAAGCTCATGGTGACAACGTAATCTCAATGATACTTTATCAATCTATTCAAGATGAAAAATGGGGTCTTCTACCACGATTCCCTGAAAACTCTGCGCAAGTCAATGCGAAATAATAAAGAATTGTTTCCATCCCCTATTCTTTCCGCTACTTTACATAAATATTAGCTACAAAGTCGAGTCCAGACGGATCTTGACTAACCATGTTTTTAGCCTCATTCTTAACATATAATATTGACTCACTAGCGTCGCCCCGCTGCGCCCGAGTCATAGATAGTGTGGGATAGTGGGATATCCAGAATCGCTAGCATCAATCACCGTTCAGCTACCCTATCAACCTTCACTTCCTCAAGCCACTCGGCAGTTACAGTGACATGTGAGAATGTCTGTGGCGTCGGTGCTGTATTTCCAACGTCGGCGAAGCTCCGATTTGTGGCTTGCGGTCTTTCGCCTATCACGCGGGCAACTCACTCATAAACGAAAAAGCCACGGGAGGGGGGAAGAAGGTTATCATCAGGCATTCTTCCCCGGGTCTCGAATTGATTCTACCCCAGGAACAAAAGAATGCAACGGTTACAACGGTGTGCTAGAGCAGATGAATGCTGCGACGGAGATGGTGTGAAGAGGGAAGAGATATTTAATGCGAAGGATCTTTTAAAGTTAAGGGATTCTTTATCTCTGATACGTGCTGATGCATTAGCAAGACGCCTTGTCCTTGAGAGGGAGGACGGCAACTCGGCTGCGCACCCACATTCCGTGGGCACTGATCACATCGGGAGACGGATCACTCGGTTAACTAGTCCCCCTCAGTTGTTCAAGATCGTTAACTCTGACGTTTTGTCTCACATCACCAGCCCTGTTAATTGAACACATGGCATGATGCAACCAGGCATTGTGTGCATTAGCCCAGCCAGAAAAATATCTTCCGAATGAAAAGTCAGGAGAGACGATCAGCAGAGTTTGTCCAGCTCATTCCAAAGAAACAGGGGTTCACATCCTGATACGAATTACCGTAAAGGAGGGCTGAAAATAAACCGCTTTAACGATTTACCCCGGCTTCTCAACCTTACCCCTTACCGGCAAGGAAAGCGAAAAATGCCTAGACCAGATGCCGAAGTCAAAACTTTAAATGCGTGCACATCTCTCCCCCCCTCATTTCTCCCCACGAGAACCACGAGTCAAGACGTTACAAAACAGGATAAGTTCTGCGCTGCTTGTTTGACCAAGCTCGTTAGTTCGAAACCGATGCACCCAACCGTTGACGCCTACCCATGGGTTGGGCTGCCACTTGCGGAGAACCCGTCACTCACTTGTCAGGATAGCCTGAGTACTGGTGTCGTCTCGCAGACCAACGAGCCAATCTCTTACCGCGGAGCGCACTGTATCCGACGCCATGGAATCAAGGGTATCCCTCTCTAATTTACAATGGTCAAAAACTAATCGACCTCTTGCCTTTATCGAAGGGGGTTATCGGGAACTTTATGATATGACAGCGGTGCAGCTGAGATCCAACTAACTGGAAGGGAGGGTGATCATCGAGGCCAAGATCTTCATTTAACGCCATCAATGTCACATTGCTTTTTCCTTCTCTTTTTCCTTCTATTTTCTCCGACTTTCATTACTCGTTTTTCTTACCATCCATACCACCCTTTCGACGTTACTTTGATCGACAATGGCGGATGCAGCGGTGCCGGTGTTTTTCGAGCTCAGCTGGTCTATTTTGATGACCATCTGCATGGGAAATGTCCTGCTGGGATGTCTCGTCTGCGGTATCACCAACTGGACGCTCCTCGCCGCTGTGCCCATGTTGTCGTCAGCGGCGGGAGCTGTCGCCAATGGATTGTGCTACTATGTGTATTACCAGAAGCATCCTGCCATGATGCTTGCGATCGCTTCGGTGTTTGCTGATATTTTCTGGCTGGTATGATTGATGCGTTACTCAATTGGAGGTGACGAGCTGACGGTCACTAGCTGCAAGAAGCCGGTCTTCTTTTCTACAGTTACATCATCCTGAAACGAGTCCTTCGAGGAACGCGATGGAGGGTCTTCATGTCGCTTTTCTGGTCAGGCATCGCCGGCATTTGTGTCGTTCGCGTCGTCATCATCACCTTCCGAGTCCGATCAATCCTCGCCGGCAATGAGGATCTCTTGGCTACCATCAACCATATCCACATCGCCTACTTCGGTCTCATCGCGTCGCTCGAATGTCTCAGCGCATACTTCCTCATCGTCCTCTTCACGTCGGCCAAGACTTCATCTGCCGAGATTGCGCGCAATGGTGGTCTTTTCCAATACTTGGCTCGAAGCACAGAAATGAGAGTTGCTCTTCTGGCTCTGCAGGGCACACTTCGCGCAGTGACGCATTCATTCAAGACGGCTGGTCAGACGGCGGAGAACATTGCTACCCAGCTGGACCGATTCTTCTACGCCGTCTTCTGTCTGTACTCGATGGTGTTATAGTAAGTCCTCCTGTATTTATCTACTTTGTAAGCCATTGACCTAACTTCTGCAGCATCGATCTTCTCTCTTCCAAACTCAAGTTCAACGGTACCCAGGATTACCCTTCCTCTCGCGATCGCTATGTCCATCAGAGCAGTCAACCTGGTCGCTTCACCTCAACCCAGAAGGATGACTTTGCCCAAAATAGAACAGAGCATGTCGTCGGTGTTGATGGCGGCACACGCACTCACAAGACACGAAATGATTCTACAGATCATATCATTGAGGGCGGTTCCTCGCAAGGCGATGGGTCAATTAACCTGGAGGATATGGACCTCAAGGGTAATGTTATCAAGAAGACAGTCGAGTTCAGAGTTGTGTAGATTATTTCTCATTTTCGTTGGGCGTATTGAAGATACCAGATGTAATGTTTAGTTCATTTTCAATCTCACTTTGTAGTAGTTAGATAGCGTATCTCAAGATTAATGATTGTTGATGATAAGAAGAGTTTACCCCACAAAGTGATCGGCTCGGTTCGTGAGATCGGTTGATATCTTCCGAACCGAATGATAACTGACATGACAGTTCAGAGTCAGAAACACGATGATCCGGCAGAATGGTGCAAGACCCCTTATTCGTATCCACTGATCAGCACGCCCGTCTCGTGGCATCTTAGGGCCAAGCCATTTCCCTATTCGGGTTTTGGCAGAAGCTGAAACGCCGGAGACTGTAGAGATCGTCAGCACTGTAGATCTAGAGAGCCTCGCCTGAGCTGTGATTTTGAAGGGCAATGGCCCAGCTGAGAGTATGCTGACAAGATAAATATGGCATCGATTTAAAAGCTGTGACTGGACCAGGCGCATTGGAAGACAGCAACGGCGGCCCATGGATTATTACGTATATAGTCTAAGCTATTCGTCGATACTTAGCATATTTACATATGGCCCTAAAAGACTGCAATTATCTGACAAAAGCCTTAATATCAGACTTTTGAACTATACTTTCCTCGAACTCGTCTGCAAAGTTCCCCTCCTCCTGTCTTGACATGCCACTGGCCATCAGGGCATGCAACCACTACCGTCTTTCTTGACAGCCTAACCCACCCCATTTGATGCACTGATTCCTTCCTCGCATTGTCCCCTCAGTCATGATGTTTGCTTCCAAGGGAGGTCTTTCATATGCCCCAGGAGTTCCGGGTGTCACTTTTTTCTTCTGTACGATGCCTTCATAATATGAGGCTCTATGCATCTCAATTTGACCTCAACTGTGAAAATAGGAACAAAAACTGCTTTTGCTACTACACCTTTCCAAAAACGTTGCGTCCAGCATCAAAGCATTGGTATCAACATTTAGTTTAGGCAATATTTATCAAGTATATTGGGAACAGCTTCTAGTGATGTGATATTAACATTGTTACCGTCGTTGCCCCGAAAAGGGCTTAAAGCGGCTTTAAGATAGTAGATTCATACCATGCAAGCATTGTTATTTGTTCTCCAGGGGAACTTTGGATGTTACGGATTGTGCTTATACCCCATGCCGCTTAGTAATAGTTGTCCGAACCAAACCTCCGAGCCAGATTCGAAGCCACTCATCAAACTAGATCAATTCGAGAAATCGTCTTGGGGCCACCTCATAAAGCAGGCCATCGGAAGACTTCCGATTTCCGAATTACTCATCTGGAGTCGAATGCGCTAAATTCCGGGGTAACAAGTGGATCCTGCAGGTGATCTGATCTGGTAGTATGGGGTAAAGAGATCATCGAATAGAGTCCAGCCCTTTTTTCCCCAAACTTCGACGTCTTCGACACGACTGTTTTTCATGCTTCACACCTGAGCGCCTTTTTTTTTTATCGCCGTACAAGTAGACATTGAACAACGCCATATCATTACAGCTTGAGAGGCAGCATAATCATGAGCCCGCCTAGTACTCAGCCAGAATTCTCATGCGAGACGTGCAATCTCCCATTTCAGCGCAAGGAGCATTACCAGCGACACCTACGCACTCATACAAAAGAGAAGCCGTTCACATGCTCCGAATGTGGACAAAGCTTTGGTCGCGTGTAAGTAAGCCCTGCCGACTTAGTTGCGACCTACCTACTTATGCCGCCTGGGAGCTGCACCAATGCTGACCGCTGTAGCGACTCTCTTGCTCGTCATCATACAACCCTACATCTGAGTGCGGATCGTCAAGACAGCCGTGATCGTCCAAATGATCGCCGTCGAGTATCGCAAGCTTGCAAGCCGTGCAGCACATCAAAGGTTAGATGCGATGGCGAGCACCCATGTCAAAGATGTCGGCAACAAGACAATGATTGCTACTACGAGCCTCATGCGAAGCGAAAAATGTCAGAGGCTAGTTCTGACAGGCCAATCAGCAAGCGGAACCGAGAGAAAGCCCTGGCCAATGTTGAGGTCATGGAAAGCATCAATGTCAACGTGAATAGCAGGAACTCGCCGCTCTCACCGCCCGCGACCGTTCAGGACAACGGCTCTAACAAGACCAGCAATGCTGAAAACTACATGTCGCCGGCTCATGATCCATTCATCGAGCTATCCAAGCCCGACGACCTCAGTGCAAATATTCAAGCAATCGATCCCCAGCTTGATGCACAGCATAGCTCATCTATCGGATATCAAAGCCATCAGCATGGCCCCAGTGACATCCTCTTTGATACTGACGACATATTGGCAAAATTCAACTCTGCAAATACAATTCCGGCACCATTACCCTCTATGTTATTCGGTGATGCCTTCGACACTAACGGATGGCTCAACTACGGCGCCGATCAATCATTTGCGCCCCTCTTTCTCCAGAACGATGCATCTCTCGACGCCATCAACGAACTCTGGTTCGACCACGCAGGGTTCAAAGCACCTCAGCAACCTATCGTCTCACAGCTTACACCAGCCTCTTCGATGGTCGATCAATCAGCCGTGGCAGAGCTATACAGCCGCAGCCACTCCCCAGCTATTGATAGGGATGCGGTTGAGCCTAGAGAATATGTTGCCGTCTCAATCGAGTTAGACGCTCAGCTCAACTTCCCTGACCTATCACACCTGACAGCCGAGGACGTTGATCACGAGAATTTGGCACATGTAGATGATATCCCCGAGGAAGTGTCCAAGAATGTAGCCGAGGCAGCAGCAGAGATACAGAACGGCGGTAACTTCCCGCATTTTAGGAATCTGGCTATTCCGCCAACGCCAGTGCTAAATGCTTGGGTCCAGCTGTACTTTGAGTACTTCCACCCAGTTATGCCTATTCTGCACAAGTCGACCTTCTCCTCGTCTAAACGGCATTGGCTTCTTATCTTTACAGTGGCCGCAATCGGTGCGCACTTTTCAAGCATCAAAGATGCCCAGGCATGCTCGAGGGCAATGCATGAGACTATTCGACGACAATGCTCAACCATGGTAAGTTCTAGATGACGCAGAATGAAGGACCCGAGGCTCATTGAAAAAAAAGTGTGAACGTCAAAACTCCAACGGAAGAGAGCTTTGGATGTCGCAGACTATTCTCCTGAACCACATTGGCCTGCTCTATGGCGGTGAGCGGAGGTCTCTCGAAATTGGCGAATTCCTGCAAGCATTGCCCGTAACACTCGGAAGACGAAAAAGGCTTTTTACAAACATGTTTCCCGTAGACAAGTTTGCTCAGCTGCAGTTACCGCATGCTCAGAAATGGCAAATCTGGCTGTTAGACGAAGAGCGGCGACGGGCAGGCTTTGCTATCTGGGTGAGTCTAATGAACGAGATATCTCGCTAGTCCATACTGAGTCTTGAATTATCTAGCTCTTGGATTCTGCATTCAGCGCGCACTTTGACCTGACGAGTCTTATGAGGCTGTCCGAACTGCAGATATCCTTGCCTCAGCCGGATGATCGTTGGGGTGCATCAACGGCCCAGTGCTGGGCCAACTTTCCTGCAGTTGGTAAGCTGAAACCTATCATAATCTTTCTCCGAGTTACTGACATAAGGAGAAAACTCTGGCTCTGGTGGACTTCCGACGATGGAGCGTGTCATCTCCGAAGATAGCTGGCGATTCGTATGGTCCAAAACCAACACCTTAGGCAAGCAGGTTATGCTGCAGCATCTCACCAACGTCATCAAGGATAAAAGTGCAGACCAACCTGGCACCCCGGGCTTCTCATACCACGACAAATTACTAGCCTCGAATGTCTTGACTGATTTTCTGAATCTGATCGAGACCGACCAAATGGAGCAATCAATTGATGAAGCCAAGGCATCGACAACACACAAGATCATGGCGCTGACGGCTTTGATGACACACAATACTCCGGTCCAGAGCCTCCTTCCAACGATTATTCGATGCATATACGGCAAGCTCGACACTAAAGACTGGGCGGCGCTCAGCGATCGCTGGAGAGGAGCGTCCGGGCAAGGAAGGCTTGGATGCTTCTACGCATCGCGCATCCTCCACGTAGTACGGTCAAGCCGGTCATCGCACTTTGGTACACCAGTCTCGCTTCTCCAGGCCGTGTTGGTTCTGTGGCTTTACTCAGCGCTTGCTGAACGTTACCGTGATGGGTTTTTGTTCTCGCGCACGGCTCCAGCTGTGGTGCTTGGCCCGAAGCCCCTGGACCAGATGGAGACTAACTCTTGGATCGAGATGGGGTGGAGCCGAGTCAAGTTACCGGGAATCGGCAATCTGCTTTGTGCAGAGGGCAGAACTAAGTTGTTGGACGATGCAGTGGTGCTTATGAGATCGCTAAAGGGTTGGGGGATTAGTAATGCATATGCTCAGATCTTGCTGCGGCTGCGAGCGAGTGAGACGGCTAGTATGGCCCATGGATGATTTCAGAGTGGCCTGAAAAGCTCACAAGCTACAAGCCTTATTGTGAGCATTTACGGAGGGGCTTATATGTATTATACATGGCTACAGCAAATTCTACTCATCTGTAGCTTAGAAAACCTATTATGCGAATTGATCATCATTCTAATAACGCCATGTAGCTTGCAACGGGCCATTGGACAGTGTCAGGGCCGTCGCGGCTGTTTCACGGGTGTCCATACTGCTGCACGCTCTGGTGATCCATTACCTGCATCACTATCAAGTGAACTGTCCTTGCAGTCACTAGAGAGAACAAGAATGTTCATTTAAAAGACAAGTTGTCAGTTGAACAGCTGTCTCATGACATGCCTGTCTTCCCGGCTCCGTCGGCTCCACAATCGATTGAACTCGTTCCATTTCCGTAATTCCGACAGACTTGATGGGATCTACCTTGACATTTAATAGCTCATCGACCTATTAAACCTTATTATTTGCTTAAATGAGTTGATCGCTGACCCGATCGTGACTCTCATTCGCAAACATACCTCTTGCACCGCTTGACCAATCTTGACCAATATGGCGCCTACCGTTCTTGGAATCGTTGCATCGACTCGCACTCAAAGAGTCCTACTCACATTGGAGGAACTAGGCATTGAGTATGACTTCAAAGTCGTAGATCTCTCAAAGGGACAACACCACGTGAGTCAGAGCACGAGCAGCATTGAGGCTAGCAGCTTACACATACACAGGATCCTGAATATGTCAGAGATCATCATCCCTTCGCCAAGGTTCCAGTGTTCCAAGACGATGGAGTCGAGATTTTCGAGTCTAGAGCCATTGCTCGATACCTCGCCGTGAAGCACAAGTCGCACCTTGCTCCGCCTAGCGATGGTCCGGAAGCTTTGGCAGTATTCGAGCAAGCTGCTAGTGTGGAATATGCCTATTTTGAGCCGGCTGTCTCTGCTCTAGGATTCGAGCTAATTTTTAAGAAGTAAGATAGTCAAAGCATATTCGAAGTCTTCTGAAGGGGGAACATTCTGATTGACCTATGGCTAACTAGGCTGTTTAAACTCGGAGACACCGATCAAGCGATAGTTGACCAACAGAAGACCGTGCTCAACACGACGCTGAACTACTATGAAAAGACACTCGAGGCTCAAGAGTATCTGACCGGAAAGGTTCGTGATTTGCAAAGCACGCGTAACACCCGTCAATTATTGACCCATTGATAGGACTACAGCCTCGTTGACCTCTTTCATGTCCCCTGGTTAGGATTTATTAGGAACCGATTGCAACTTGGAGAGTTGATCGACTCTAGGAAGAACGTGGCGGCATGGGCTGAGCGCATTAGCCAGCGTGACGCATCAAAGGCGGTTTCGGCCAAGGCAGCCCAGCATTAGTTAACTTTAGAAGGTTTTCATATGAGCATACAATAGACAAAACAGATTACAGTGGGCAGAAATTTGAGATGATCATGCCGATGCGGTCGTGAAGATAAAAGCCTGAAGGCATTAGGTTAAAGAGCAGGCCTATAGTCTACCCTACGTTAAATATGTAGCTGATTGCTGCCAATAAGGTTAACCTTAGGCGGCTAACACACATGATAGGGTGCCTTGTATCAAGAAAGTCTGCTTATTGTATGAGACTATAGAGTGCAATATATACTAGTCTTTTGAAGTTCTTTATTACTGCCAGCCTCCTAAAATAATCATACGAAACAATGGATCGTGGTATGTAAAGGAAATGGATTCAGGGCTGGATCACTATCGCTCTCAAATCTAATTTCTATTCACCCTCGCTTGCCTGCAAACGATACGCTAGCAGGGCCACCACACCAGAGCCTCAGAGTCCAACGCGACCCTTGCTCAATCATTCCTCGGCAGGTCAATAATCTGAACTTTCTCTACCAAAGGGCCCAGCTCTGCCACGACAGTGAGGTGGACTGGGTCTTTGAGGGCGTAGTAGTCCCTGTCTTCAGGGCTGTCGAATTGGATGACGAATGCATGAGTGATACCTTGCTATTTTTACTATCAGCGATCTTGATCGCGGTTGGACGTGGTCAGCAGAAGAGGGGAGACACCGCCGATCGAGAGTAATATGAACTGTCTCACCTGTAGGCCTTCTGGCGAGCTATCAGCGCCACCTTGGATGGATTGAATGTAAGGCTGTTTGGACTCAGGGTGCAAGCACTTTTCCCTCATCTCTTGGATCTTGGCGGACACCTAAAGATAAGGTCAACAGTTGCCCTGAAAGACGCGGGAATTGAAAAGTGACCTTCTCGATGGCATCGCTGCCGGTGTCCGGCTTGAACTGAAACTGGACGACACGGTTGATACCCATTTTACAGGTGGCGATGTATAGCACGAAGGTACTTGTGAAAGGGATTGTCTGGGTGCCTTGGTACAATGATTGCCAAGTAGGTTGGCGGTCAGTTCTGTTGTGAACTATTGAATTTAAGTAGCGCGTGAATGATGCTCGGAAAGATGGTTGAATTTCCGATTCCCCCTTTCCCCGCAAGTTGTTGTCGCTTTCAACGTGGAGCCGACAGATCGTGGGGAAATCGTTGTCCGCTAAAGTGTACCCCAGATTATCAACCCTACAGATGAAACCTTTCGATCTCATGACCTCTAAGTATTGATGGCTGGAAAAGCTGCCAATTGTCTGGGGTTTCTATTATAAGCCTTGTGCTTCTAGAGATACTATAGATAATAAACATGTGGAAATTTGAGTGATTGTCGATTTTGAAATGGTAACAACCGATATCTATGTAATTTACATGCACTACAGCGATTCAGGGAGTCTATAAACAGTTTCAAATGACCCAAGGTTGGTGTCTAACTTCCAAGCTTTATTGAGTCTAGTTAGCATAGCCTCATATTGCACTCTTCCAACCAACTCGTTTAGCATGCCCCAAGCCGTAGTGGGGTATCCGAAGTGGTACCCGCGCGCCAGTCCTCTGCAATCACGAAACTATTTATGATAATACACCTCCCTTTATCCTGCTCGACAATTCATCACGACGAGTTGTTCCGAGTCAATATCAGCAGTACACACAAAATGGATTCCGCAAGCACAGAAAAGGCAGAAGTGTCGAGAGTGGAGAATACCAGCCAAGCCCCAAGCACCCCAACAGGTCAAGAACTGCGAGACCATCCAAAGGTGAGTTGCCCCTTTTGCGCCCTGTCCGACTACTAATAATCACCTACAGACATGGAATCGGAGCCTCAAGCTGATGGTCCTGGCCAACCTTTGCTTCATGGTATTTTGCGGTAACTTCTATTCGGTACTTTCTCCTCGATTCGCCATTCCAGACAAGCTTGACTAACCTTGGTGATTCAACAGGCCGGTATTTCTGCTGGGTTGACCCCTCTTGTATACGAATTTCACAGCAACTATGACAAGGCGGGTGATATCGTCGCGTACTCTGTGCTATGCATTGGCCTGGGCTCATTCATATGGATTCCGACCGCTGTGGTGATTGGGAAACGACCCGTCCTGCTAGCATCTCAGATAATGTTCATGGCTGGATGTATTTGGTGCTCGCAAGCAGAGTCAATGAATAGCCTTCTCGGGGCGCGAATCCTTGGTGCCTTCGGTGCTGGCGCAGTCCAAGCTGTTGGTCCTGCTGTCGTAGGAGGTAAGAAATCGCCCCCTTGATCTCAATGCCAGTCAACTTCTGACGCCTCTTATCACAGAAGTATTCTTGGAGAAGAACTACTCTAAAGCAATGGGCTTGTACGCCGTGAGTCTCTGTATCGGAGCTCAGGGCGGACCTCTTATCGCAGGCCACCTGATCGAAGCCAAAGGATGGAGTTGGTTTTTTATCCTCCTCGCTATTCTTAGCGGCTTCAACTTTCTTACACTGGCTTTCTTCTGCCCAGAGACTGCTTTCAACGTCGAGATTGAGGCGGGCGCTACTAGTGCTGATGTCGACGCCGATATTCTTGACCAGACCACCGGGTTTGGTCGCACCCAGAGCTTGCTCACAACATGGAAGCAGAACTCTTTTTATTTGAGACACCCGCACGTGAGAGGTGGTGGCTTGAGGCAATGGTTTCTTTCGTTTTTGCTGCAGATCGAATTCATGTTCGATCCCATCGTGATTCTCTCTGCGGGTATGTGGGGAATTGTGTTAGCTTGGTAAGTTTCACAGTCTCTTTGCAGCAAAATCCATTTCTAACTCTGTACAGGGTCGCAACTATCTCAGTCATCTCCAACCAACTGTTCGCGATGCCCCCCTTCTTCTGGGGTCCTGCTGAACTGGGCAATTGGGCATGCACGAGTCTAGTCGGTGTAGCCATTGCCTTTCCCATTGCTGGACCCTTGACCGACACCGTCTCCTCGTTTATCGGCCGCCGAAAGGGCAAACATATGCCTGAATACCGACTCATCACTCTGGTGGTCCCATTCCTGTTCTCTTCATCAGGCTTGTTGCTGTTTGGCTATACATACACAAAGGGGTCTTATGTAGGGCCAGCAGTTGGTTACGCCATGCAAGCTGCTAGCCTTATGCTCATCCCCACCTCTGTTCTGTCCTACGGTATCGATAGCTACCCTTACGATGCGGCTGAGGTGACTGCCTTGATGAATGCCGTCACCCATATCATTCCTTTCGGGCTGACGAAGACGGCTTCTAATTGGCTTGCCAGGGTCGGTGTGGAGAAGATGTTTCTGCAAATGGCGATCATTCAGTGGGCATTGCTAGCTGGCTTTACCATTGTGCTGCTGGTATTCGGACCGTGGATTCGGGTCAAAGCCGCTTATGTTCACCATCATTATGGCGCCAAGAGATTTCTGTAGTGTGGATGGGACTGGACCTGAGCATCAGGGTAAACATGTCTAATGGAATGGTCCTCTTTAGCTCACTCTGAGCTCAAATAGTCCATAGCTCAAGTTTGAATGGCCATTATCTTGACCTTTGCAATTGTCTTCTTGAATATGTGAGATGAACACCGCTACCTCAGCTTAATTCGGCTATCAGAAAGGATTAAGCTACAAAGTCAAGCCCGGATTCACTTTATGTACCTCCTGCTCAAGATCCTGAACACACGTCGGCAAAATCACCACACATCTTATAAGATATTCTCAAGCAAACGTTCATACTTTCTGTCTTACCAAACGGTGCGACTTCTCTCATCACTCTGTAGGCACTTAAGTATTACGAAGATGGGCGATGCTTATGGGAACTGCGATTTCGGGTAGGCAAGATCACCTTCTCCTTGGGCACTGTAGTAATATTGGCCAGAGGAGATGAACAGGGGCTTTATCTCAGTCAATGACCCGGGGTATGTAGCAAAGCATTACATACTCTATTCTCACTGTTATTTGGTTTCTGTTTCTCCAAGGAAAAAGAGATATAGAACGTCAGATATTGGTTTCAGATTGAAGAAAACTGAATAGCCTATGGATTGACCCGCCTAACACGATCTAAGCCAGAGGGTCCAGCAGAGGAACCACTAGATAACTGTCAGAGTCGGCCCCAATATGAATGGTATGACGACCCTTGTTCGCATGAGCAGCTCCGTACAAGAAGTCAAACTCCATGAAGCTCATATAGTGACCAGAAACCTTCAATGTCAAGTACTCTCCCTCCTCAAAGATGATACCAGTCGGCCAGATGGGAACCTCGAGCTTGGCAACAGTGCCGGCAGGAATAGCCTTTCGACTCGTGTTGGTGTACTCAGGCCAGTCACCAGTGAATCTCCCAGGCTTAGGGGTCACCTTTGTGGCAGCATGGCTACCTCGTAGGGAACCTGTAGGACCCAGGTATTTCAGGAAGCATGTGTCTGCAGCTTCTGTGTGCCTGTCGACAGGAGGAATAAGGTCCTTTAAAGGAACGTTCATGTTGACTAACTGAGTTCCTGAAGCATCCTGTTTGCCCAGTTGAGCGAAAACATCAATCTCATCATCGCCGTCGTTGGAGATGCTGACGTTGAGCCATGAGTAGCCAATGAGCCATGTCTTCTTGGTAAATTTGTACCTGAAGAGTACTTCCTCGCCGCCTTCAAGAGGGTGCTTAGGAAGGTATGCTGCATCATACGACACGGTGCTTGGATCCTTTGGTGAGACTGCTTCAAGCTTCTCGCCTGAACCGAGGTAAAGCTTTGTGTGCTTTGTGTTGGGGATGGGATATGATTCGAGAGGAATATTGCTGATGTTGGGCTGGTTCGGGTCAGAACTTAAATCCAGATTTGGGTAAAGACAGAAAGCAGCTTACTAGATTGAACCCGACAAGAGATCCTCGTACTTTCTGGGTGCTTGGCCAATCGTTCTGAATGCCTTTGACGAAATAGTCGTAGAACTTGTTCAGATCGTCAACGCTGTCAGGATGATACAAGTCGGACCATTCCTGTTTAGCATGAATGCGGAGCCTATAGATCCATCAGTATCCGGTTCCCAAGGCCAGGTTGAAACTCACCATTTATCCTTGGAAGAGATATCATGATAACCACGAATAGAGCCAGTAGTATGAAGAGCCGTTGAGAAGCTAGCTAAAACATAAGTAGGGACCTGGATTTTCTCGAGCTTCACATTCTTGTCCTCCCAGTAGTCATTGAACAGGGGATATTTCTCCAACATCGAGATGGGAGCCTCAGCAGCATTGCGACCCACCATCAGATCCTGTAGGAGCTTCCACATCGCACTGTAGGGATACGGCACGCCACCACGGGCAAGAGTGTCGCGATAAAAGTCCGCATTGGCTTCCCACGGAGCAATAGCGGCCAGTGAAGGAGGCTGCTGAGAAGCAATCTGCCACTGAACCATGGCGAGCCAACTGTTGCCGCCCAGGGCGACTTTACCTGTGCACCAGTCAAGCTTGGCAACGTGTTCGATGGCATCATACCCGTCTTGGCCATCTAGGTTGCCGACCCATCTGATCATGTTAGCTACATATGTAGTATCCTGCTAAGGAATGTTTATGAACTTACGGAATAATTCCTTCAGAGTCCCACGAGCCTCGCAAGTCCACATTAACGATAGCATATCCCCTAGCTGGCCAGACAGCAGGGTCCAATCCTTCGAACTTCTCATAACCGCTGACCTGATCTTCAGCCACACCGAACCGACCAGGAATCATTCCAAGTCCATGAGGGCCTAAAGGTTGTCAGAAGATTCAACACTTTATGTGCATCAGGGCTAACCATTTCCAGTCTTGCCATAAGGACTCCAGATGAGAACGGCTGGAACCTTTTCGTCAGTCTTGGGTCGAAAGACATCAGCGTACAGCTTGATGCCGTCGCGCATGGGAAGAACAATATCCTTCTCGAAGATAGTGTCGACTTCAAACGCCCTGTTTGCCGGGGTCCTCTTGTGGCCTTTAGGCAAGACTGTTACCGAAGGGTTAAGGGGGTCATAAGGACCAGCTTCTTTGGCCCCTGGGGCGATGACTGGGGTCACATCAACCTCGAAGCCATTGATCATGAGCGGCATGATACCGGTGTTTGAGTAATACAATGATGGTCTTTCTGAGAATAAGCTGCTGTATCAACCTTCGTCGTATGAATAACTACCTGACTTATAGAGCTGCAGCTGATCTGCCACTATCGCCTCTATTCTGTTAAGTCCGTTAAACTGGATCATGCTGCATCCACGATCGTGGGGCCGCTAGGCGGGTGCCAAGATGAAGAACCGGCTCGGGACCACAATCCCCTCAATGGGCAAACGACTTTGCCCAATGAGGCCGCGAATTTCATCTCCGAGAAAGTTCCCGAACACATCAAATCGATGCGGATGTTAAAGTCCCAGTTGGGATGAAGATTACCGTGCTTGTTAGAAGCTATATCCACCCCCGGTATTTCACGTTGTTGTGGGGTACACATGGTGCTTAAGTGCGCATTCTTTGATGATCGCTTCTTATCAAGATCTGGGCCCATGGAGAGGTTTATTGAGTTCATGGGGCAATGAACCGATTGCGAACCGTGACACAGAAAACGACTTGATGATTCATGATGGAACGACTCTACTTCCCGTGTGCAATACGAAAAAAGTCACTTGTCTACTTTCTCAATAGAATACTGTCTAAATTGTGATCTGACTGTGTTGCATGAAGTTTAGTCTACGGCAGATGCTAGTCCTCTCACTAAGGTTGGACTACTTTCTAAGAAGTGCATTGATTCCATGCTTCAACTTCTCCTCATGTCCGCTGTCAACCCTTGTGCCTCGCCAACCAATAAACCCATCAGGTCGCACCAGGATCGCCTCGCCCGGCTTCAGACGGCATTTCTTCTCAACATTCCCCTTTATGTCTCTATACGGAGATGATGTCGCGTTCAAGGTATAGACATCAATCTCGATTGGAGCTTTACTCGCGGCTGCAGCCCATGGGGAGTAAGGATCTATTGTGACGAGAACAAAGTTCGTCTTTACCAAGTCAATAGTTGAGATTGGCTTGTCAGATGAAACGACATCGTCGAGATAGGAATGTGGGAATCGAGATCCAGGAACGGCTGAAGGGAAAGCCGGATCATCGTAGAGCTCCTTGGGAGTTGAGTACTTCTCCTCTGGGACAAAGGCTCCTCCGCGAGGATACCTGAAGCCCAGCTCGATAGACTCATCCGGGGCTTCTGAAGCTGGTGGCTGCTGGATAACGATCCTATTCTGGAATCGGTTGTATGCCTGAGTAACGGTAAACTCATCAATAGGTTGTCGCTCAATGTTGTACGTTGCGAGTAATGAGTGCGAGGCCTTCCCGGATAAGACGTATGCCAACTTCCACGCAAGGTTATGAGCATCCTACCACAGTATACGTTAGCAATATATGGTGAAAATAGGCGGGCCAACCAACAGCTATTCCAGTGTTTCCTCCCAAGCCTCCAGTGGGTGGCATAGTATGGGCGGCATCTCCAGCAAGGAAGACACGACCGCCTTTGCTCTCGAAGCGTCCAGCGGTGTATGCCGCCATAGTCCAGTAGTTCATAGATACGATTTGGGGATCTACCTGATCAGGAGTCAAGCCGGACAGTTGGTAAAAGTACTGTTTGGCATCCTCCGTTGTCACGGTTCCGGGTTCGAAGCTGGTCTTGGATCCGACATTATTCACCATGATAATGCCTTGCTTTCCTTCGTTCTCCAGTCGAAAACCTCCTCCGATGTCCTTGTTTGCCACATAGACAACTCCATGAACCATTCTCTTACCGATAAAAGGGCTCAGGTCTGATTTGAAGCTGACTCCAAGACTGTTTCGAAGAACACCTGGGCCATCCCAGCTGATACCCTCATTTTGGCGGGTGGGACTTCGGTTGCCATCGCATGCAACCACATATTGTGTCTTGTACTTCTTGATATCGCCAGTGTTCAGATTCTTGACGACGACGACAACATGATCATCGTGTTCCTCATATAGAAGGACCTGATGGCCATGTCGCTGTTCGCTATTGAACCTCTCAGCATTCTGGCCCAAGATAGGTTCAAACATCCTTTGCGATATCCACACCCAGTTGGAAGGAGTAAAGGTCTTCACATGTTCAGGATCATGCTCTTGAAGATGTTTGATAACTTTGCCGCCCACTAGCTTTTCAACGATAAGCATACCGGCATTGAGATCAAACTCTTTACCGCTCTGCTCCAGAGTAAATTCTTCCAGGCCTAGTTGCCGTAGAATCTCGCTCGTTCGAAAGTTGATGCCTGCTGCCCGTGGATGAGCTCCAGCTTTGGAGTGACGATCGAACGAGACCGATTTGATACTGAAATCTAGGGTTAGCTTGTTGGTCTATGGGTAGTCAAATGTTTGAGCTTACCCATGATACCCGAGGAGAAGACCAAGAGTCTTTCCAACCATGCTGGAACCAATTATTATGACAGGCCATTCTTCCTCCTCGAACGGAATGTCGGAATGATCAAAGGGTGTGAACTTATCCTTGGCCAAATTGGCCGACGACAAAGTCTCATCAAGTTGCTGTGCGGTGACTGTCATTGTGATCGATGATCTCTTTTACCAAGCTCTCAAATGTTTCTACGTAGCGCCGATTATGATGGGACTGATGATGACACTTATTCCATCAATACACGTGGTAAATATAAATTTCCAGGCTCAGAATCACTGACATTCTCTGTAACTGCAGAGCCATACTTCGCTTCGCCTCCCAAGAAGCTTCCCTGCATGCCCCGGCGATCCGGTGGGGTCGGCCCCGAAGTGACCCTGATCCGGCGCCCACTCGGCATTTGTAAGCAGAGGGCTACTGTTGATTTATTCGAAGCGATAACGGTGCGTTGATCTCGGCTTCGGTTTTTCTATCCAGTGATGCATACCGTGAAATGAATGACTTTATCATTCTGAGTCGCGGTAGAGGATGGCACCGTCAACCAGTATCAATAATCAGATTATCCGTATCATGACATGTTGAGCGTGCAAGCTACGAAATGTAGTGGCCGTCATTCATACTACTGTTTAATTATGAGCGGAAGTAATAAATACCTGGATGAACTACGAATATCACCAGATCGTGTCTCATAACATGCACAGAACAAGTAGCTTTTAATTATGAGGAAGATATTAGTAACATACCTTACTACGGATCTTTTTCCTATCAATATAGATACTATTCCTAACTAAATCTGGCGATCAGGCTGCTGCTGCAAGAGCCTTTTGCGCATCGTCAAGCACAAAGTTATTCCACAGATACGGAAAGATGTTGGGAGGGAGTTCCGCATCGGGGACAAACTTCCGAAGGTCCTCCATCATCTCGCCTCGCCTCTCATCATTGATCTTTGACATGAACATTACAGTCACGGATCTTGGATAGCGGAGCTTATTGTAGAGTTCCAGTCGCTTAGGTACATCGTCCACGGTCGTGTCGGCAGGGAACAAGACTCCAAGAGCTGCTGCATCTTCGAATGATTGCGCTCCGCCTTGTCCTTGATCTAAGATACTGTTAGTCGGTCTATGTCATTGAAACACAGTGATTGTGGCTTACGTGGGAGCATGGGATGAGCTGCGTCACCCAGCAGCACAGTTCTACCCTTCCAGAACTTAGTAGGGGGATCTCTGGTAGCCAAGCTCCACAGTTTCAGGTCTTCGCCAATCCTGCACATCTCGATAAGCTCAGGTCCAAATTCCTTGTAGACATCAAGCAATTCCTCCACTCTTCCGCCCGCCAGCCACGAGGATTCAGAGTCGAGACCAGCATCATCAGATGGATGCATGGCGACGATGTTGAGCAGTTTGCCATTTCGGCACGGGTAAACCACCATTCTGCGATCTCTAGTAGTAAACACGTGTTGACAGTCGAAACCAAGTTTTCCGAAAAATGGTCCAGTAATGGGATTGGCCATGAGCTTGTCAATCGGTACCAGGAATCGGAATGTGTTTTGTTTTGTACTGACGCGGACAGGTGGACTGCCTGCAACGGCAGAAACGACTTTGGACTGTAAGTATCAGCGACGATCCTTGGTAGTCATAGACAATAGGAAACTCACATGCACACCGTCTGCTCCAATCAGTAGGTCGCCTTTGTGTTTGTCGCTGTTTGCTAAAGTAATTTCGGCTGTTGCCGCATCCTCCAAATTGTCAGTCGATCAGTTCAAGTTGGCGTAGAGTGCCCATATGCATGTACATACCGCCTGAACGACTTTGCTTGCTGTGTGAATCTTGATTGTTCCCGCGAATGTCTTTTCGGTGGCTGCCTTACGTAGAGTGCTGTGCAGGTCGACGCGGTGCGTGAGGAGCCACTCATCCTTGGTGCCAATACTCTTTTGGAGTTCTTCCAGTTTCTTTATAAGCATCCAGCTGTTAGCATATACATAAGTTGGTGGTCTCGTAACAACTTACCACGGGAACGAATATAAGCTTCCCTGTATGGTCATAGATCTTGATGGCATTGCATAAGACGGCTTGCAGCTCAGTGAATTCGATATCCCAGGACTTGAGTACCCTGGTTGCGTTGGGGGCAATGTGAATCGCGGCACCGATCTCGTTAAGGAATCTTGATTGTTCGAAAACCTACTTCGGTCAGCTTCCAATGGGCCGTGACGGCGCAGACTATAGAACTTTACCTCTACGTTATGGCCAGCGCGGGCCATGGCGATAGCGGCACCCAGGCCACCCAAGCCTGCACCTGCAATTATAACTTTGAGAGGCATATTCACAGTGGCTAGAGATAGCAGATTTGTTCAAAGACCAAAATATCCCCATTGGGGTAAACTGGGAGACCATCGTTATAAGCTGAAATCGTTCGAAGACTAAACCTGCTGACGCTTAGACCGTAGACGCCTCCTTTCCCTCTTCCAGACACCCATTACAGTTACCTTCATTTCCAACATCATCGATTCAAGCCATCATCATTTCGATCCATTACCATCTGCACCAATCATTTTTGTTCTCCTCGTAAGCTCGGAAACAAGCCTACCAAAATCCTCCCATACAACAAACATCTCACTTCTCCATCTCGGCTCCACGGATAGGAACTTCCCCGCGTTGTGGCGTCCAACGTGGGGAATCCGGGCTCAGTTTGTGTTCTCGGGCCCTCTCCACACGGTCACGTCAACTCACGGAAAGACGAGCCCCGTGACCGAAAGAACGGAGTTAAGGACAAAATTCCATTGCAACGTTGGGGCTGTATCGCGAACCCCACATTGAGTATATGTTTAAAAATCGAGACACCTTGGCGATGGTTGTTTGTTTGGCAGTACAACCACAACACATTCTGTTTGACAGTCTGGCTTCACTTATTCACTACTAGAATTTACAAGATGGTTACCCACGAGCACGTCCGAAATATCTTCGCGGGCCCCAGCAAGGGCGACATGGCCAGCTTCTGGCCCCACGTCGAGCCCAACGTCGACTGGACCGTAAAAGGTACAGCCCACCTCCCAATGTCAGATTTTCTGGTTCAGTTCTAGCTCACCATATTACAGGCACCCACTGCAAGGTCTCTGGCCACTACAGGTCCATTGAGGAATTCCAACAGGGGACAAGGGCTTTGTCATCTACTTGGGCAGGCCCCCTGCATCTTGTCGTTCAAAACATTATCATTGAGGGAAACCAAGCTGCCGTGGAGCTTAAGGCCGTCAATACTAAGACTAAGAGCGGCGATCCCTTCCCAAATGAATATACCTGGGTGCTGGGCTTTAGCGACAACGGCAAGATCGCAACAGTGAGGGCGTACATGGACACGTAAGTTATTAATGAACTTGAACTTGATGGAGAAAAATACTAATCAAGGATGCATCAGTGACCTTGTTACTCGTGTTATTGAAAAGAACCCTCAGTAGAGCATAGATATTTTCAGTACTGCTAGCTAGAGAAGAACAGTCTTGTTCTTTGTTTGCAAAGCTATAATAGTTCACGTTCTTTGCAAACCGCAAGTTGTAAAGAAAATAGACTTTTTTGAATCCCCAAATGACTTCCTTTTGCACTGTTTTACTTAGATACATTAACCGTGCCATACGAGTCTATTACAGCTTACGCGTACATTGTAATTTGCTTGAAAGGTCAAAGCTTACCGCGGAGGCTGAGCAGAGGCTAAGCCTGGCTCGTTATCGGATTCATCGTTGATTGGTGTGGATCAGAGAAGTCTTTTACTTTTAGGTTTACAGCTCAAGCTCGGTATACCTTCATTTTAACCATAAAATTAGACCAAGTTAGGAGAACCTCGGCGCCCTCAGTCACAAATATGAACTACCCATTATCCGACCGATTGATAAGCTCCATAGTCTATCCTTCTGCAAAGCACACCTAGCTATGAAGCGACTGGGCTACCGCAAGTCCCGCACCGGATGCCTAAGATGCAAGGAGAGAAGAGTCAAGGTCTGACGCAAGCCAGCATGGTAAATTTACCGAGCTGTTGGACTCGGTAGATCACCATCCGAAGATCATGGCTAATATAATTTAGTGCGACGAGAAACGACCTTGCTCGGCATGTGTCAGACACGAGGTCCTTTGCAGTCTTAGTGACTCGCCTCCCGATGCTGGTACAGCGCAAACGGTAGAGCAGTCGTTTACCCGTCCATCATCAACAAAAGCAAGGTCTAGGCATGCTAAGGCGAGTTTTCTCTCTGTACATACATATTTAGTTTGAGCTAATAATCGTTCCAGCGCTCCCTTGATCGAGCATACTCAGGCGTTGGCAGTAAAGGCTCACAAAAGAATACCTGTGCAACTGCAGAGCACAGCTCTGAACCCAGCCTGCCTCCAGGGAAGGAGCAAGAAGATGGGGCCTATAATGGCCATGAAGACCCATTTTCCTTTTTTGCAGCACTTTTCTCGAATCTCATACTCGGCGAAAGAGCCAACTGGGCCTCTGACATGGAGCTGATGCACCACTACACTAGCATATCCTATGCCACACTCTCAAATGACGCTGACGTACAGAAGTTCTTTCAGCAAGACTTGCCACGTTTGGGCTTTCAACACAAATTCCTCTTGCATCAGCTACTGGCTTTCTCCGGCTATCATCTCGCATACCTAAATCACGACAAACGCCACGCATTCTTTTCGCAAGCATCTCAGCATCAGAATAGTGCTATAGAGGGTTTAAGAACAAACCTTGGGAGCGCTCATGCCTCCGAACACTGCCATACGCTCTATGCAGCTTCTATCTTATTAACCATCTGCTCATTTGCCACTTTCCCAAGCTACGATAGATTCGATGGCCCCTTGGACCCCGTCGACAACATTCTCGGTGTCTTTAGTCTTATCAAAGGAATGAACATGATTCGGCTTGAATCGGGTGGTGAGATTAGCACGGGGCCACTTGCAACCCTCTTCGGTCGGATGCAGTGCGGTTGTCCCAGTTACAAAGACTCAGGCCTGGGAATCATCCGTCCCCATGTCGAGCAGCTGAGTATTGCATTGGGACAAACCCCATTTCTCGGGAACGATGCTATCCACGGCTCATTCGTGACTCAGCATGCAGTAGCGTCACTTTCCAGCTCCATTGAGAATAGTATTAGGAGGCCTTCGCCCACGTCAACTGCTTCACTGCGAGCGTCTTTCCTTTGGCCCATCCTTATTGAAACGGACTACATCACATTGCTCCGGCAACGATACCCAGCAGCCTTGGTCGTCTTAGCATTTTACTGTACAGTGCTAAGAATGGCAGAAGCGAGCTGTTGGGCATTGGAAGGATGGGCAGAGTCTTTGATGAAGTGTGTTTGCAACTCTTTGGAGGGGAGTCACTGGGAAACGTTGATTGAATGGCCAAAACAAATTGTGATGGGTGTTGATCAGGACATAGTTGTGAAAAGCTGGGCAAATGAACAGCTTTGATCCAACACCGTATTTAATACCTTGGGCCGTTGGTGCAGATGCGTCCTTCTGAACTAGAGCGCTTCATAGGCTACTCGAATATGAGCCAGGTGGTTCGCAGCTAATATCGGCGCATGACGCACATGCCAATCTATTCTATCGGCTTCAAATATCGCAAGTAGGACTCATTCTGGGCCTTTATATAGAGCACCCATCTTGCCCCCTAAATTTACATGATTATCATGAACTAGGTGTATAGAGTGTCACGGCCTTGATTTGCCATAAACCGTGTGCCGATGCTATGGGTGGCATGGGCGTTGATCGGGCTGTGCAGACTGCTATCCTAAAGGACTTTCAACTATTTTTAGCATTCTTGAGCCGTCAAATTGAACACAAATCCGATAACGAGATACTCCATCTTTGAGGCTTATTAATCTTGTCCCTGTCCTGGCGGTTCACTAAAGCCAAGAAAGGGAAGGGAAATAAGAATTAGAAACTTTATTACGGCCTACACGATACGCTTATTTTCCCAGTTATGTTTTATGTTAGTGCAACAGGGCGACGTCAGTTACGCTCGTTTTCGCTACTCCATGGCATTGGACAAGGACTCTTGAAGCACATGCTGTCTTTAAATATAAGACTTAGATGTACAAGACTGGAGAAGAAAGACAATACACTTTAACCAAAATCATCTCGCCATCCATACGTATCAATCTCAAAAGATCCAAAAGCGCAATCAAATCAGCAAATACCAGAAATGGCAGAAGGCAATACCCGCTATCACTACGACCCGTCCATGGCGGCGGCTGTCATATTTATTGTTGCCTTTTCCCTCTCAGGTATCTACCATACCTACCAGGTTATACGACTCAGATCATGGTATTTCATCCCATTCGTGGTCGGTTCTATAGGTACGATTTCCATCCTTTCCCTCATAAGTAGCCAATCGATGATAAGCTAACAACTTGATCACGCAGTCGAGATCGTTGGATACACAGGCAGAGCCGTGAACGCTTCGGAACCCTCGGGAGAATGGACAGATGGACCATATATTATCCAAGCCCTGTTCCTTCTGCTCGGTCCTCCTTTCTACGCCGCCTCCATTTACATGGTCCTCGGACGCCTTATTAGACTCCTCAAGGCGGACAGTTTCTCCGTGGTTAGGTTGAACTGGCTGACCAAAATCTTTCTCTTTGGGGATATTGCTTCTATTGCTGCTCAAGGAATGGGTAGGTGATATACTGGAGTTGCATCAATCATTTGCTAACTAGCCCAGGTGGCGGCATGCTTGCTGGAGCTGACAGCAAATCAGCAAAGGATAGAGGCCAGATGATAATCATCATTGGTCTCTTTATCCAGCTTATCTTCTTCGGCATGTTTATCATTGTCACAGTCATTTTCCATCGCCGAATTCACAACATGCCTACGGTCGCCAGCCTTAAGATTCGAGCACCCTGGAAGAGGCTCCTTATAGTCCTCTATGTTTCTAGCGGCCTCATCATGATTCGCTCTATCTTTCGAGTTATTGAATACATCATGGGTGAGGACGGCGAGCTTATGGCCAAGGAGGTTTACATATATGTATTTGACGGTACCTTGATGCTCCTTGTGTCTCTGCTATTCAACTGGTTTCATCCCTCTGCCACTATCAACAAAGATATTATGCAGCGATACAACAATGTGGACTCGGAAACCCAGCTTGGGGACTTAAACTGAGCAACGACTAGCAAGTTGCACTGCAGGGGTATTCTTGGTCATAGTTCAAAGCTCGAGTTTCTTCAATTAGCTACACTACTAAATAGGGAGGATTGGCAGAATTCAGGGGCTATAGAATAATAAATAGCAATTGTACTCTTTATCCCATGCTCTTGCATCCGAAAGCCCATTTGGGTTAGTTAAAGCCTATATGCTACTACTGTAATCTATGGCATTCTTCTCACGCCGGCTACCTGCATGATCTGAAATCGTTATGAGATCTTTGGGAGATACTTTTCAGGTACACCAGTCTCTGACACATTGACCCCATTGACAGTCCTTTCAGATGGCAACAGCACAAACACAACACGAGCCGGCTTGTCTGTCAAGTTGTTCCACTGATGCAAAGTCTTGCAGATTCAGCACGTCAGTATCACCTCAATAGGCCATAGAGGTACATCACTTACCGCCTGTTGCACAATGATATCCCCTGCACGAACAACAGTCTTGGATCCATCAGCCAAAACCATCTCTAACTCCCCCTCAAACACAATTCCATAGTCAAGCGATGCAGTCCTATGATTGTGCCCTGAGGAATTTGGCGGAAAGTCGACGACTCGAATTAGTGAGCCGGGCGTATAGATTACTGGATCGGTGCCGACAGGATCTTTGTCAACGAGCTCAGCTGGGTACTTGTCGTTTCTCCAGATAGTGACTGCGTTGCTGCCAAAGCCAGAGGTGAGTTTGAGCTCTTCATCTGATAGGATTGCAGAGTTCTGGCCCTTGTGGTGGGTGACAACCCTTCTCAGAGGACTACCAGCGTTGAGACCCATGGTTTCTGAAACTAAGGCTTTGTGAATAGTGCTTGTTAATCTTCCTTGTAAGAGGCCCGGTAAACGGGTAGTATAAAAGGCCGAATTGCGAACAGTCTCGGGTTAAAGGCGTTGTGATCCACGCGCGTCGTAACATCAAGCTCTGGTGGCCGGCCGGCCCACGCGGCCCCACAAGCTCAGACCCTTGTGGAGTACTGTTGAAATGATATGCCGGAAAACATTTGAACAGAATGATGCAGACACAGGAATGCGTGCTTATGAGATTTAGTGCCAAAGGTAGCTTGGAGATTTTGGGGTAATTGATGTGAAAGGGTAAACATGTCTAGTCTTTTGCACTCAATCATTCAGCTTCCATAGAGTGCAGTTATGTGGGGCTGATGAAGTTGTGCTTATTCCGTGGCGGAAGATTTCCGCCAGCGGATCAGATCGTTGGGGCTGGCTAGATGATCTCGCAATGGATTTGAGGGTAGGATGCTCACCCTAGAGCAGCCTGATTTATTCTTGCCTTCACACATCCACGTAACTCTAAAGGCAAGAAGAGATTTTTCCATCATATATGATGTTAATTAATCTTTCAAAAGCTCATGTATTTATTTCGACAATGCTTGATGAGAAATCTGTTACTCAGTAGTCCAAGATCTGCAGGACATGAAAATGTGATCCGGATTGTGAAGATATGGACAGGAAGGATGACGTAAAGGAACAATCTTCCTCCTCAAATCAAGACCGTTTGGCAAAATGTAGAATACCTCGATAAATACCAAGTCCCGTACCCGAAACAGCGATTAATGATAAAGCCAGTCCAACCAACAAGCCTCTCTCGAAGTAGCTCAGTCTTCCGCCTTTTTGCTGTTTGATCTTACCCAGTTGCAAACGATGGGACAGGAGATTCCAAGCAGACTCTTTTTCTGCTCTGATAGAATCAACGAGATGGATCGACTCCTGCAAGATCGGTTTGTTGACAGAAAAGTCTTCTCTGCGGTACAGCAAACGACTCTCGACGAATGGTGTTGAGGGAGCAACAGTGGCTGTATAAATCAGAAATTAGTGGAATGCGCGTGCATCAGGTTCATCTCAGATCTTACCCAGTGACCATTGAGGGATGATATTAATGAACACGTGAAGTGTGTTCGTGAACATGGCGACGTAGGAAGAAGCCTCAGAGGATGCAAAAATGTACGTTGCCTGGGAGGGGTTGTTTCCGTTACTGATACCAATGTGTTAGTTCATAATCTCAGGCAATGTCGACCACTCCCAAGACATACATCTTGCCGAGAATATCGATGCCATGGTCCAAACTTCGTATTGGAACTAGTAGAAGGCCGTTATCGCTGTTTGCAAGCAATTCCGCAGCCCTTTGGACGTGTTCGGCTATAATGGCACTGATAAAGAGTTAATTGTATACCAGATGTAAAATTCTAACGAAAAACATACTCGGAATTATCTAATGCGATGACGGCAGACAGATGACCGGATACGTGTTTCGGCAGGTTCCGCTTCGAGGTCGGGAATATGGATGTTAGAAGCTTGTCAAAAGCCTGGGCATCGTCTCTGCTGCTGCTAAAGGACAGTGATACATTAGTACGAGTGTCTGCACGTATGAGTTTGTCCAGGTGCGCGATTTGTATTTCGTCGACAAAAACCAGACGTGGTGTTCGCAAAGGATTATAGCGAGGCGTTCGGGAGCCGGAGGCAACAAGGTGACTCGCGACAGCTTCGAGATCTTCGACAGAGCGATCAACAAATGCAGTTGAGATTCCTGAGGGTGGCGAAAGCACTCTGATCAATGGATTTGTTTTATAAAGAGACGTGAAGAGGTCGTCACGTAGGGACAAGTTCTGGAGGGCAGCAGCGCCAAAGTGCTGTTCGCTGAGCTCTCGACGGATATCAGCTGAGTCACTCTCTGTTATGGCAAAAGCTTCGATGTCCAAACTCTTGTTGATCAGGTTGCGAAGCTCGGTATTGAGATCACGGGAGGCTGATGGGGCGAGTACCATGGCGGAGCTTCCGGCTGCTACAGCCGCAGCGAGCGGCGCAACAGTGCTGAGAAATGGCGAGTGGGGTGATGGATCAATTAGAACGGGACCCAGAGCGACCAAGTTGCTAGATGAACCGGCCCCCGTCCTAACCTGCTTCTCCTTGGCCAATGTACTCGGAAAGTCTAGGTCGTCGTAGAGATGTTTGATCGAATCGAGGGCCAATTGGAGTTCATCAGCTGCGCTTGCTTTCGAGGTTTGAAGTTCTGTCGCAAATTTGTTAGTCTACCAACGCCAACCCCAAAGTATGTAGTAGATGCGCTCACCACCACAGATGGCCTTGATCAGATTCGTAGAGGAACCTTTGATGTTGGCATGTAGCAAAGCAAGCTCTTTCTGTCGCTGTAATACATTCTCGAGTCGACCCTCCGCCCACGCTGCGCTGACGGTGCGATATTGATCCAATGCTGAGGCCATTGTTACTGCGCTTATCCGGTTCTTGTCGATAGAGCTCTTGACGACTTAATTGACAGGTTTCAAAGTCTTTTTCCACATGAAAATAAACACGTTTGTTCTACGCGACGTCGACGTGTTTCGGTGGAATCATGACCGACACTTCCGCCCGCCGATACACGGACTTCGGCTCGGCTCCACACGGCACCGAACAATACAGTCGTATTGCGATACGCAGTGTCACATATTCCGAACCTTTTCTCTATAGAAATTACATGCGATAACAAGGGGCCGGGAATTTCGGGGATTCGGGCAAATAAGAAATAAATTTCGATGCCATTAGATGAGTCCGAAGTGGCCACGACATATTGATTCGCAATCGACACTGAAGCAACACGGCAAGCATCTTCACAGTCAATATGGGTAGCATACCAGCACAGAAAAAGAGTAAGTCATTTGTGAAGACCAGAAAAAGTGTCATGGATCTAATAACATGCGCAAGAGCCGACTCCAGTCTTTCTATTTGCTCATGGATCTACCATGATGCTTGGAGAAGAGTCAGAGCCAGCTCGAATTTGGGAAAACATTGGAAATGAATGCCTACGGCGTGGTGTCAAGCGCATTGTCATGATGGTTCGTGGAACAAACTTGGCCAGAAAATAAAAAAAACTAATACGAGTTAGGGTGCTCACTGGGACTCTCCTTACGATACAGTACGAGTGAGCATGAATCCCGACGCGAAGAAAGACCCCGTGGGCAGCGTCACGGAAGCTCGATACATGCCATACAAAATGGTGGCAGATCTCGAAGGAGGACAACGCGTTATCGATATGTTACGAGGAGCTGGAATCAACGCCCAAGCTGATCCCAAGTTCGAATGGGTTCACGACACCTTCCTGATCGTCATCCGCATGTTTCCTCATTGTATCCCGCTCCCTACAACAATCGTGTCAATGAACGCACGATACGACCCGCACCTACACACAAAGATCGGAGCTGCTCTACGGCCATTGCGATACGAGGATACGCTTATAATAGGCAGCGGTGGATCCGTGCATAACTTGTATCGGAATCATTGGTATCAGATGCTCACCTATCGAGACAACTTTGCGCAGCCTGTACCACCTGGAGACTTTGCTCTCGAGTTCAGGCAGGCGTTGGAAGATGCTGTTACGCAGAACACGGGACCTGCTTTACGAAGAGCTGTTACTAGGTTGATGAAACATCCGCGGTATAAGGAGGCGCATGGAACTGATGACCACTACATGGCCACTTTGTTTGCTGCTGGTGCGGCTGGTCACCATGAAGATCAGGGTCCTAATAAATTTCTAGGCGAATGTTGGGAGCTGGTGAACATGTGCAATAGTCAGTATCAGCTCGGCGACTGGGACGAGTCTTTGTAGGGAGACGGCACTACAGATAGAGCAACAATAGAGGCAGGATTGCCATCGGAGACTACTGAGTCACATGCAATAATGTAATGGACACTAAAGAATAATTGAACGGCATTAAACTTACCGCTTGACCGTTATGTAGCAGCTATTTTCATCAAAGCTATGAAGCTGAGAACATATCTCTTGAATATTAGGCAATAATATTGCTTAGCAGAGACAAGGCGAACATATGTGAAGTCTTTTGGAAGGTATATTCTTGGCTCAAGCTTTACCTCACAATGATATGCACAGTTTGAGAATGTCTAATCTTTCCTAATAGACTACCTGGATGAAACGTTCTTTGCGATGATACATGTAAAGAAATAGTCCCGACTCCTCCATCAGTCTCAGTGTTGACCGTGGTTCAACAGAGGTGTCTACCACTCTCCTCCGACCTTTGAGAGACCAATGTCCGTTACCCTTCCAGCAGTGTTCCTCCATGCCTGTGCCCAAATCTAGAATGAAGGATTAGTGTCCTCACCAACCGGAGAATCTATGCGCTGCTACCACTTACCGACATAAGCCAGCATCCTCTAACCATAATGCCACCAACGACCGTAAACAAGAGCATCTGCCGTCTCTCATTGAGATCCAGATGCTGGTTGATAGGTCTATAGTCAGGAACGCGCCTGAAAGTGTCGGTCCACCACCCTGGGTTCGATACTGGATATGGAACTGTGGGATGTGGAGCTAGAGAGGAATCAAAATCGCTCGGTTGGGCTTCTCGAGGGATCCCCGCGACAATCACGATATGGCCACCGCTGCTCTGCTGTTCATCCGACGACGAAAGTTGATGCGATGAGTGATGGATCTTGTAATCTTGCAATGCATCCTCAACAGAAGATTCGGGTCGAAGCCGTAGATGACTGTCACGAGCGTTGGCTGTGGATGTTTGGGTAGTAGACATTGTGCGATGGTGCTGGCTGCGATATTACTGAGGTTGATGATTTGCTGAGGGGATGCCTGTTGGCGAGTAAACTAAATCATCACCGGCAACGGAGTTTAGCTTTTCCCCGATTACGAACTCAAGGTTTAGAGATGGTGGTGTTCTGGAAAAGACAAGGGTCTTTGTTTAGGTTTCTCGCTTTCATTGCGGATTGTTCAGGGGAGTGGTCGGCTCGGGACCACATCACCCATGGCAGAATCCTGACATTAGTAATTACGGAGATATCTCCGGTATCACGCAAGCGAGTGCCCATTAGTGGCCAAGAAAGTCACTCGAAAAATAAGACATATTAAAACCTTAATAATAAATAAATGCGGACAAATGGATGCGTTTGAATGAGGCCGGTCACATGAGTCATCAACATCGTATCATCTCAAGATCAGTAACTATGGTTGAGAACAAGTACCTAACAATCGACAAGGATAGCTTTCCTTATGTCTTTATCAAGAATATCGATATCCCTCTCAAGACATATGAGAAGGGACTTCTTCGAGCAAATGTCTTTCTGCCCAAAGATGCGGCTCCCTTTGGAGATAAGACATACCCTGTTATCGCTACGTATGGCCCTTGTACGTTGGACCCCTCGCCAAACCGATTGTGCGCCTTGCCTCATTGCTAACGTGACGACGCAGACGGAAAAGATGTTCGATATGAAGTATTCTACAAAAAGAGCTGGGAGCAGCTAAACCCTGACATGAAGTCCATGCATGCAGCTTGGGAGACCCCTGATCCTGCCTATTGGACGAGCAAGGGTTACATCGTGGTGAGGGCTGATGAAAGAGGAGCTGGTCAGAGTCCTGGAGTCCTTGACACTATGTCTCGAGGTACAAGTGAAGCTTTCTTTGACGTCATTGAGTGGGCTGCCGAGCAAGAGTGGTCTTCAGGTAAAGTTGGTCTTTTAGGGATCAGCTACTATGCCGGCACGCAATGGAGAGTAGCTGCGAGAAAGCCAAAGGGATTAGCAGCTATCATCCCATGGGAGGGAATGAGTGATTACTACCGGGACCGAGTAAGACATGGAGGTATTCTTTCGGACAGGTTCATTGGTATGCAGCCGATATGAGTTCCACTTACCTGTCATTGCTGACAAATGTTTAATCTAGATTTCTGGTGGAACAATGGAGTTAGTCCCAACCAGTACGGCAAGCCTGGCCGCAGCGCCCGAAACTGGGGCGAGGATACTCTTGAGGGTGACCTTGACGAGGAGACCTTACTCCAGAATCGTCGAGATCAGACAATAGACACTGCTGTGCACAAGTTTCGTGACGAGGAATATTATCGTACTCGAGACTTTGATATTGAAGCCATTGAGGTTCCGCTGCTCAGTGTCGCCAATTGGGTAAGTGCTTCGATTCTGGGAAGACTTAAATATCATTCTCATATGGCACTTAGGGCGGCATCCTACTTCATCTCCGAGGAAATGTCCTCGGTTGGATCCGTGCGAGCTCCAAGTACAAGTTTCTCCACTTCATTGTTGGGAGACACGACTTGCCCTTTTATTACCCAGAGTCAGCTGAGCTACAACTATCCTTCTTCAACTCCTTTCTAAAAGACGACGATGCGGCTGGCTGGAAATCTGGCAAGCAGCCACGGGTTCGTCTTACCTTGCGTAAGGGTGAGGCTGGTGTTGATGACCCTGAGCGTGAACGCGGGTTCCCTACTAGAGATGAGGCAGACTGGCCATTACCTGGGACCAACTACACGAAGTTCTATCTGACGCCTGAGAACACTCTGAGCATAAAGCCAGCGTCGTCAGTCAGCACAATCGAGTATGATGCGTTGAATGGGTAAGTGCTCACTTCTGAGCATACCGAGAAGTGCAAAACGCTAATCTGTCCACAGCGAGCCTATCAGATTTACATACAAGACCCCGTCTACTTTGGAAATCACTGGACATATCGTCGCCCATCTAACAGTAGCCGCAACGCGAAAGTCCATTGACGCCACTCCCCCGTCAGACATTGATCTGTTCATCACCCTTCGAAAGATCAACGCCAAAGGCGAAGAAGTCTTCTACACCGGCACTATGGGCGACCCCGTACCCATAGTGAAAGGCTGGCAGCGAACTTCTTTACTTAAGCTTGATGAAAGCAACGAACTACACAAGGAATATCTGCCTTATCGCAACTACTACTCATCCGACGTGCAGCCAGTTGAGGAGAATCAGAAGTATAAAGTGGATGTTGAGGTCTGGCCTACGAACGTGGTACTTGAACCTGAAGAGACTTTGGTGTTGGAGATCGCTGGTCATGATACTCAGGGTGTAGGGAAGTTCTCTCATGAACATCAGGATGACCGTGATTCCAAGATTTTCGATGGGTTGAACAGCGTTACTGTCGGCGGCGAGGCTAGTTGGCTTACACTTCCCATCATTGACTCCAGGAAGTAAATGATATGATATATAGTCAGGTTTACTGGACGACACATGTAGTACGCACCGGGCATTGAGAAGTTCAGGTGGAATATCAAGATTTTGCTGTGCTTTTGACTCTTTTGACTTGGGCACATGTTTTATCTGTCCACCAACCTTCATCCGATTCATATTCTTCAGAGATTCCCAATGATCAAGCGGCAACCGATGTCTGGTTGACCTAGGTCAAAGCTTCAATACATAAACCCCGACGGGCTTTGGTGAGATAGTCATATTCTAACCATGGGGGACCTTGAAGTGGCTGTTACCCCACAAGAAGCCGAGTGGCGGATCCGGGTGGCCGCTAGGAATCCTTCCTGGGTCCCTACAGGGAGGAGTAAGGAAGTTTGTGGAGATTTAGGAGCTGAACAGTCGATGGCGGTTGTCTAGATGCTCTCTCGCATGAGCTTGAGTTTGTCTTACTGCGTCTACTATATTTTGCTTCTAGCACACGTCAACCTTGTCCCAGAGTTGATAATAACGATGATGCTGTTCCCGTCAATGTGGCGTTATTGCCTTACTGCATGTATTGCTTTACTCATTCATTATGTAAGTGCGGGCCGTGAAACTCGCTGACCCCTCTGTCTCTTTAATTGTGCTAACTTTCAATAGATTGTCATGGAAGTGACGACTGCTTCATACGTCCCCCTATCCAAGATACCTGGACCTGCTATAGGAAGATGGACGAACCTAGTCGTCAAATAACGCACGCATGCAATACATACATTCTTTCTTTACTCAACATGGTAAGTAATGCTCTAAATGATCAAGGCTGTGCCGAATGTTAACATAACATTCATCAAGACCCTATCATCCGCATCAGCCCATCCGACGTTGGTATCAACGACCCAATGCTGTCAAACCCATACAAAAGGTATCCGGCTCGAATAGTCTGCTTGGTATGACAAGACTGGCCCCAGCATGCTTGAAATGAGGGATCGCGAAGAGCAGGCTCGCCGTCGTCAGTTACTTGCGCGCCCCTTAAGCAATTCCTCTCTACCCGTTTCTTAGCCCCTGATCCGTGCCTAAGTAGATCTGGCAATGAGTCAGATGGAGAAGGACTATCAAAGTTTAGGATACACTGACTGCTGTAAGTGGTTCAGCTTCATGGCCACTGAAATCATTGGAGATTTGACATTCGGGAGCTCGTTTTGAATGCCTGAACGAGGGAGAGTATGTGCAGAGTGCTTTGGGCGCTACCAGTTACTGACGCCTGCCTAGAGAGCAACCAATACGTTGAGGATCTCCAGGCTGTTATGCCTACTATTACTATTAAAATAACTCTGGTAGCCTAACCTAAAGTTATAATTCAAGAAAAGGCTATATGTTATTTCTTATTCTAGTTATTAAATCCTTAAGTTCTAAGATATTGTTACTCTTGAACCTATATTCACAACCTAAGGAAAAGTACATCAGCCCCGGGTTAAAATGCTGTGGTGATCTCTTTTCCCCTGTGGGATTTTGGGTACTTGAAGATATAAAAACTAGCGCTCAGGTCTTACCGATTAGGTGTTAAATTATCGGCGATTAACTACCGACCAAAGGAGTATGAATTAGTTGCCAATAACCCACTTACCGCGGAAGAAATTGGGATAAGCTTATATTATGTAAAAAAGAAAAAACCGTATTTTTATCCCTTTATTAGCCTGCTGCTACCTCCTTAACCTTGATTCCAAGATCCGTAAATTGTCGGAGGCTTGGGAAGTGGCATTGTCCACTTAAGATCCTTGTTAACGTTGAAGCATTGGGCTCTTGAGTATAAGCGAATCCTCTATTGGCGAGCTGACCAATCGAATCGTCGCAAGAACGAAGGTAGTTTTGAATCACATCAGGCGGCAGTAATAATAAATAGGAAAAATGATTTCAAGGGAATGCACGTTCATTTGTAGAAGCATTGAGGCAAAACACCTGAAATATGCATTAGATATATTATGTTTTACTGGATCTTTATTCTAAATCGCGACTCTAAAAGCCAGTCTCCCAGCTTACTACTAGATTATTATTGTTGTAGGCTAGATAATTGAATTCTGAGTCCGTATCATAGCTTCGAATAGAGGGCCAATTCAATCAAAGTTTGGAATAGTAGAGATATTGATACGGTTACAGTAGTCTACCAGTCCGATAGTTTTCGGAATCTTGCCCTACGGACTACTCATAACGCCGAATGCAACATAAAGCCACAAATAAGCTTACACAGTTCCCTCGAAAACGGAGTATCACGCTGCCAAGACAAGTCAAACGGGGGGCTGCTAATAGTCACAAGATTTCTCATAAGCAGATCTTATACAGGACAAGCAAGACATATCCACGAACTATGGGGCTGAGTGATATTTGATCGTAAGATACTATGGAGAAACATACTGGCAGTGCTTTGGCGAGATTAGTCTCACTAACCCTGAAACACGAGTATTTCGTTAAGCTCATTAATTCCGTCTCAAACCCGATCAACAGAGTGCTACCTACGGACGATTTATTTGGTCGTAAAATCGACGATATTTGTTATTGAGATATATAGTGAAGCGAAAAATATCCACACGTAGTTATCTATCAAGAACATTTTGCGCTCTCTGTCCCAACTTTAGCTGGCCTCCATATTGAAGACAACCTGCCTTATACACAGATACCAGGAGGCCAGTAATATCTCAAGCAGGCATACTAAATGGGCTAAATACAAAATACTTCTTCGGTAGGGAAGCAGACCCTCCCAAGTAAGCGCTAGAATAGAAGCCCATGCAGTAGGATTGCAATCAGAGGTTTGAGAATGCCGTCCATCGCCTTGTAAGGCTTGGCGTTTATGCTTATCCTCTCGTCTGTTACATCATGTCTTGAATATTGTATATAAGTCGCATGAATTTCCATCCTCCAAGTTTTCTTGTCCTCAACCAACTAATTACACTCTTTCACTTATTACACTTTTTCAACCCTACACTCTTTCAAACCACCTTCTTTTATAACTAGATTCGTTGATTCGCAACAATGAAGCTCAGTGGTCTCGCTCTCGTAGCCCTCGCGGCAACTTCTGAAGCTTCGCCGCTTAATGCCAAGCAACTTATCAACAGCAAGCGCGAGGATAACATCTGGGAAGACAAAGATAGGCTGTGTAAGCGCAGCACGAGAACGCCTGAGGATGCAGCCGCCACTTGGGAAGAGACTGGCGCAGGTGTTGATCTTGAGCTTTTCATCAAGACGCAATGGGGTATGTTTACTTCATTCCCACGGAGGAAGACTACTAATGCATTTTAGAACATCAAAATTCTTGGCTCAAGAACTTGGAGAGCGGTATCCAAGGCGGAAGCATCTCTGGAAAATCACCGGCCGCTGGCTGCGGTGCTCTCTCGGGTACTTGCGCTCCGCTCAACGACATGTCGTGCGATGAGCAATTTGACAAGTATGGCCCTACGTCACTCGGAAGGACCTCATACTGGATTTTCAAGGCTGCTGAGGGCGCTCGCAACAAGCTCCTTGGTATCAAGGACCAATTGACTGAGCAGACAATCATCAGTAACGGACAGATCGATCAGATGGCTATTGACTTTGGTGGTAACAGTGATGGTGGGGTGCATTCTCTTACCTGGCTTGCGGCCTCTTCTTCGATGGCTGGAGCTTTGGGAGGGCTTGTCCCTGGAGCTGTAAGTTTCCTTTGGCCTCCTGAAGCCAATAGTGAGCTGACAAATTTATCCATAGGGTCCTGCTCTTGGTGCTGGCTTTGGATTTCTCAGTGGTCTCTTCACCGGCCTCGCAGCCGAAGCGCAAGGTGACGAGGTCGATACACCTGATATCAAAGCCGGTCTCTCGAAGGCCTACGAAAAGGCTCAGGGCAAGATTGATTTGATCCTCTCCCTTGCTATGGGTGGTGGCTCCAAGCCTGAAGATTACGACATTTTACCCGCACCTATGTGGGATACCTACGAGACCAAGATCGCCAAGTTCTTCAACGGCGGATGGTGGCTTGTCGACGACGATGCCGTGTCTGTTAATCTTGTTCTTCGATCCGTTGGCAACAATCTTCATAAGAAGGTTGCGAACTCTATTATGAAGTCAGCTGGTCTTAAGCTTGTTGCCGAGAAGAATGATAACATCAAGACGGCTGAAGATTGTGGTTTCGCACCGGGTCGTCAGTGGATGGAGCTCAAGGACGGACGATTTTACTGCTTTTACCTTATGCGAGGTAGCAACAATCTTGAGGAAGTTGATGAAGGCATTTACTCCAAGATGGCTGAGCATGGACTTGGCGACCGCGAGAAGTACTATCGTTCCATGATAGACTGTGCTCTCAACGGTGGAGGAGAGGTCGATGCAAGCAAGTTGGTCTTCAACGAGATTCCGCATTGCTATTTTGATCTTCCTGTTAAGTTTGTTGAGAGGAACCATAACTCTTGCGGTTTGTTGGATTGTCGCGCCAACAAGGAGAGTGACATTGAGTAGAGGATCTGAGACAGCTTTTGTCGTTGGTTGATTGAAACCTTTGCTGCTTTCTATCTTTATTAACCAAGTGCTCTTGGATACTTTGCTTTTATGTATTATATTTATTCTATTTATTATCCTTATCCCAGAGGTTACTATCAAATTCACCGATTATTTCATGCAAAATCCTCTTAACGTGCTTAATTCCCCGCTCTTATATAGAGAAAGCTAATCTCCCTACTCCTTATATTAGTAATCTTTTGCTGTTATAAGTAACTCAAACAGTAATAAGTCAATAACTTGATAAAAAGGTTAGCCTACTAATTTACGTTAAATGCAAAAGATGTTGCTGTAGTGTTGTACACCTTTCCCTCTTAGTTTTGGGCTAGCTAGCCACGATCCACATCATAGAATTCCGTGTATACATGTAAGCCCAGCTTATTACCTTTGGACCCAGATATAAAAAGATAGGCTACTCCAGTCCAAAAGAGATTGGAGGTTGTATCCAAATGGTTGAATTAATTGATCCTGCATCGGAATATATCTTATCACATCAAGCTTTACGTCTGCATTCTTAAAGTGAATCGGCCTGCGAAGAAGCAACAGCCAGAACATTTTCTTCCCAGCTCAGTAACTTGCCAATAACTACATGGCAGATACAAGACAACGATGAGTCTGCACAGTAGCCTGGTTTTAAGCTGGCTAGATCTTACAACTCTCGGAGCCATAGCGCTTCTCAGCCTACTTGTATCGCGTCGCTACCTTTCAGCTTTTGACGCGTTTCCGGGCCTATTCTTAGCATCTTTCACTCGGCTCCAACATATAAACCACATTTTGAAAGGCGATCAGAATCTTAAATTGATTCGACAGCATGAAAAGCACGGTATGTTCAAGCACAGCATATTTTGCCACTTTTATTGACGATTTTTGTGATAGGACATTTTGTTCGGATGTCTCATGATGAAATCAGCGTCCTGCTATGCTTCGTGTCCTGGGCAAAACATCGCAAGGATAGGAATAGCAAAGATAGCAGCAACCCTGGTCTGACTCTATAACATCAGACTGGCCGATCGGGAGAACAAATGGAAATTAAAGGCTTATTTTACTGTTGCTCAACGTTCCTGGCCTGTTATATAACCAAGAAGGAAAAGAGTGGCTAAGTCGGCAATGACCAAAGTATGTATTAAAGAGTTCTATTAATAAGATTGAGCTGAATGTTTCTACCATTTTTTTGCGTAACATACGGTGTTTGCTTGCTATTCATACCGCTTCAGATACTCCATCAACGTCGCCCACGAAGCCGCTGATAAGTCACCGCCAAGCCACAAATTCCCATCCCCATCCCGCCCCATATTGATCCCAACTGACACAGGGAAAATAATAGGCGTAAGCTTTCCCATATGATAATAATTCGGCCTCACAGGTCCCCCACTCCCCCCTACAACCGCAGGTCCAAAATCAGTCTTATCCAAGAACCCCGACTTGGCCCAATTAGACGACATAATCATTGAAGTTGTCGTATCACCCACGATAGGCGGGTTTCCACCTTCGATCATGGACTCGTAAGCTGCCTTGGCTGCAGCCTTGATTTGTCCTTCGGTCAAGTACTCAACGACGGCCTGCCGGGAAAGCATGGCGACTTTTCCGAGGGGAAGATCCTGTGCGTCTTTAACGGGACAGTAGAAAAATGCTCCGCAGGGTGCGTTTTGGACGTATGCTGAGTCGGGAAGGAAGAGGTTTTTGAGACGATCGCGTGGGTTGACGGCGATGAGAGTGACGATGGCTCGACCTCTGCCCATACTCTTAGCAACAGAGCGGTTGAAGAGGGCCAAGATGACATCATTCTCTGAAACAAATGGTTTGCTGCCGTCAGTAGTTTTCTCAAGTGAAATTTCACTCCTGGCTTCGGCTACTATGGCGTTAATAGCCTTGGCTGGCACACGCAGCATTCGACACTCGAGGGGATACATCCACCCATCATAAGCCGCCCTAAGAGCCCAGACCGCAAGCCTCCAACCCGAGAGAAGAGAACCGTCGGTTTTTGATTTCTCCGTGGTTTCAGCTCGATACAGCCCAGCCATAATATCATCTTTGTATCCTGGGAATTTAGCAACTTGTTCAGGCTTTCCAGCTAGGATTGCACACCAAGCTTCAAGAACCAATGACAAACCGCCTAGGTCAGTGGTCATATGTGAAAAGGTGAGTGATACCAGTGTACCGTCTTGGAATGTGACAACGTGCAGAGAGAATTGTGGTGCATCGGTGGAGCAAAGGTCCTCAAATGATGTTGGTGCACCAGGACCTATACCGATTGATTGGAAATCGGCAGGATTTGGAAAGAAGGCGATTGCATCTGATCTAGTGGGTAGTTTGGATGCTTCGGGGTGGTCTGCAAAGGGCATGTCATAAGCAGCCTTGGTGAAGTAAACAGCTGGTCTTTGTGCTGAATATTCCTTGGGAACATGGACTTCAGCTTTGCCTTGGTCCTGTGATTGTTTAGTAGTTTGTTGCACCTCCTGGCAGTGAATTCGCTCACGTTAAGGCGTATTCTGCCGCCAAGTCTTCTCCATCCGTCCATCTCAAAAAGTTTCGAGAGTGCTTCGTTCAACATATCGGCGTCAAGAATCTCATCGAATCGTATCGTCCAGAGCATTGGACATTTGCGCATAAACGGCGTATCATCGAAGGCATGCATAGGAAGTACTTGGTCTGTGGGCACTGTAGGAAACTGGGGCCGCTTGGGCGCGCCCATTAGGCTGGATATCGTAGCTCCCATATTTGGCACTGAAGATTGATGGTGACAGTAGTGAAGGGACTGGGATTCTAATGCCTCAAATTCGGGTTCCAATTCCTTCTTGGGTCACCTGATTCGCGGCACTGAGGGTGGTGAATTGAGGTACGGATACGAGAGTCAGCATTTAGACCACGGCTAGTGAAACTTTGGCGCAAGTAGCGGTGAAGCTTGTGCGCTTTGGGATTAGTGTAATATTTGCCGAATCGTTTATCATGCGGGATTGACGACTGCCGTATCCTCAAAAAGTCCTCAAACTCGTCTAATTGTCCCTCTAGAAACAAGTCCACTCCGAGCAGGCCTAAAAGTCCCAATTTAGGTGGGTAGGTAGTCACAACGTTTGGTTTGGTTTGGGTTGGGGGCTGGCAGACTGCGACGGTGATCTGCAGGGCTAAAACCCACTATCCCGATTATGTATCTGTAAGCATTTTAGGGGTAAGAATCTGCATCCCTTGCCAACAGCCAAAGCCCCGTCATCAATGATAAAAGCATCCCACACCACAGTGCCTTACCCTAAACCCTGACTTATCGAGATCAGATAAGAATAGAACGAATAACTGGCTTAATTTACTTAAAATTTATATATGTGTTAGCTTTCTTAGTTGATTCTTAATTTAGATTTCTGAATAGCTGGTTTTCTTGGTAAGTAGGTCAGCGGGCTGTGACGTGGGTTTAGTTTTCCTTTGTTTCATCGAGTATCTAACTTGCATCTAGTACGCAAACAATTTTAGATACGTTTAACACTACACATTGCATCCAATGAGATTAGGCATTTGCATTAAGGAATCTAAGCAGTCTAGTCAGGACTGGCTATTTTCCATCTGTCAGTCATGATAGTCGCGGTCAAACTTTAATCGAAGCTTGACCACCAAGTGAGGAATTGAAAGACGGATGCGGCTAATGGCGATCAGGGAGTCTTTTGGTAAGGTTTTGAGAGGCGGTTCTCTTGACACGTCGTTAAAGTAAATCTCAATGCCTAATTCCTTGAGAGATGGGAAGCCCCATAATAGCTTGAACCCCTTGCGATGGAACCATAAGTAGTAGTATGGTCCTCGAATCAGGCCTATGCCCGAGACGAAATGTAGATATCTCTCGGTGAGAAGACAAGAGCCCGGTGAAGACTGAACCACCAGGGACTTGTTTGGTTTATATATGGACTCGTAGAATTCTAATGCGAAGAGATTTCTCGAGTAAAGGATTGGTGTTGCCTCATGACTGACTTGTCGACACGTCTCTAGAATCCGAGAATGTATTCCAAAACGCTAAGGAGATCTTCTTTTAAGCTTTGCATCTTTGTGCTTCCACAATTTGAATCGGTATCCGCCAGAAGCTGAATACAGCAAGTATGTGATTTGAGACACGAGTGGTAATCATAGATTTGCAGACGGATCTCTAGCGGAAGGGATAGTAAGGAGGGTCCAGATTGTGCGCGGTAAAATGTCATGCTTTGAGAAGAATCAGCTTCCCATTGTGCAATGGGTTTTCTGAACGTGAGCCTTCCATCTTTGAAAGCAAGCCGATGCTGAACCATGTTGACTCCCGATGTACAGTTATCGAGGAGCTTGGAGCCCCGTTACTGTGCAAAAAAAGCATCGCGCTGTTCTTTTGTTCCGTAAGCGTTGAGATCGAGTTTGAGTCCGATTTTCTTTGCAAACACATCATGGATGTCATCGAGGTCTAACATGAGCCACGGGCTTGGGACTGACTTGTCTACTCACGTTTGGCGCACGACCCAAGGGAGCAAAAGCCCTAGGTGCCGGATTTATACAGGCCATTGATTCTGATACAAGTTATGACAAGAGAATTCAGAGAGTGGTTGTTCTTATTGCTAGCCTAGCCTCTGCAAAATGCCGCAGAAACAATACCTGCGTCCAGAAAGATAGACCAGAACCCCCTGGGTTTACTACTCCTTGTCCTTCTTTGCCTTCTTGGCGCACTTGCCGCAAATATCTCCACAGCTTTCGCTGTCCACGACCACAGCCTTTTTCCCGCACCCTTCGAATACACCTCCTGCCTTAGCGCAGAAATGTTCAATGGTATGCCTCTTTAATTCTTTCTCGCAAGTGGCGCATTTGTTCACCACAATGGTTTTGATGCACATCGTGTGAATATAGAGTTGATTTCAAGTATAGAGTATTGTAAAGCTGTTGTTGTTGCTTCGATTGGTGGATTGTTGTGTGGAATGGGAAAAGAATGACTTGAGGGTGGGAAGCGGTTTATTGATATAGAGAGGGCAAGGGCATTGATGCTGAATGAATACAGTGATTATATGAGGGAGGGCGGAGGCAACGTTAGGCTGTCACGGTAATAAAGGATACTGATTTATTGAGAGAGCCAGGACAGTAATGCACAGCTATTCCTTGCTCTTCTTCTTCTTCTCTTCACACTGCTTGCATAGTCTGCTATAGTTGTCAGTGACAACGACGTTGGCCTTCACTCCACATGCTTCCCAACCGCCCCGCGACCCGGGACAGGAACGCTCAAGCATATCCTTGTGTACCTTTTTCTTGGACTCGTCACAGGTATCTTGTAACGAATATGCTGCACATGATGCAAATGTAAGAGTCGAATCTCAAATGCGTAGATTCTTGTGAAGTTATTTGGAAGCTCAAGGAATTGTTGGGTAAGATCTAAGAGAGTTGAAGGCTCGGAAGTGGTTTATTTATATTAAGAGAGCAAGGACAGTTATACACAGCTATTTCTTGCTCTTCTTGTATCTTTATATTGGACATATTTGAGGTTACTATGATATAAAGGTACCGTAGCTATGGAACTGATGGCTTAGGATGCTTATTATTTTGTTTGCCTCAGGCTTATGTTCTCCATCCCCGCATTTGTGCAACGTGGTGCACTCGTTTCTCTACGTCTGACTCTGACGCCTTGTAACAGAGTTCTACTGTAATACAGTATTGCTTCAGCCGCATACTGGTGTGAATGGAAAATCCTGTTCCTTGTCCATAAATTTATAGCCGCTTATGAACGCATCAATACCCCCGTTCTCCCCCAAACACTGTATGCAAATTTTGAATGACGCCTAAAGCTGACCATGTCAACGAGCGGCGAAGACGCAATGAAGAGTGACCTACCGGAAGAAGTGCACGGTTATCTTAAAGAACTTGTTCAGCGCCTCACCGACTATCTGAAAGAACAACTTGTCGGCGTGTACCTTTTTGGCTCGGCAAGCTACGACGCCTATGAGCCGGGTCTTAGCGACCTAGATGTACAGGCAGTCGTCAAAGGTCCGCTCGAAACAAGTGGAAAAAAGGCCATCATCTCTCGTTTGACCCAGGATAGTTTGCCGTGTCCCGCGACTAAACTCGAGTTCGTCGTGTATGCTCAAGGCTCCGTCAATCCAGCCAGCCGTCACCCAGCCTTCGAACTCAATCTGAACACCGGGCCTCACCAATCCGATCATGTCAGCCTCGACCCCGCGAATGAGTCAAGCCACTGGTTCCTGCTCGACATTGCCATGGGACGCCAACTTGGCCGCTGCTCGTATGGTGCTGATCTCGCTGAGGTCTTTGGGGCCATTCCTCGTCGCTGGGTTCTCGAAGGGATGGCAGACTCCCTCGCATGGCACCAAGCGAATGAGGCAAGTTCAACAAATAGTGTGCTTAATGCCTGCCGAAGCTGGCGATACATTGCCACAGGAGAATATTGTTCAAAGTTGGAGGGGGCCAACTGGGCAATGGAGCAAGACAATTGTCCCGCCATTGTCCGACGCGCCGTTGAGGCTCGCAAAACAGGGGATGAGCTTGATGCTGGCCAGGTGATGGAACTCTATGACATAGTCGTCAAGGACAATTGTGACAAGCTCGAGATCGAGGTTAATTGAGTACTGGGTTGCGAATGGGTCGTTTTCTAGAAACTCTCAATCCAAGACGACCTTGCGTTAATTACAATCATCAAATCTGTGACTCCAACTCCTTCTCAGTCCAATCCCACAGCTTCTTTGCCAAGACTTTGTCCTTGGACAACTGACTCCCATTCCCCGATACACCAACCGGAACATAATACTCCCCGGCCTTAACTCCCTTAGCTGTGGCAGCCCATAACTGAGACTTTGCCCCTTCTTCTACACTTACTCCAACCAGAGGAACAACGAACTTTTGAAATGCACTGAGCATCCAACTACCACCGTTCGAATTCTGTAGGTCTGTTTTGACAGTGCCGGGATGGATCGACACTGGGGTCAACTCAGTGTGGCGCAGGGCGAGTTCTCTTATAAAGAGAATATTGGCAAGTTTACTCTGGCCATAGCGATCGGTGGTTGACATTCCGCTGGCAGTAGACTTGAGAGTGTCGAACTGAATGCCGCCTGAGGGGCCAAACTTATGGGCAATAGAGCTTACGCTCACGATTCGCACATCACTTCCAGGAGATGACGAGGCAGTGTGGGTCAGGAGTGGTAGAAGAGATTTAGTCAACAAGGCATGTCCCATGTGGTTCGTGCCAAACTGCACCTCGTATCCCTCCGAAGTCTGGCCAGGTGGGCATGCCATAATACCGGCATTAAGCATAAGGATATCAAGGCGTGAGACGGACTTCAAAAAGGTCTGAGCGGCTGACTTGACAGATGCAAAAGATGACAGGTCCAGTTCTAGGAAGCGAACATCAACGCCAGGACTTTGTTGTTTGATCTCGGCAATGGCTGTCTCAGCCTTTTTGGCGTTGCGAGCAGCAATCCAAATCTCCGAGGGCTGGTGTTTCGACAGAGCGAGAGCCGATTGTTTGCCAATACCAGCATTGCCACCTGTAATGAGAATGACTTTGCCTTCGAGAGAGGGGATGTCTCTATCGGGATTGAAGGGATCACTAGTTCCCATGGTGATGAGTTTATGTGTCGTCTAGTGAAGTGGTGAAGGACGATATGTGAGGCAGAAGACACGGAACAAAAGTGTTGGCAAGGGAGATGAAGCAATGAAGAGGTGGAATGTAGCCTTGTTGTGAGGGTTCTCGTGGGCATCTCTCGGTTCTTATAGAGGGCAAGTATTACTAAAATGTGGCAACAAATCTCGAAACATTGGTCAACCAAAAGAAGGCTCCTTCAGGGGATCATGATACCCTGTACGGGATCACGACTACAAATGGGCATGGTGAAGCCGTCTAACCAATCATGTGAAGAGATAGACGAATGAACCAATAATGATGCTGTCCAATCACTTCCAGGCCACTAACCTCATCCGGTTCGAATGAGCTCTAAAGACAGTGTGGGGCAACCTCTTTACCAATCATGTACGACAATAGTCGAACCGGCGAACCATGGTAGCAACATAAGCGGGGCTTGAGTTTAGCTCCGTAGGTGGTTTACAGAGCGCGGTCGGTAGAATAGATCTTGAGTCATCTAATCTTGTCTCTATCACTCCGACTGAACGCGTCACAGTGTTGCCTTGAAAACCGACTCCCGACAAGACCGAGGCAGCCATGAGCGCGATGGAACCCGCCAGGGCTCCCGGAGGTCGCAAGAAATCCACAAGGTCAAAATCGGGGTGTCGGACTTGCAGGTAAGTCAGCAAGCTGTAACCGGGCGCACGGGGCTGATTTCCCCTTTCTCTAGAATTCGACACATTAAATGCGATGAGGGACGCCCTGGGTGCCTGCGCTGCTCTAGCACCGGTCGCGCCTGTGACGGATATGGCATCTGGGATTCGAGACATCCGCTTCCCTCCACAACTAGAAGCCTTTCTCAGCACATGACGCCCTCATGCTCATTTTCTCGGAACAAAATTACGCAGTCATACTTCGCTTGGTTTATAACCAGGGCAAGGAAGAAGATCCCCGGTATATTTGCGTCTGACTTCTGGAATACGCTCGTTCTTCAGGTCAGCGCCCAAGAAGACGCAGTTCTGCACTCTCTGCTAGCACTGGCCTCCGCTCATAAACGGGGGATGCTCTCGCCCCATGACGGAAGTTCGGAGCCTGGTATATCTGACGATGAGAGCTTTATGTTGCAGCATTACAATGCGGCGATTATGCAGCTCCAACACCACCTGGCTGTCGGAGATAAGGAATCAGTCCGAGTGGTGGCCATCTCATGTCTGATCTTTATCTGTCTTGAGTTTCTGCGAGGAAACATCAAGACAGGCGTCAGACACCTTCAGAATGGCCTAAGCTTGCTTCCTCTTCTCAACTCGCAGTCCGAAGTCGAGAGTGGTATTGTTGTGCTCAAGTTCCACAACGAGTCAGTGGAAGATACCGTCACAGAAGCATTCCTCCGTTTGTACCTCTATTCAGCTAGCTTCCACCGGCTCCCCCATAAGGTGTCTATTGCCACTCAAGATTGTGCATTTAGTCATCGAAATTGTGCCTTTCCTACCATAGCTATTGCAAGGCAGCACCTCGACGAACTTGTTAATAGGGTATACCGACTCGAAGCGTATACTCGCCATTTACAGACAATTGCTCAATCAATCACGAATACAATGTTGCACGAGAGGGGACACATCCAAAAAGACCTCGACTGTTGGTTGAGGCTCTATAAACACTCATATACCAAGCTTTCAAACGACAGTCCTGTGAAAACGCTACCACTTACCCTTCTCCGTATCCACCATACCATGACACATGTGATGGCTGGGACCTGTCTCGACCCCACCGATGAACTGAGTTACGATCTCTTCAACACAAGCTTTGTCTCCATTGTCACCCTTGCCGAGCATCTCTTGGAGGCTGCCGCATCCATCATGGCTGCAGATATTTTATCTGGAGCTTGCAGTGAAAGGTTCAGCTTCAGTGCGGACATGGGTATAATACTACCTCTATATTACACAATCCTGAAATGCCGATGTCCAAAGATTCGACGATGTGCTCTCAAGTTGCTTATTACCGTGTCACACCAGGAGGGCATATGGAACGGGCCCTTAGCTGTAACCATTGCTTGTAGGGTCATTGAAATCGAGGAGAGTGGATTCTACGGGTGCTCCCCTCTTGAAGAGTGGGCTCTTAACAGTTATGTAGACGTCCCTATTCCAACACTACCAGAGTCACATAGAATCAGTGATGTGTATTTAGAGCCATTTGACAGCTCGACCAAAGACCTGACATGGGTCTATAAAAGGATACAGGGACATGGAGACACGTTAATATTACAGGAAAGTATTAGAAATAGTTTGGTTTTTTAATCCTCTTCATTGGAAAAGACATACTAAATAGTAAACTGAAATACAATATAAGTATTAATTAGAGACATCATCTCTTGAAACTACACTTAGGTAGTATTTAACTAATAAACCAACCAGATAAAATTCCGTTTTAATTTGCCCTCCTGACGGTATATCGCCCAAAGTTCTTCCCGGTTGGGCTGTTCCATCCATATTCGCATTAGTTGAGGAAATTTCCATGTCCCCATCACACACAGGAAACCAGTGATTGCCATCACAAGGGCATTGGTTTTCACGCAGGTAAAGACAGTCAATGTTTCAATATTATCGGGCAAGATGTTGGTAAGAGACATATTCCTTCGTGAAGCCCAAAATGAATAAGAGCCTGGGCTGTAAAGAGATCCTTCAGATTGGTAAACTTCTCAAGAGCTCCTATTGTGGCCCCGAATAAATTGGCATTAGGCCGAAAGTTCAGGTGAAGGGATTGAACAGTCGTGCAGAAGTTGGCGAGGTGGTGGAATGGGGGTCGTGGTAGATCAACATGGCTCTTGACGTTGCACATCTCAAATCGAAAGGACAGCAGACGGTGGTTATAAGAGGTGAGTAGCTTCTCCAGATCACGGTATTGCAGTCTAGAAGGGGGTGCCTCGTCTAGATTGACTTCTTGATCTGACATGTAGTAGGATATCGTCCCCGGCCTTGACCTTTGTCTCACTTGACAATGAGGTCCAATTATCAACTTATCCAGATCGGGCGCCACGTCCACAATTGCATGGGGAGGCGAGTTGCACAACGATGCCTTAGTTTGATAGTGCTGATACCAAAAGACTCTGAAAGCAGATGGAAGAAACATGTCGATAAAGTCTCCGTCGGCCATAAGGGTTGTCAGATTGGGCAGTAAAGCGAGGAGCAGAACAAGAGTCTCGGCGTAGGCAACTCTCCACAAATATGATTTTGTAAGGGAAGTTTCATCGCATCCAAACAGAAACGCCTGCAATGTTTTATGATGCTTCGGTTCAAGACAATCTTCCAGTCTCCCACGCCAGACTTGGTTCACGTCGGTTCCAAAACTTCGAGTCCCTGTTGATACACATTGCGAGCCAAGCTGACGTCCAAATCAGCTGCCAGGTTCGAACTGAAAGCTAAGGTCTTGACAGCCTTAGCCAAGTCTCGTCTGGCAGTAGCAGTACGAAGGAACGGCTCTAGGCGCCTCTCGCGACGCTCAAGACTAGGGAACTCATGATACAGGAAAGGTTGAGCGATGTCCCGGAACCGATGCGATACGCGATCGAGCGCACATAGGTCTCGGACGGTTTCAGCATTGGACGAAGTGGTATCATGATCTGGGACAGTTTGATTTGTCCATGGAAGTTCAAAGTGAGGAATGAGATTGTTGCCTTGATAATGGCGACAGAGATGGGAACAAATAGATTGCAGGACCTCTGTTGGAAGGCTTTCAAGTCAAGAAGTTGGATTTGCTGTGTGAGACATGGCATCAACAGCCTGAATCACCATCTTATTTGAGTTTGTGATTTGTCCGAGGAAGAGTCGTAGATACTGATGTCATATATTTATACCTTGGCCAAGCTCGGATCAGATGTGGTTCCCTGATGATCATCATTTACAAAGAACCCCGTTTCAATTGTGCCGGTGATGCAATAACAAGTTGTGTTCCTGGTTTCCAAGGCCAAAGCATCAGGGAGATGTCATTTAAGTTTCAGTTAGCTATAGCACGTGGGGTCCTAAAATGCTAGTGTAATACTTGTGGCAAAGTTCTAATACATATTTCTTTACAGGTTAAAGGCCGATATATAAGTATCATTTCAAGGCCTTTGGCTTCACTTTATGCGTTGCAAGATGCGCATTTTGACTTTTAAATCCAAGCACTATGACATTGGTGTCCAGAACTCTTTTGATTAAAATATATTTCTTAAAGAAGGACGAGCAGAATAAGACAATTCATTTTAAGTAAACAGTATATAATTCTAATTTAAAAGGCCAGAGGCTAATATAAAAAGCAATTATTGTAAACCCTCAGTTTGTCTAAACCCAGCTAGGGCAGACTTGACATCTATTCATACTTAACAACATGGCAAGTTATGACATCCGATCATGTCTCAATAATCCTGCACTATAGACAAGTACTCTTCTCGCGTGTCGGAAACAGCAACGAGCTTTGTGGCACGTAATCAAGAAGGCCGCCTGGTGTTATTTGAACCGGAATTCAACGAATCTTGGTATAGTTTTCATGCATTGTCGCGTCTCCAGGCGTTGTATGATCCAACATGAGGTATTTATCTCTACTATAGCTCAACTACTTTGGGGCGGACATAACGTGAAAAAAAGCAATTTTAGCTTTTCTTTCTTTTTCTTTTGGTCTTAGCTTGCTTCATTTTGACAAAGAGGGCCAACTATGACAAGTAACTGAAGCTGGCTCTGTGGCAAGGGACGTACCGTCAGCCTCACTTTCAAATACCTGGTCGTACCCCGCTTTTGCTCTCGGCTTCGTAATAACCTATCTTACTCTAACTTATTCCTGACCTTGAACGTCGGCCAGCATAAGTGTTTTTGGCATTGAATGAATTGCTATCATGGCCGACCCGTCGAGGGCAGCCGCTTCGCTAAAGCCAGACATTCGACTGGCTCAAGCAATTTCGATGCTTTTGGCTAATCTACCCGATGAGCAGAGACGTTCATTTAGAACGCAGGGAGAGGAACTTTCACCTCCGACGATCACAGATGTCATGAGAGTTGTAGCCGAAGTTGATATGGTTACGAGAGGAAAACAGAAAGGTAGTAGTCGGGCTTTTGGACCACGGCTGACCAATTTCTTGGAAGCTGTACAGGAGTTCGCCTCTATTGGAGAGGTCGTGCTAGGCGGATCTATGTCGTCTCTTGCTGCAAGTGTCTGGTTGATTGTACGCCTGACGATCATGGTATGTCCTTTCTGTGGAGAAGTCTGTATAGACCTGATAAAATCCATAGATGCTTGCGGAGTATCCTCGATGGCTGGAGAAGGTGTCTACAATGCTTATGAGCGCCGGTCGCACCGCGCCCCGTCGCATGGAAATAAGCATGTTTTACGCGCGGTCTAAACACCTTCAATCATGTCTTCATGAATACTTCAGCGTCGTTGTCCATACTTGCCACTATATAGTCAAGTCGCTACAAAGCTCAATCTTTGCAAAGTTTATATCCTTCGCCACGGACTCTAAACTGAAAGGCTATGAGTCAGATCTCGAGCGTTGGGCAACGATGATCAAGGAGGAAATGAAGATTCTACAAAGCCAACCAGCTCCGACACGAACCGACGACTTTGCGAACATCTTTCCTAATTCTGGCAAATCTAAGTTGCAAACAAAGAACCTTGCCCACAATCTTGAAGTCGCCGAAAGATATTCAACATACGACTACTTGACCGCCTGGAAAAGGATACGAAAGTGTGGAAGCACTAGCTTATTCACACTTCTCCCTAAATACCAAAGTTTCATCGCCTGCAATGGCTCTTCTACCTTGCTCTACTTAGGCCAGGCAGGAGCAGGAAAGTCGGTCATACTCGCCAATATGGTCGATGATCTGGTTCAGAGACAATCTGATAGTACCCAAATCGCCTTTTTCTTTTGTCGGTGGGATCAAACCGATTCACTACAAGCCATTACTATTCTTTATTGCTTGTATCGCCAACTTCTTGAGAACCGTCAAGATAGGTTCCTCTTTCTCGAAGACGTGCATGACGGTTCGTCTGATAGCAGACTGATGACTAACGTATTGCGTGATGCCCTAAACACCAGCAAGAAGACATATATAGTTCTTGATGGGCTTGATGGCTGTCAAGAAACAGAGCGGGCGAAGGTAATTAGTGTACTTCAAGCCCTTCAAGCCCATTCATCACTCTCAATTTGTCTCTCGTCAAGGCCAGGAACCTTGAGTCATATTGGATGGACAGAACTTCATTTGATCTACATCTTGGAGGATAATCCTGATATCGAATTTTTTGTGGACTCCGAACTATCACGGCGGTTCGAGCAAGGGGCGTTGGAGGTTGGAAATCCTGCCCTTGGCGGTAAGATCAGATCTGCCCTAAAAGAATCCGCAAACGGGAACTTCGTCCGAGTACAAAAGCAAATAGACTTGCTATGTGAACAAAACACGGACAGGGATATACTCCAATTACTTTCCGACTTTACAGAAAGTCCTTTCGACGCCAGCGATACTGAGGCATTGCCCGTACAGACTACGCCAGTTGCTCCTTCAGCTTTCACGGACTCGGCATATGCGTCCGCATCTTTCACAGATAGGAGTGGCAAGAACCCAGACGACGATAAAGGAGCTGAAGATTCCCTGGGCGGTCCAGATGGCAATGATGTCGACGACGGAGCCACTGAATACTCCGATGTCTCGAGTACCACGTTCTCCAGAAAGCGTCTGTACATATCAGAGCTAGCTACAGATCTATACAATAGAGTCAGCTCCGGATCTTCCAATGCAGGCCAAATAACTCAAGTGAGTATTTCTGATACGCTTCCAAGCCTGCTCAAGGCTTTTGCTCTGAAGATTGGGTATTGTGCAACCAGCCAGATGCATCGAGATGTCATGGCCTTTGTTCACAGGCACAGAAGGTGAGCAGCGATCTATCCCAATACCCTTTCCAGATTTATGGAGTTGTTCAGATCTCCATGAAGAGCCAGGTCCGGGTAGTTATGGCCAGTGACCAACCGAACTTACTGACATCTCTATTTGCTTAGTGAGATTACTGCAGCCTTTTTAGAGATCTGTCTCACCCAGGGTGAGGTTGAGCCTGGAGAGACAAGAGATCAGTCAGGCTCTATGAGTTTGCAGGAGCGTATGGACCTCTGGGATAAAAATGAAGATATGGACGGAACCTCAGTTGAAGAAGGTTTGGAAAGTCTCGAAATATGGGACGGCGATGAGGAGGATATGTATGAAGATGCTGACATTTGGGTTGCGGCTTACCGAGACTTCGCACCTAACACCGAAGCCTACACATGGTTACTGACCCAACTCCAAAGAGATATGGATTCTACCCAACAAGAACCACCCGCGATTCAGCTTATTCGAGATCAAATATTATCTTCACTTCCACCACCTCATAGAGTCAGCAGGAGCATAGCATCTAAGCCTTGCAGCGTGTTGTTTGAGATTGACTGGGATATTGTTGAGTTCTTTGACTCGCAACAGTACTCCAAGCCTCCAGACGAAGCACTTCCCAGAGTGATTACTCTCACCGGATCTTCTTCCGACGCACAAGCTTCAAACTGCGCTCAGTTCTTAAAGCAAACTTGGCCCGTCACAGGGGAGATGATGCTGCATCTTACAGGCGACTTACTAAAGCAAGAGCAGGCCGGTCCACATCACAGTAAGATACAGTCTCAGTTTTCGCATCCTGTCCTGACACAGCCCTATCTAACGAGTTCAAAGCCCGGTTGCCAGATGGTACAAGACTAGCCGCCTGGATAAAGGAGTCAAAGCTTATGGTCGAGATGGATGGGTCCGCAGCTTCCATCTCAGAGACTGCAGAGCAGCTTGCCTGGCTGGGAGCGGCTTTGAGGAGTTCGCCACGTGAGAAAGGGCTGGTTTACTGCACTCCTTCTATCAGAACCACTTACCAGAGTCAGGTAATGCCACAGGCTGTCGTCTTTGAAATCGCATTCGAGACAGAACAACTTCCGGAGTCATCAGATATTGCTAACGGTCATTGCTGGCATGGCATCTTCAAGAACCCCATCATCGTGAAAGGTTTTCCCATTCTGTCGAAACTTCAGAAGGATACCGGCCTCGAGATACCTCTGAGCCTCATGGCAGGCTTAGCTCGAGCCCAGCGTGTTGACCGATTCAATGACAAGGTCTACATAAAGGGCTTCTCGACAATGCTAGTACCAACTAAACAAATCAAAGATGCGGTCTACTGGCACCTAATTTATCAAGAAGACGGATGCCGCATATCGTATCTGGCTGACAATCTACAGCGGGACGTCGATCTAGGATCATTGGATTTTGCAAGTTGCCGCCACATTTTAGGGTGGTGCTCTGAAGCTAAGTTCTATGCTGGTGAGCCGTTGTAATCGAATCTACCTGGATATACGACTAACTGATGGACTTCATAGGATCGGCTCAGGCACAGTACGATGTTAGACATTCAGAGCTTCCGAAGCCACACTCACAATGTGCTCTTGCTGGCACCACCATAACATTGGGAAGAATGATTACGGGAGGTTCAAGCTTCGAACTCGGTATCAAAGACACGCCAGCGCATGTGGCTCGCAATGGCTTTATTCCGAGACTCAAATGGATCTCTTCAAAATTCTTTCTGCTCTGGGACGAGAAGGACAAACGCGGATGGCTGACTAACGGCACCAGCGCTTTATTGCACGTTGTAAGAGCGTCTTTAGCATTCGACAGCACTGACAAGTTCCAATCAGCCTTTATCTTCAAAGCTGATGACTTACAAGAGTCACCCAAACCCTTTACGGCTGATTCAGCAATTGATGTACTCATCAACCCTACGAATCAAGCTTTGAAGCTCTATCCAGAAAGGAACGGCTTCATCGTCCTGGCAGACAGAATTGATCAGTACTACAATCTGCTCGAAAAGATGCTCGACCATCAGACAGATATCGCCAGGCGCCACAGCGCAAACCTTGAGAAGATGCCACGAAAGTACCTCGAGGGATGGGACTTCGAGGACTTGAGCGCGAACCGTGATCCGTTACATCCACGGTTAGTCACCCTTGATCCTGCTGGGAAGGGATGGGTCGACTTGACGAGGGCACTCCAGGCCGTAACGCTGACAGGACGCGGCTTTGGGGAACTTGTTCGACCGGTAGGCCCAGCTTCTTGCGAGACCTGGTCTCAACTACCACGTCATCGATACCTCCTTGCATGCTGTGTTTCGGATATGGACGCTATCGTTAGGGACCATCGCAGTTCTAGCGATGACTATGTCCGGCTAAGTGACGATCTTATATGGCATAATGCGGTCAACATCTCCGGAAGATGCCATTGTGGCTGTGTTGCTGCGCATCATGGAGAACCAGTCCATGTACTTTTCCCATCGACACTATCTCACAGGTTATGTGCCAGAAGGACTCCCATGCCTATTGCAGGTAGTGGTGCTGTAGTGTTTGGACATAACCCGGGCTTTTCTTGGATTTGGGGAGATGTTGGTCCACCGACGCAACAACAACCATGGGAGGAGGTAACTGTAAGTCATATATCAGACGGGGCAGATAAGGATAGTGGAGTTGGTGCGAGTCTCGTGACCTCCTCAACTGAGGGCCATGTCAACTCAATACGGAGTTCGAGTATATCACGTCAACTATCGCCAGTGAAGAGGACGCCCGAGAGCGGAGCTATTCCGTTGAGCGAGAGCAAGTATTATGCACGAAACCAATATACGGTTGGCATCCTGTGCGCGTTACCGATTGAGCTGAAGGCAATACGAGCCCTGTTTGATCAAAGACACCAGAACATGGCAAGCGTCCTCGGCGACAACAATCAGTATGCACTGGGCGAGATATCACAGCATCTGGTGGTGGCAACATCTCTTCCAGCTGGAGAATATGGAACAAATGCAGCTGCGTCAGCAATATCCGATATGACACGCAGCTTCATGTCTATAAACTTCTGCTTATTGGTTGGCATCGCTGGTGGTGCACCCTCGGAAGGTGATGATATTAGACTAGGCGACGTTGTTGTCAGTTTACCTACCAGCACATTCCCTGGCGTGCTCCAGTACGATCTAGGGAAGGAGAATGAGGGAAGCGACTTTGAGGTTACAGGCGTATTGCGACGACCGCCTCGCATCTTGACTAATGCCATTAGCAAGATCCGTTCGGATCCAGATATCGGGCTTGATGCACTGAACCCATACCTTGCCGAAATCGTCAAATCACTGCCATCTTATGGTAACCCGGGTCAAGAGCTGGATGTACTATTCCGCGCTTCTTGTTCTCGTAGGAGTTGCAGGCCCGGCTGCTCGCATCTTGAGACGCGCCTCCCACGGTTGACAACCGAACCGAGGATCCATTACGGCCTGGTAGCATCAGGTAACCGTGTGATCAAAGATGCGACTTTGCGTGATCGGCTGTCACGCAAGTTCGGAGTGTTATGCTTTGAGATGGAAGCTGCTGGGGTGATGAATAGGACAGATTGTCTTGTGATACGAGGGATATGCGACTACAGTGATGCTCAGAAGAACAAGGTCTGGCAGAACTACGCTGCTGCTGTAGCCGCAGCGTACACTAAGCTTTTGCTGAGTGCGGTAGCGGTAGTGAACGATCTGCCAGTCAACTTGGTGAGATCTGATAATGAGCCTGTGTTCAAGAAGCGAAAGATCGATACTGGCAATGAAGGGCATGAATAACGCGGATATTGAGCCGTGAATAGCATCTGTAAACCACCAGATATTCACTGAAATACGAGGACCCCACGAGACTTATTTTTGACCTTGGGTAGCTGACCTCTGCCAATTTTAATCACTGATTCACTATGTTTGGGCGAAGAAGCGTAATTCCAGAAGATTCGTTTGGACAATGTGATACCAAATCAACAGTCTATCATTTGACTCGAGTCACTCAATCACGCACCCAGTTTAACTATAAAAGCCACCGTACTCAAGTCTTTCTCCCTCTCAACTTTACCAAACACACAACAACTCGATTACAACTCAATCAAGAGAAGTCAACTAAATATATTCTAACTCATTAAAACAACTTTCTACTATCAAAATGTCCTATTCCCATATTGGATACTTCCGCTTCGAACAGAAGCCTGGCGTGACATACGACCGACCATCGTTCAAGCCTGTGGAGGATGCCTTCGGCGATCGCTTCAAGTCTGCATCCATCAGCGGCACAACAATGACCGTGGAGGTCTACATGAAGGACAAGTACTATGACTCCACACGAAACGAGGTGTATGATGCCTTGGAGGCCATGAAGATGAATGCTTATTTCGACCCCACCGACAACATGGTGTTCGAGACAAGCGGAGACAAGTTTGTCACTCACTGGCACAATGGCAGTGGCCGGATGCAGGAATGCACCAACTGCAGCAAGAGCCGTTACTGCTCAAACCGCAAGTGAACTGGGAAGTAACCAGAGGACAGAAGGTGGCGTTGGAAGAGGAAATGGACCATAATAGGGTTATGAGCATCGTAGTGTAGTATAAAATGTAACTGCGGTTCACCAATCGAGACCAAAATAAAGTGAAGTATTTCCAGATGACACTGATAAGTAACTTAGGTTGCGGCCTGCTGGTCACAGAGAGTTTTGAAAGGCCTGTGCTAGTATTGAAAAGTAGCAGTGAGCCAGTAACAAGAGGCTTACAGTGAAGCCAAACTTGGCATTGCAAGCCTTCTAGAGTAAATATAAATTAATAAAGTATAATACTAATACAACCTGCTAGTGTATCCATGTGAGCGACAGAATTTCAAACAATTAGTGACATGCGTCCATCGTCATGAGATGAGTTGGTCTGCAAGCCAAATCACGTACTCGGGTAAACAACGCGAAACAGCGCACTTTCTTTTGACTTGGCCATAAATGGCGGAATCACATGACACCTATTAGCATTAGCGCCAGAATAGACCGCGATTCAGTGTTCATATAGCCATCCAAGACTCAGTCTGAATGGAGAATTGGGTATATAAACTCTCCAGCAACCTCTGCCGTTCTCCACTTCCAACTTCACCACAGACACAATAACCCCGTCAAACATATAACTTGATCAATATCTTATCTCAAACGACGTCAACATGGAAGCCCCTCGCAGTACCACATACAAATATTTAACATTTCTGTTCACGCAGAAACTGATCACAAAGGGAAGGACACTGCCATTATACACATATACCCAGAAACTATCGGAGTTCTTCGACAGCGATAAGCTGAAGTACAGGTTCTGGTGGCTCTGCAACGATACTTTTAGAATCGACTTCCGTAAGCTTGCAGACGTCGATGTTGAGAAAACAAAGAGGGACTTGTGTGATGTCTTGGAAGGTATGGACTTCTTTGAGTGTTTTGAACGCTCAAGCATAGAATTCAAGGAATGGGAGGCGGAATATGCAAATTATAATGGGGATGGTGACAGCGACGTGGAATTCTACAGGATTCAAGCTGATATTCGTGACTTTGAAGAGTCACGAGGTTGAGATTGCCCTTGCTCTGCTTGGGGTAGAGAATGTAGCTATAGATCGTCGATCGCGATCTGAAAATACAGAGATGCAGATTTGACACTAGGCATAAACAATAGCTGGTATTCAAGAAGCAAGTCAAAACCGCTGGCCTATCTGACTTTAATCTTGGTGGTGCTGCTACCTCCTTGGCTTCCAGGCTCGTTCATATGGAGTTCTAACTTCTCCAATTGATTTAAATGGAAATTAGTAATCCGGTAGCCAAGCCAACTTTGGAACGAAACCTGACATTTTTATATACTCTTCTTCTTCAACATCCTTTCCCGTCTCTAAGTCTGTCACAGTGATCTTTAGCGCATCACCTTTTGAAAGCCGATCCTTGAACTTTCCAGCCGAAAGAACCCTTGTTGCAGTTGGTTTGCGACATCGGTTTGTGTTTGGTGGCCCCGAACCATCTCTTCCGCGTCCCATTCCAAGTCGTGTCACCTGTCCGATAAAATCGGGGTTACCGACTACATCAGGAGCCGTAGATTCTGCACCAGCAGTAAAGACATCGATGCGGTAGCTGGAGGTTGTACAGCCAACTTCATTAAAGACGACATAAGGAATGAGCTCTCTCTTTTCACTGATATTGAGAGAGTTGGTAGCTGCGGTCATGTCTTGGCCCGGCAACCCGACAGGCAAGACTATTGCCTTGCCTCCACTTGGCACAGCGCGACGAAGACCCTTTTCTTCGGCAGTCTTGCGAGTTGAGAAGTCAGGGCTCGCCGGCTCGCCGTACATGTAACCAAGGGCGCGGGTATCCTTAGCCATATCACCAATTGTAGTATACCGCCAACGGCGAGGGTCATCATAATCAATGTCGGTACCATTGTTGATGAAAGGCTGTAGTGGGAACCTAGATGTGAACTGATTCTCCGGATTCGCATCCATGAAGATACCAGCTAGTCGATCCATGTTTGCATGGTAAGACAGGAATATGGGATCGAAGGCAGTATAAGTGTTGTCGGCCTAATACAATATCAGTGAGAGATTCAGAATTTTAGTCATGTCATTACCTACCATATCAGGTCCAACCCAGCCGTGGAAGTTATCGTGAACCTGCTCAAACAGACCATCAAAGTCGAAACGAAATGGATAGTCTTTATCAGGCTGATCATCAGTGAAATCAGTAATGTTAGCCCACGGCACTCCAAAGTGCTGCGCTGACTCAGAGGTTGTATAAGTCTTCTGCTCCAGTGCGTGGGCTATCTGGTCGTGGTAAATCTTGAAAAGCTCAATCTTCTCTTTCCAGCCCTTTGCATCAGGACCCTCCGCCAAGATAGGGTTTCGAGTCACGGTACTACTCTTGCCATCTTTCGACTTCCCATTCAACGCTTTGGCAAATCGCAGTGGATTTTGTCGAGTTCCACCAGAAGGATGCTGGTATGTCTCTTCAAGAAACATTGGAGGAATGCCGGCAAACTTCGACGTTGGGCATGCAGCCTCTTTGGCAAATCCATTCCAGTAGGGGACGGGGAAGTCCATGAGTTCTTCGACATAGCGAAGGTAAGCACGATGCCACATAAATGTTGCTTCTTGGTAGTGGAGACACCAATATGCGTCTGCAGTGTCAATTAGCGGACATTATCTGTTCTTGAGGCATCTTTCACTCACGGAGGACTCCAAGCTCTTGCCATTTGGATCCTAACTCCCTCACCTTGAGCACATCGTCTAGCTTGGTCTGGTAGGCAACAAGTTCTTCTGGGCTCAAACTCATGATGTCCCTCCTGACTCTATAGGCGATGGGAGGGTCAACGGGATCGGGAATTACGGGACTCTGCGAGGGTTCGGCTGTTGAATCTTTTGGAAATCCATGATTTACCCAGTTGCGAAATACCTCGAGGGCGGCTTCAGGCCAGTAGTGGTCCGGGTTGCGGGTTACAGGCATCGCCTGAGATCGCAGATGCTTATAGATACCGACTGCCCGCTTCTTAACATCATCGTAGTTAGAAAGATCCCATTTACCCCAGTACTGCATTTCACCAATCCATGTTTGGCCAACTCCCTCGGGGTCAACGGTAATCCAGTAGGGTGCTTTGATCATTGGTAGGATATCATCTTCCCAATTGGCTACCTTCGGACTGTCTCCCGTAGGTGTTGGTGGTTTCATCGCGATTATCTGGAGAAGGGTGATACGAATATTGCGGCGAGATCGTTATTATTATCGTGGGATGGAATGGTAAATAAATGAAGACTGTATGTATACCTCTCCTTGGGGAGACTTGAAGGAATCAGACCAAGCACTGCGCCGAGGGTTAGCACTCGCTGTCCTCCCTTGCGTTCCCAAAAGGACTAGCTACAGATAAGACCTCCCGAACATCTCAGAAAAGGCTAGTATGCGAGAAGGTGGCGAGCTGAATTTTAGTCCGTTTACCCCTCTTAGTCCCGCATAGATCTTGCATCGCAAATGAAAGACTCCAGTAATGCCAAGAATGACCAGGAGTCTAGACCTTTCGTTGTCTTACATCTCAACCGCTAGACTACTCGCCCCACTGCCATCGCGGTATGTGATGAGAGAGAATCTCACTACATACGAGACACGCATTTCATGCACACACGCTATTGCAAAGGAGAGAAATGTTCGGCTCATCTAGCCTCTTACGTGGTAATGATACCACTGACATCCACATCCGCCACGGATTGGTGCAAGGTAGCCAAAGTAGTATGATGCTGATAACGAACTCAATCACCGCGTCATTAAAAAAATCAGTTTTCTGTAAAAGCGGCAACGCTGTGCAAGCCTTTTCTGCAGTTTTTAACGAGTTCCTTTGGTGGGTTTTGCTAACATTTATGGAGAACTCAGTACAGGAATCAATGACGATATATCTAGCTCAACGGGGTAAATGCCTTGAAATGTTTCTAATAGATGATCTTTGGCTTGATGGATTGGAAGTCCGGCCCATTTGGAGGACTAGGCTCCGGCATACCCATGTAGTCTGGTGGTCCCTCCTTCGCCGCTCCTCTAACCTCCATTACCTTGAGATCAGATGTCGTTACGACAGCATTGACCTCACCACTCTCCAAAGCCATCATCTTACTTGTAATAGCAATTCTTGGAGGCGCTCCCTGAACCTTTGGCTCAATAATGGGCTTCTGCACATACGGCTCAGTGTACGTAATCGCAGGCTGAGGTTTTCCAGGCCACTGCTTGGATGCCTTCGCTGGCTTGGGACCTACGATACCAGAGACACTCATGAAGATGTAGTCTGCAAACTGACTTCCGTAGTGAACGTAACGGCCGCCGTTGTTTTGATCAAAAAGATCGCTGACATTGAGGTCGCGGCTGCCATCATCTGTTTTCAGGCCCTTGGGGATCGAGACTCGGAGATGCAGTCCCATGTTCTGGGTAATATCACCACGATCACACCAGTCGAAGACACCATCTGGTACAGGGCTCATTTCTCGGACATTTCCTCGTCGCTTGCCTGTGCGATCAAGAAGGAAAGAAGAGAAGTCCGCGTCGTAGATGTACAGAGCTACGGGGTCTTTGACGGAAATGGTGGCTGGGATTGGAAGTACTTTATCGTGGGCAAGACGACAGACTTCGTTGACTGCTGCACCAATCTGGCTATCGTTAACCTCAAGATATCTCGTAAAAAGTTGGATCTCTTACAGTGGGATCAGAATTTCTTCCTGGGTTACCGTAGGAAGATCCATCTCCACAGAGTGTAATCATGTTTGTGATGGGCTCTCCATACACCAAATCAGTTCGAGTAACAGTAGCTTGAGCAGCAATATCAATCTCAGCACTGAGGCTGTTGTTGATTTGGATCAGGTGAGCAATTGTACCAGTGTTGGTGTGACCGTTCCATTTGTTAAAGATGTCATAGGTTCCATCTTCCTTGACCAGATCGTCACCTTTGATCTGATCTGCGAAATCAGGATTCAGCTTCTTGTAAATGTTGAGGATCTTGTTGTTTCTCTCATACTCTTGTGGCGCGGGTTTCTTGATGGCGGTTTCCGTGAGAATGGGGTTATGCTTAGCTAGCTCTTCCCAATACTAATGATCAGTTGGTATGAGATCTATAGGAGATGTTGTTCTTCACCTACCTCCGGACCCTCACAGGTGAAGCTCACTACCTGAATATCTCCGTCTACCTTTTTTGTAGACCATTCAAGGTACTCATCCATCACCCAGCGGTCCTCACGCTGCTGGGAAATCTGAATAGTCTCATCTTCTCCCGTCTGCGGGTTCTTTTGGTGGAACTTGCGGATCAGTGGAGGTACGCCGCGGCCTGGAGGAGCACGCTGATTCTCGGGATCCTCAGCATACGCCCATCGCGCATCATCTGTCGGCTGTCTGATTCTGACCTAGACCCAGTCAGAATGAGGCCCATGAGGTTGATTGCGTACTTACATTCAGTGGGAAGCCAACCCAGGTGATGGGCACAGAGGGTAAGGACGGATCATAGGCGAATTGAGTGGGGTTGAAGAACTGGGTAAGAATTGTTCTTCCAGGCTGTCTGCCTGCTATCTCGTCACTGAACCAGCCATCGACGGTCTTGGACCATCTGTCAAGCTGATCATCTTCGAAGTCCTTCAAGAAAGCAGGAGGGTGAAACTTGTCAAGTGTCTGAAGTCCAGGCATTTTCCTTGACGAGAGGTGTAACTGACTCTACTAAACAGTTAGACTTGATAAGCCTCAATAGACTCGCGAGATGAGCGCCAACGTCGGTGGGAAATGCTATGGCTCTTGTGTTCGGGGACACCTGAGTGCTAAGAAATTAAGCATTGAGTTGCCAATCTCCGGAGGTAATACTCCGAGTTATGTGACATGAACTGCATATGTTCCTGATCACCAAAGTCTCAGCATTTTGAGGCTGGCTGAAACTCAATTGGCAATCAGTCGCTCATGCAGATATTCTCACCGCATAAGCTCGTGTTAATGAAGGCTGTTGATCTCTTGGCCCCTCTTTGAGCGGTGAAGGCACAGAAATGCATGCAGGAGACTCCCAGCTCAGAGCATCGGAGCATGTGAGAGCTCAGCCCTTCTTAATCGGTATACCTGCATGTCTTACTTGGGTAGCTATCGCGTATATCAACGAATGGAACCAAGATCACCGCGTCACCCAAAGCCCTTGGTGATCAGGGTTGCAGGGAGATATGTCTCTTTATGGTACCAGTGCCTATCTTACATCAATAATGTCAAGCAATAGCGTAGCTGACTTTGGTCTGGAACGGGCTGCGTGCGGGGTATCGCCAATGTCTCAGTTACAGATCGTAAACGGAACATTAGTGGGTGGGCCGAGCCTAGCCCCCGAAGGAACTCAGCTGGCCTGGAGTAAGCCACAAACGGCGAATTTGCTAATCGCAGACAGGTGAGTGGTCAGAAAAGTTACGCCAAAACACCATTCACACATGCTGGACGCCGAGAAAGGACTGCCCGTATGCACCGGACGTATGTGATGCAGCCTTGGTGTATCTGCGATGTGACAAGGCTTGGGGAGACTGCGTGTAGGGAGTCAAGTCTCTGACCGATTCACTTGGGACACACGGAGACAGATCACTTGCTCCCCTCGATATCCGCCCATCAATAGCTCGGCATAAATCCCAACTGCTGTCTTTCCGGACCTTCGTCCTACTCTCAGTCGCAGTTCTTACACCAAGAGCAACAATGGCAGACCCCAAGCGTGGAAACTACGAAGACATTAACCAGAAACTCTGGTATCGAAAGTTCATCCGAGGTATCAATCCTCAAGGAGGCCAACCATACCCTGATCAAGACACCCCTGCAACGGAGGAACAGCTCAAAGATGACTTTGTTGATTACTGGGGTAGCCGCCTCAAGACTGATGAAGCCTTTCGAAAGCACAACACTTACAACGAGTTAATGTCACAGTTTTGGGGTGCGTAGACAGACATGTCACTGCTGGACTGCTGAGCTAACTGGATGCAGAGGATGACGATATCATCTTGCAGACATATGCTGTCGCAGATGGCCAAACCGTCCCTAGAAACAAGCAGAAGGAATGGTTCAGATCAGAACTTCGCTTCATCTCAGTCATCTTTCCTGCTGATGCAAATCATAAGAAGGGGGACAAGGCACCAATTGCTTCGGTGTCATGGGCGCCTTGGTTTGTTCTCATCGCAGCGTGAGTCAACACCTGCGCAACAGTATTGCAGGCTAATATAGTTTTCAGCTCCTCTGCCATTCATTCAGAGAAAGACATTCTGCACATAATGAGTTGGTCGCGCGAAGACGGACAGTTTAGATACTATGCTGTAAGTGCATTGTCCCTACTTCTCCCAGCAGGCTGGTTGCTAAACATCGCAGCGCGACCTCATCATGAATGGGGAAGCCACGGGGCAGCATGGTTGGGTTTATCTGTGCTCCTCAATGGATGCTTTCGACGCTCCGGGCAAAGCGTACCTCGGTCCTCTGAATGGCCATGTGAATGGAGGTATTGTGATGAAAGAGATCCACAAGTAGGTTTCCGTCGGAACACTGGACCATAACTGCGCTAATATGACGATAGACCATGGATGCACTGGCTCGTCGGTGGCCGAGGAGTAACTGATCTTCTTGACTTTGATCTCGCGAACGAGCTTATGGAGGCCCCATGGCTCACCCATCCTGGATTCCCTCCCCTCTACGGAGCAAGTGTTCAATCCGGTGAAACTTTCGAAAGAATCGTGCTAGACTCACTCAGAGTATGGTTTACTAGCCGACGACACAAGGACTTTATGACTGCCAGTGGGGAGACGGAAGAGCGCCCGCGTAACATCCAGCGCTGGGCAGCTCACTTCTTCTTAACGACGAACATCAACATTGCTGCCACTTCAAACAACGCGAATATTGTACCATCGGATCATTTCTTCAGTTATGAGATGCTCAGAGGGTACAGTGATCTTTTGGTGAGTTGCCTCATTCACGCCATCCGTTCCGGAAGAATCAGTACACTAATAAGCCATCATAGCCGAATAGGAACATGTACGACAAGAAGTGGCTAGCAGCTCACGTACTGCCCGAAACACCCGCTGCTCTAACAGCCTGGAATGAGGAACAGTTCGGAAGCGCCAAGCACAAGTACTACACCCAAGAAAAGTGGTTCCAAAAGTATTCTATTGCATCATTTGGTTACGATGGACCCTCTTATCTCTGGGCATCTCGCGAACTTAAGCTATGTACCCTTCAAGAGGTAGCCAATGAGAAAGACGCTCAGCTCGTTGTCCCAAAGAATGTCCTTGCCGGTGGCATCATGATGGGAACCCTGGAAGACGGTGCAGAAGATATTCGTGGAGGGGATCAAACAAACTTTGCTGTTCAACAATGGGGCGAGGGTGATAACCCCTGGGTCATTCTTCAAAGCTCTGTCGATGATGCGCACGGTGTGTGGATGGCGCAGAGGATGTTCCTGGGTGACGATAAGAATGCAGCACGATGTCAGCTCTTTACGGAGAAGACCTTCAACGCTCTGCAGATGGTGGACTTCTGGAATCCAATCTACTCGTGGAGACGCCTTAAGTTGATGCAGTACATCCCTGTTGCAGCTCAACTCGTCGATACGCCTACGAAGGACCCAGTCACAGGCGAAGACGTTTACACATACGATCTCGAGCAAAACTTCATCGATGCTGTAAAGAAGAGAATGAGCGGAAAGGGCGATCTCAAAAAACTTCAAGATCGATGGCCAGAGGCTGAGTTTCTTCTGAATTTGGAGAAACCACTTATCGAGCATCAGATACGCATTTCTAACTACACCAACCAAGTCGCACAGAACCTAGGCGACGCCACATGGATTCTAAATTATCTCAAGCTCGCTGAATCCCGCCGCAGGATGTTCCGCCCCATGCCGATGAACTTCTTTGGAAGTAACATCCCATACTGTTTAGCAATGCCACTAGGCCACCCATGGCTAGAGATGACAGAACAAGCGTCTGTACGACCGATCCCAAAGAGAGGTGTTGATGTTTTGAAGGGTTGGTTGGAATCGCTGGCTGGTGCCGATCCGAACGTAATTCCTCAGAAGCAGACTCTGAAGGAGATCAATAAGATGATCAAGGAAAACGTGAAGCAGGATACTGTTGGGTTGCCTGTTAACTTGCTGCCGAGGCCATCGACAATGAGAATGGCTTGTCAGAGGTTCATTGCGGTGACGAATCCCGAGACTTCAGAACGACCTCATAGTTGCCCCTTCATGGCGGGAGAGCACCTGGCTTCGGCCCATACAGCGGTTGAGGCTTGAGTCTTGTAGTCTAATAGATATGATCATTCTTTCAGTCCAGTTGACTAGGTTGTAAAGCTTATCATGATTCCATTCAGACCCCAGACCCCACAATCATAGACCTTAGTGAACTGGTTTTAACCCCAATCTCGGCCGTCCTCTCCAACTGTGGCTATTCAAATCGCCATCGTGTCATGATATCGGGGATGAGTGTCGGTATGTTTTAATTATGCCATCGCGGGGGTGCAAATACAACCGGTCGTATTTAAATGAATAGAAGCTGTGCGCTATCATCTTTCTAATTTGAAATCATGGAATATCATCTCCATCGCTTATATCGACTGTATACTAATTTTACATAACAAACGCCCCTCATTATTCAGCGGCTCACCCAGTGGGAGAATCCTATATCCCTCCTTCAAATTGTCGATCTTGGCAACGCCCGAGCTAATAGGCATAGAACGACTGTTCGACATGGTCTTGACTGACCACTGCAGGAATGTGAGATGAGGGTAATTCGTTTCCACCGACATCTCCAGGTTATCATCAAAAGCTACATCTGGTCCTTGAACAAGCATAGTTGTAGTCCGTGTCTTCTGATTCGATGTATCAGGTGCCAATAGCTTCATCTTCACATAGACCGGGTCATTCCCTGTCGATACCTTCAGGCCCCGCGCCATAAGAACGTCAACTTGGAGTCGTATCTGTGTCGGTTGTGGCGAGGCTTTGACCACATATCCCAAACTTCCATGGAACATCGCTTGATTTAGACTCATGCAGATGTCCTCGGTCTGACAGTTAAGAGCAGCCATCTGAACGCCATATCTCCAACATTGGAGGGGATCGAAGTTGGATGAATCAACCCGGTTTGGATCCGGATACACGCGAACAAGATGTTGTGTTCCTGCTAATTCGAGCGAACGGTGGTCTTTTGTATGTTTCTTGAAGTTTCGCTCTGAGACGGAGTAGATGAAATTCCGATATGTGTCAAACTCTGCATCTTTAGGTAGTCGTCTGCTCGCTCCATATACGGCAAGACTCTGTAGCAAATCGCCTGGCAGATCTTGACAGTCCCCCCTCTCAAGATCTTCTTGAGACCCATCCAAGTTGAGGTATTCAGGGGCCAGCGATTCCTGAAGCGGCTCTGGATTTTGAGCTACCTTGACTTTCAGCAGGATCTTTCCGCGTAGCTGGTTAGGTGAAGGGAGTTCCTGTGAAGATGCATCAAGTGGCTCAACCACCAACTTCGATCTGAATACCTCAAGCATTGTGCGAGCCATGATATCCCTCTGAGACGGACTGCAGTGCACTTCCAGTGATAGCCACAAAGGCAAGTCGGAAGCAAAGAAAGCATAATTGTTGATAGTCTCAATGACAGATCGGAAGCTGATAGACGTAGTCAAACTGTACCCGTGCTTGACGATCGGCTGCCCGTCCCGTCCATCCCAGCAGTCGACCTCCACAGATCGACAGCCTTGTGAAAGCGTTGCGATATAGCCTTTGAGCTTGGAGCGGGCGGCGACTTGGCGGCCCCGGAGGTACGTGTTGTGAGAAGATGAGATGAAGTATTCGTTGATGGGACGGTTGAGGGTATTATGCAGAGGGGTGCTGCGGATAGCTGAATTTTCTTCCGAGAATAGATGAGCGACTAGGTCGTCTACTGAGGTGTCTGACATCGGTTTGATTTCTTCCTTGGAGCATCTCGAATCGACGAGCGTACTGGAAGAGTCGCTAAAGACTTCTGGAGTCTTTTCGATGTCGGCTTTCTTTTCTTTCCCTCTTACCTCTCTCAGAAACTCTGACAGTGCTTTCTGAGATATTGGACCGATTGGAGGATTATTTGCTTCCCGCTTTAGAATCATCTCTAACAGAAGCTGATTGAAGTCTGATGGAGAAGCTCGAGTGAATCTATTTGCATTGCCATTCTTGATCGGTTCCGACTTTTGAAGCTCTTCGATGTCTGTTTGAGCGCGCTGAATGGGCCTAGGAACCTCTCGGACAGGTGTTCCTCTTTCGGCGTCAGACAATGTTACGGCCCTGCCGTACATCACAAGATGCGCCATGTCGAGAAGGGCGGGTAGAAGAAAGACGAATGTGAGTACGATAACATGCCAGCAAAGAATGATATAGGCGACAAGCATCCTGCCAGAATGACTAGCGAGCCCAGGAACAAAACCAATGTGAAGTGCGAACAAGGCCAGTCTCGAAACTGAAAGAAGGCCAGTAAGTGAAATAAAGCATGCAAATCTGGTCCATAAAGTCATTGCTAGCAGCTGAACAAGCTCACATCCTAGTAGGATACCAAGCTGAACAGAGGTGTAAGTTTGCAAGCCACCAATGACGCTCCCTCGGAGGAACATCAAAGAGAACAAAACCAAAGCATAGTATTGTCTTCCAGATTCTGGGTTTTTGTTCAGCCGGCCAGGACTTTGAATAACAAGTGAGCCCATTTCGGAGTCCCGTGTCCAACTCCACCAGAAACCTGCCAACAGCACAATTAAGATGATGATTGCCATGGCTGAGTTACGATATCCAAAAATCTGATCGTCGAGAAATTGGTAGGTTGCCCATGCACTGATCGGCAACATGAAACAGCTGAGAAAAAGCCTGACAACAGTCCAGTATCGGTCTTTGAGTTGTGCTCCAAACGTCGAGATAGTGAGTTTCGGCTTTGGTTTGCGGATGCTCAGCCTGAAGCTGATGTATGATGATAAGTAAAGAAAGAAGAAAATAATCAGCGATAGGACGAAGGTATTCATCCAGCTTTGAGACTTCACCGGTGAGCCCGTCATCTGCGTTAAGAGCTCCAATCCCGGAGCCCCAGTGATTGTGCCATTGTGTTCGTAAATGCCGTCTCTCACACCGGCTCGTGGGTAAGGGGAGTTGGTTTCTACAAGCCCAGCCGGTAGCATCAGAGTAGACCAGCTACAGAGTCCGACAAGAGGTTGGAAGAAGCCGGGGTATCGAAGGCTCAAGGCGCCTGAAAAGAAGATGAACTGGATGTAAGCTAGAAGATCGATGGCGCGTACGATACGGCCGTTCTTCGTGGTTAATGATTTGGTGGTTTGCTGGGCCGGCCAACATGCTGCGATACAGGTCAAAAGGAATGTGGCGATGGGCAACCACAGACTGAGAAGGCGGATGGGCTCCTGAGCAGCGGGAGTTAGAATCGCCCGGATACAAGAGAGTGATTCGTTGTCTTTTGTTGTAATCTCCAGGGTTGTTCGGAAAGTATCGAGAAAAGCCGAGCGCTTGAATGAAGATGCGATGGTGAAATGAGCTCTCGGGCCGAGCCATTCGGAAGTGTAGCAGGACATGTTGACGATCTCTCCTGAAAGTTCCTTGATGTTGCTCCCATAGTCAATGACCGTAAATCTTGGTATGACATCGCCGACATCGATCTCGCAAGCATTCCGATCCGCCTGCCCAGCGATAACATCAAACCGCCACTCAAACCCATCCCTCCCTTGTTCAACCCCAGCGCGAAAACTCTCAGGAATGAGCGACTTATTAGTAGCCGCATCAGCGCAGTCTTGAAACTGCACATATGCAGCCTGACAGCTTGCTGCCAAGAGCGTGAAAGGAGTTACTCTTGACAGCTTCATTGCTATCTCGATTCGGCCATGGCGGGATGTGAGAGATCAAATTGGGTTGCAGGTGGATCTTTCTTTTTCTCCATGCTGGCTTTTCTCCCTCTTTTCTTTCCAGCTGGAGAACACTAATGACTAATCTCGTGGGGGCTATTAATAGGTGAAACGGCCAAGAGGTGTCTAGTGGTGTTTATTTTAGGGCGGACATACGAGACGGTCCACTTCGGAATACACCATTGTCGTCTTGACCGATGTTTGAATGGTAATGTAGCCTTAGAAATATCTAAATTGGTATATTGGACCCCTAGAAAAGTATATGCCGTCGCATCAGGATTCTCTGTTGGCTCTTTACCGAGGCTGTTTTCATACTCGTGGATCGCATTCCTCTCAGCTCAGAAGCCGAATCCGAGGATGGGGAACCGAGGCTGTCAGGGGTATCCTTGCAGGCATTGAACCGAGCCATACCAGAATCATTTCAGTGGGGCTGACATCGAACTCTGCATGATGTCATTACCCTAGAGAATGTCAAAATTTAAACTTTTTGTTTTCTTGTCTACGAGGCAATATGGTCGGAATTGAGTAGTGATATTTCTCCAGTTCAGCTAATACTTAGAAGCAAGTATTTCGAATTAGTTTATGTTTGTGTAAACTTCACCAGTATCTTGGGAAGATGGAGAAAAGCAGTTTTGCAAGCTTATTCGGTGGTAAGTATGCATTTAACTAAGAGTATATGTTGGAACCGAACTGTAATACCCTCCTATGAAACCTGTCCCAGAATCAAGATTGCCGTTTGTAAATTGAGAGCTCGACTGAAGGTTTTGTCCCTCTCAAATGATTTGAGCCTGGAGTAATCTTTGCCGGGTATTCGGCTTGCCATGAAGTGATAGCAAAACATCATTTACATTTTGACGAATGACGAATGAAGAGAAAACCCACAAGTTCTATGATCGTAGCGTCTAATCAAGTGTCGATACCATTACCGGAACTGGAAGCAGTTTTGATGTCAGCTCGGGTTGGTGGACCAGTGTAAGGAACACGTGAGAATTCCCTCTCAGCTCCATTTCCTGACGACTCGATTTTCAGTGCTGTTCGTTCCGGTCAAGCATTTAAAAAAGATCACGAGAATTCACCTTACAGCGACTATGGAGATGCGACACTTGAGTCTTGAAGGCTCCCTTAAGATGAGACCGTCAGAGCTTACATACCGGCTTATAATAAAGAGGATCAGCATCAGCCTTTCGAGCGGACCTGACGATTATCACACACGCGATACCCCTGGACCCTTAATTTAGTGCGACTATCATCGTCTGTTATCTCATGTAACCTTTTCTGCATCTCTCTTTTCATCATCACACCAAGTGCACGCAATTCTCGTATAGCCCTTTCTGCAACAGCCTCTCTTTATCCGGGTTCTCAGAGCTTTTAGTTGGAGTTTTATGCTTTATCAGCGTTTATTTCTGCATTTCTGAACCTATGAGAGGAGCGCTGGTGCTTAGAAAGCAGTCCAAAGATAAGCACTTGCTTACGCATCGTTAGCAATGGTTGGTGAGTTGATGATGGCATCGCATCTGGTGCGGGGTTGTCAACTGCGCCGCTGATGTCGTCAACCATTGAAGATATAAAGGAACATGAAAACCCCGAAAGTTCCTTGCTGAGATTATCTCCAATTGATCCTACAGCATCCCGCTCGATTTGTTGTTGCGACCCAAACTCCGACATGGACACTTATCTTGACCCAATCAACCGCAAGTTTGCGGATGCGGCCGCTGAAGGTCCACCACTGTACACTAAGACCTATCAGGAAGCTCGTGACATTTTGGAAGGCATTCAGAGCTACAAGACCGCGTCCGACATCAAGACCGAAGAGATTAAAGTTCCAGTCAACGGTGAAGATGTCACAACGGTCATATTTCGTCCTGCCAGTGCTCAGGGCACGCTGAACATGATCTTTTACACGCACGGTGGCGGATGGATTCTTGGAAGGTTAGTCAACCACCAACGGGCCATGATAACATGCTGACAAGTGCAGTCCAACTGCGCATGGGGCTTTGATGGAGGACTTTGCACGCCAAACTGGGGCTGCTGTCGTCTTTCCTTACTACACTCCGGCACCTGAGGCCCAGTATCCTGTTCAGTTTGAGCAGGTTTACGGAGTCCTTGATCATTTCGTGAACAACGGTGATAAGTATAGTCTCAAAGTTGACAGTTTTGGCCTCGCTGGTGACAGTGTCGGAGGTAAGTACTCCCATCTCTTCTTCCTTTTGGGCTGTCTAACCTGTTGCCAGGACATATGGCCATCGCAATGACCCAACTCGCCCAGAATCGCAAGCTCCCCTCCAAGATTGGCCAAATTGTCCTCCTCTACCCCGTCACAGACACTCACAGTAAATCAGAAACTTACAAGACATTCAAAGATGGGCCTTACCTCTCCGAAAAGACTATGGACTGGATGATCCCCGCTTTTCTCCCAAACGAAGAAGACAGAAAGCTCCCATTGACCTCACCCCTTCAGTATGCTCCGGACGAAGTTCTGGCCAAGTTTCCGCCGACGACTGTTTTCCTTTCCGGCGCGGACCCTTTGATTGGGGAAGGTGAAGCTTTTGGTCATCGTCTGCAACAGCTTGGCGTTGATGCGGCGGTTATCAAAGCGGATGGACAAGTTCATGATTTCGCTATGTTGGCACCTGTCCGAGTTTCTCCGACAGCTCGATCTGTGGTTGAACTTGCGTCTTTGAAGTTGTCGAAAGCATTTGCTGATAAGTGAAAGCATCTGAGATTTCCCTCATGTAGTTTCATGAACAGATATCATCATTGGACAAGAGAGGTGGTAATAATTGTATCTTAATATAAAGAATTCAGTTGATTGCCGACATGATATGAGGATTTATTATCATAATTTCATCTTACACAAAACCTCCAGGGAGCTCTATATTAATCTATTTACCCCCCTGAAAAATTATATCCAATAAGAGAGCCTGCTGAATATGCTCTATATCTTCTACTGTTTAACCGAGCTCGCCAGCTTAATGCCAAACTGCATAAACTCCTGGGTGCATTTCAGGTTCGCCTCCGGAATTGACTTTTCCCTCTCCCACCTCTCTAAAATCACCCTGGCCTTATCCAGCTCTTCCCAGACCTGGATGAACTTATTTGAAGTAGTAGAGCCCAGGCTTGCAAAAGCCCTCTTCATCGCATCTGGTTTGGCAACCTGGATTGCACGGTCATCAGGAATAGGATGGATTGCAGCTTTGTTCTGATTCGCCGTCTTGACGGACAGAATACTGGCCTTGACGCAGTAAATTACCATGGCAGCAAGACCGGCTCCCAGGGCCGTAGCAACACTAGAACCAGTCAAGTTCTTGCCAGACTTGGAGCCCTCACCGGATTTAGACGACCCGCCTTTGATCTGATCTTGGACTACGTCGACACCTGGCAAGATGTAAGTAATGCCGACTTCAGGTGTCCATTGGAACACAGTGCCGTTTGAATAGGCTGCGCCAATGCGGAAGAAGCTATTGGGCCATGGACCACTTGGATAGTCAAGCTCAGTGAACTTGCCCTTGTCAGGTGCAGAGCAAAACATCAACACCTTGTTTTCTACAGCCCGCTCCAAAACGGCATGTACTATGGGAACGGATTAGTAAGATCCTCATTGGCTAGCAGAGACAACTCACATTCTTCCTTCATGTGGTCTTTACCGCTTTCAATTGGCAAGGTCCATGACATGGAGATGATGGTAGCGTTCTTATCCAACGCTGCTTGGATTGCCTACTAGTCATGAGCTTCCGGAGTTATGCAACGGCGAGTGTTGGTATAACTTACACGTGCTGCATACCTTGGATCGATGGTGCTTTTGCCATCTGCACTGTTATAGGTCTTCAGACGTATCGGATAGACTTTGGCCATTGGGCAGACACGTAGAATCATGCTAGCCATGGTTGTACCATGGCCCTGTGCCGACAAGTACGGCGGGTTAACTCTCTCATCGTGAAAGTCAAAACTCTTTCCTTCAAGAACTTGGTCTGGCCGGCCAATCTCAAACTTATCGACACCATCGTCAATCAATGCGATAACAACATCACTCTCAACTCGCTCCGTCGTGCCCGAGTTTTGCCTTGTTTCAAGAAAGTTTGTGACTGTATCCTCCCAGTACGGAGCCATGGCGCTCGCGAAATGTTCAATCGATCTCAACCATCGGTCTTCATTTACACCCTGGTCCGGAGTCGAAATGGTCGTCGGGGACACGATATTAGATGCCACTCCGAGTGTGCTTCCTGTTGCTGGATCAACTAATTTGACCCGGATGTGACCGGACTTGTTGCCGCTGAACGATAGACTATCGCTGATCCGGAGTTGCGCTTCATGGGGCGATTCTCGATTCTTATTGAGTCTGCGTTCAAACTCCATAATTCGTTGATTGATCCAATGCGGGCTATCATAGGTCTTCTCGACTGTTAGTCTCTGAACAACATGTGCATTCAGTTACATAACATACCATATGAGGTGCTGGTGGGATTATTTCCACTTCTTGAAGGTGAGGCAGCAAGGGTAAAGCATCCTGTTCGCTCCAGGCTCTAAGAACAGCATTGCTGCCACTCCAGATCAGAGTAAGCTTCCTCAACTGTCGCTCTGCAGGCGAGTTGACACTCTCTGAGTCATCTGAAGGTGATCTCTCCTCCACTGCTACTTTACTGCTAATATGAAGTATGGTCTCTGGATCCAAATCCGTCTTCTGCCAGTCCAGATGCTCAATAACGAACTTCTCCAGGGCTGATTGTATCACTTCATCGCTATGGACCTTTTGGCCCGAGTCTCCAGAATCCTCAACTGATAGCTTGATGATATGACGCACTCCTTTCTTGTATAACCAATCAAGAAAATATTTCACGTCCTTGCGGCTGTTGGCTCCTGGCAGAGTGGCTTTAGCCTGATGGGATAGTTTGTCCTGGCGATCTGCTGAACGGCCCTTTACCAAAACTTCAACGCGTGGAAACGTTGCGTACTGTAGGACGGGATCGAATTTGTAGCCATCCACAGCGTTTTCGCCGAACCTCTTGGTGAATTCTTTCCATGGTATCGGACATGGTAGACCACGATAGTCGAAACCTATCTGGATATCATCCATATTTTTGCCGTATAAAAAGAACATGACCATCTCTGCGTTGCGCGTCCTCATATAATAAAGCTTGAGCTTCTGCAAAACTATATCTGAGTTCTTTTCACGATTCTTTAAAGCACTCTGAAAATCGGGGTTCTTCTTAGAGGAGGAACTCGGTTTTACCACTCGCTTCTCACTCTCAGCCTCTCTTTCCGGGCGAGCTGTATTACTTCTCTTGATGCCAGTGTTCGACGTTGGTTCAGTATGCCGGGACGGGTATAGAGCATCAGTGTCATTTGCCTCAAGCCCATTTGTTCTGGGAGACCGAAACCGACTTCCATCTCTCTCGGTCGCATCTCGATCTCTTAAACGATCATTTATGGCAGGTGCTCCAGCCTGTTCGAGCCTGGCACGTTCCTCTTCCTTTTTCTGCTGTCTTATTCGCTCACGGTCATCTGTAGAAGCGGCTGGGCCACTACTACGACCGTATCTTTCGGCATCTCGGTCTCCGGGCGCTTTGACTGTGGGAATGGTCTTTGACTCTCTCGTGTTGGCATGTAACCTGGGTTCTCTGGGAGGGGCTCTCTCTGCTTCTTTTTGGGCCTCTTTAGACTCCCTTTTTCTCCGTTGCGCGGCCTGGGCGGTGCGATACTGCTCCATGTAAGTCTTCCTGGTGTTTGCATGCTCCTGGAAAACCGAGCAGCCATTTTGATCGGATATGTCGAGAAACGTCTTTGCTGATTTCGGCTTGTTAAGCCTTGCCATGAAGTCTCTTTGGATCATCAAGTCGATGAGTGTTGATCTCGAATCTGTGCAGTCCCTGAACTGTACTGCATGGTGCATCGGCGTCTTGCCCGTGTGATCGGTCATACTCAACGCCTCGTCGCTGGCGTTTTCGATCAGCATCTTCATAGTCTCGGGTTTCAACTTCTCGCCAAAGGCTGCATGAAGACACGGCTTTCCATCGTGCTTACTGCACAAGGCTGTATTGAGATTTTGAGCACTGTCTCTTGGTTTCTTGTGACTGACGCAAGCGGAAATCATGTAGTCGAGGAGTTGATCTTGGCGAGTTCTAATGGCCATTAAAATAGGAGTCTGGCCGTCCTTGTTCTTGTACTGGAGCAGATCCGGAGCTTCTTCCACCAGCCTCCGAGCAAGGCGTTCGATTTTCTCTGGCTGGAGACCATTGTGTTTGACCACCTCGACCAGTACGTGAAGAAGATTACCTGCTGCTTTGGTTGAGCTTTTAGCAGTAATGTCACTGAACGTATGGAAGAAGTCGTCAGCTTGGGCCTCGCTCGTGAAGTCCTGTTCTTCTCTGATCCACCCACGTGCCTTTTCCAAACGGGTATCGTAAGCTTCCTCTAGATGCTGGTATCTGTAGACACCATCTTCATCATCGAGGGGGTCCTGAATCAAGGCTGACTCAAACTCATCGAGAGAATTCGCATATTCTTCTTCCATGTCAGAAGCCATTTTATGCACTGCGTCGAATTTTGTGTCTATGTTGAGTGGAATAAGGTGAGGTGAGACGAGCCATAGGTTAATCCAACGAAACGAGGCTCTGAGGCTCTGAGCCAGCCTGCTTATCTCGGTTAAAGTGCCCAGGGGAATTGGTCCACATGAGCTATTAATTGATAGATACCCCGCGCGAGCTGAAAACTAAACCACACCGTGCGACAATACCCATGACCGATAGAGCACCGAGTGGGTGGTCAGATAAGAAAGCTCATTTCGTTCCAGCGGAAGGGTGGCCTTCGAATCAAGACTACAACATTCGTCAGGCTTGCAACTCTTCGGTCCAGGCAAAATGTCCGAATCCTATCAGAACAACCTCTTCGAGGATCACAATGGCACTGAAGGTCTCAGTCTTGACATGTACGAGGCTGGGGAAGGCGACTTTCATGTCTTCAATGTTGCCCCAGACCATTACCATCGACAAGAAGCTCTACAACGCACCGGCGCCGTGGAGATCAATTGTAGCATCGAAAAGGTCGTGCATGGAGCCCTTGCTCCTGATAGCGACTACTATGCAACTCTCATGGTTATGCAATGGTTCTTCCAACCTAAGAATGGGCGGCGAATTTCTGAGGCCACTATTGAACTCCTCTTCGAGGCTGAATCGAGTGACACAGAGATCGAAGTCAAGGAGGTTTCCTTTCCCGATACATACAGTCTAATGCCAACAACTCAGGATGAGTCGGTCACCAAGGGCGCTGAGACAACTGTCGGCGTGGAGCAAGTCGGCCAACTGAGCTTGACTGGAAAGTGGGAAAAGACGATCACAAAAACAACATCAGACGCCATTACACTGAGCGGTGGAAAGCGTATGGTTAAAAGCATGCCTCCCAACCGTATTGCAAGATGGGTGCTCTCCGAGAACGAATCGCAACCAGCTGGAATTCCCGCATCGCTCAAGGTGGCGGTACTTATCATAAGAGATGATGAGGAACGGTTCAGATGCAAGCTGGCTCTTGAGTGCAAGACGGATTTGAAAACACGATTTCAAGGTCTCTTTAAAAAGATCCCGAAAGACTACCCTATAATATTCCAACCAAACCCCGAGGATAAAGGCACACGCCCGAACAAAAATGTCATTTACGGCGATGAGGACTTGGGAACTGTCAACCTTGATGACCTATCTGATGTTACATTCCGCAGGGTCATATCAGACGGGCAAAAGGTCTGGAGATGATTAGAATAGTATGCTACTATAGTTCAAAGACACACATAATCTAGAAACGTATTCCCCATTTCGCATGTCCTATAAGCAACAACAGCGAAGTACATCTCAATCCAGTTACCCTGAAAGAGTTAAAGATGACAGATAGACAGTAGGCAGCCTATTAGTTCACTGTGCGCCCTCGACCTCGCCTGATACTGATCCCTGTAAGTGAGATGTGATGAGACGAATCTCACCGCATAATCACTTTTTGCCTCCAATCAAAGCATGCCAAGTGTGGGTGCTGAAGAGATTACATATCCACTTTGGATGGCAACTTAGTTTAGGCAACACCAGCCCTACAGAGTATTGTTAGGCCCTTTGTCTTTGAATGATGTCTTCGCAAATCGCTCGATCCATTGCCTAGTCAGTCCTCAACAATGGACACTTCCGAGGACCTGCCGAATGGGCGGCCAGGCTCAAACTCAGAAGCGAGTGATGGGTCAGAGAAAATAGCTTCACCAGTTCCGGATGTGAACGCAACGGCACCCAACGCCAATGTCGAGCAAGAAGAAAAAGAAGATGACGCAGTTAGCATCAAAACCACAACAGACGAGCTTCTCGGCGAAGGCACCGAGACATCGCCCAGAGAACATAAACTTGGACTCGACATAAACTTTCCGTGGGGTTGGTCTGGCTCCTCCTATGATGATTATGAGTATGAAAAGGACCTAACAACTACTACTTCTGACTGTATCTGCTAACATTGCAAACAGTGTCATTACTGTGCACGGCATACGAGATGATTATAAAACTGCCTGGATTGACAGTAAGGGAAGCTGGTTCTTGAAAGACACTTTATTCAAGCATATGTCTGTGAGAGAGATCGATTATTCTTATGAGAATCATGAGGAGTCGATCCTCTATAAGCCTGATGGCATTCGAATTCTCGCAGGAAAGCTTATCGACGAATACGCAGCGGTTCGAACAAAGCTTGAAGAAGTAAGATACAAATTATCCTAAAGCTCGAGCCATAGGTCTAAGAACCACAACCTAGACTGAAACAGAGCGCCCTATCATCTGGGTTTGCCATGACTTTGGAGGTACCATCGTCAAAGAGGTATTTAGAAACCCAATCTATATAGAAAGTCATTTCTCTGATTCCCTGACCTGAATAGGCTCTTTCAATAGCAGCTCACAGCCCTGGAAGATGTGGAAAGATATTTATGCTTACCACGGGATTGGTGAGTGAAGCAGTCTGTGTGGGAGATGCCTACTAAGTTTAAATAAGGTTTTTATGGGCTCGCCTCACCGATTCCAATCGCAGGACGATCTCGAGGATCAGTTGCACAAACTCATTCAACTTCCCGGTCCGGAGATCAAAAACAAGACAATGCTGAAAATCAAGCATCTTGCAAGGCAAATTGACAGCGCTAATCTAAGATTTCTGGAAACCAAGCTATTTGACAGAGCCACTACTTTCAATATCTTTATTCAAGACGCCAAAGCTAGTCTTGCAGCGAAGTCCGCTGATGATAAGTCTCTTGGTGCTGATGGAATCGACTACGAGAACGAAGACTTTAGTAAGGCGATAACTCCGTTTTCAAGAAACTCACACTTTGTTGGGCATTCATTTGAAGCGGCTGGAAGATGGCGATGGGATGACTTTGGGCACATGGACTTTGTTCGTGAAACCATTAGTTCTTTCTTTAGTGATATTGCCTACGCTTTTGGAGCGACTGGCTTTCGTAAGTTTTGGCCTTCTCATACTACGGACAAAGCTTTCATGATTTAACGCTAACAAAACAATAGCTTTCAAAGTCGGCTATTGTCTAATCCCGTTTCAAAAACGCCTCCTCTCCCTTGTGCCCCCAACTCGGCAATTGAGCATTCCCTTTGATCCAGTTCTACCGCATCCTCCCGCGCTGAAGTGGATACATGAGCAAGAACCCTACATCTCGTTCGAGAAGACGAAATCAGGATTCAACTACTTGCTTCTTCATGGCGACGGAAATCCACTGGTCAATATTTCCGAGGTGTCCCGTTTCTTTCACGCTGCCCTGGACTTCCACGTTGTCTCACTAGAAGCGAAAGCCGCAGAAAAGTCGATCATCTACTTCGAATTTGATCAGAACGACTCGCGATACGCCAGTCTTTTATCCATGTTGACATACCTGGTCAATGTCATTTTAATTCGTTTCTGGCGCGAGTTCGAAGCCTTTCCCTATGAGGAATTTCTCTTTCTCAGCGAGACGTGTTCATGGACAGTCGAAGATCTATACCACATATATTCCCAGTTTAGAAGGGTAGCCCCAGGTACTCGCGACCTCACAGTATTTATCAGCTGCTTTGATCAATGTCCGCCGGAGGAACGAAAATGGTTTATGGACCGTATTCTGAGTGAGCAGAGTAAAAGCATCGCCACTTATCACTTGATCATAACGACTTCTACCAGAGAAGGGCTTGATCTCGACGAAACCCCGCGTGGAAAGCACATCAACCTCATGGAATGTCCTTTGTTTAACGAGCCGAACGGCAAACTAAAGAAGGAGTTCCAGGCTGAGTTAGATAACTTGGTTGCCATGCGACCAATTTACGAAGAGTCTCGATCCCAAATCCAAGATCTACTTCAGGGATGTCATGACACACCGCACCTTGGACACCTGGTCTTAGCCTGGCTTGGATCTTCGCTTCGAGGTAGCTCAAAGCAAGGCATTGCGGCTACCGTCAAAAGCTTGCTTCCTATATCAGCAAAAGCCATTGTTGATGTGTTTATGTCATCTATCGAGCCAAGTATCAAGATAAAAGCGGAGACTTCTTTTGATTGGATCAAGCACGCTGCAGAACCTTTGTCGCCGGAGGCTCTCATTGACGCCCTTGCAGTTCATATGACCGATGACAAGGATATTGTATTGGAAGACCTCGATAAGGAAGCCGAGATGGCCGAATTGATCAAGGCCTTTGGTGGGATCATTACTGTCGAGAATGGCGATGTGAAGTTCAGCCACCCAACATTCTATCAAGTGATCCGACTTGACCAAGATGCAAAAGAATCAACGGCTAGGATTAACAGCTCAATGGCTGCAGCATGTTTACGGTACTTTCAATTCGAGAATGCCCAAAAGACGCTGACCGAACTTTGTTCGGCAAACTTCGAAGGATCCTCGCTGGAAACGCCGCTGGATATAGTTGTCACTTCTCACCAACGAACCACCTTTGCTGAGTATGCTGTTCGGTTCTGGCCTCATCATTACAAGGTCAGCGAGCAGTTCAGTCCCAAACAGCTTGTTCATGAACTCTTCGACAGCAAGCTATCCCGAGCTGCCTGGGAGGTTTCTTTCTGGCTCCTCTCTAACCCTTTCACAAGGATTAATCGACATTACATATCGACGCTCCCAGTGTTCGCCATGTTGGGCCTAGAAGACTTGTTGGATGAGAAGATGAACTCTGAAATGAGTCACCCCTGGTTCAATGACAACTGTTGGCTTTCAATCACGGAAGCCATTCGATCAGGGGAAAAAAGTATTGCAAAGAAACTATTGGATCAGGTCGATGTAAATGAAGATGAGCTTCAAACCTCCCTATTCTGGGCAGCTGCTCAGGATGACAGAGAAACTCTAGATGCTTTGATTTCCAAGATCCCCGACCTCAAGACTTTCCCTTGGCCCGAAACCTTTATGCATCGACTCACTTCAACTGGTCAGGACACCTTACTGGCTACAGTATTGGCATCCGGCAGTGACATCAACAACACAGGACCCTACTGGGGCTGTCCACCAACCCTTATTGCAGCCTGGCGGAATCGAGTTTCGACGCTAGACCTCATCTTGAGATCAGAGCCAAAACCTGACTTGACTATTGAGGACAATACCGGTGATAACCTTCTGATCGCTGCTGTGAGGCTGGGAAATCCAGAGGTGGTCAAACTTATTGTTGATGCCGGCGCGGATCTCAAAAATGGTAGGAAGGCTCATGATCTGGTACGAGCTGCCGTGAGAAGCGGTTCACATGAAGTCGTCGGTATACTCCTTGAAGCCGGTGCCAAGGTTGAGATGGACGCGGAGGATGAACAATCACCACTTTCGCTTGCTGCGGCTAATGGCCTTCTAGAGTGTGTAAGGGTGCTGCTTGATCACAAAGCAGACCCAAATGCCAATAGCTCTGCTGGCACTGCACTTTACGCAGCCGTGGAAAAGGAACATCTGGATATCGTTCGATTCTTACTCGAGCACGATCCCAAGCCAAGTATGGATATTGCTCCTCTGTACAAAGACTCACTTTTCATCCGTGCTATCTGCACTGAAAATATTGACTTGGTATCGCTTTTGATCAAACATGGCGCAAAGATTGATTACGTCGACTCTCTTGACGCATTCAACAAGTCCCCTCTGTCTAGAGCTGTTCGCGAAGGAAACTTGGACATGGTGAAGCTTCTTGTTGAGAATGGGGCTGATATCAATTACTCGGAAGGCGGAACAGACCCCCCGATGTTTGCGTCCCTGTACTACAACCAGAACGACATAGCGAAGTATCTGCTGCAGATTGATGGCGTTGACTTGACGTGGAAAGGGCCTGAAGGAATGGGTACCCTTCATGGGGCATTTAACAGCCCAAAGATTCTACCAGATCTGCTAAAGAGAGACCCCCCTATGAATGGCATGAGTATATGGGGTACAGAGCTACACATGGCGGCGCGTGATGATGAGCTAGAGTCTGTGGAAATACTCCTCAAGAATGAACCGAAGCCCGACCTCGAGGCGACGATGGGAGATGATGCCTCAAATACGTTTGAGGTCGGTTATACTCCTTTACAAGTGGCTTGCCATCACCTTGCTTTCCGATCCGTCAAGGCCCTCTTAGAAGCTGGTGCTAACCCTCACGTCCTTACCAACGACAAAGAAGATCTTGTCGATATCGTGCTGGGACGTGAGGTAAACTCGGACAACATTGAGAAAATTCTAAAGTTACTGATTTCAGAACCATACAATCTACCCACCGAACGAGTCAATGATCAGAACCGCACCCGGCTCCATAGCATCAACGAAACTACAACCCTTGCCGTATTTCGACTTTTTACCGAGCCGAAGCCAAATCTGGATGCTCGGGACAACAAGGGTTACACCCCTCTGGCCGTGGCTATCAGCAAGTCTAACAAGGGCATCGCCAAAACCCTCATCGAACAAGGTGCTACTGTCAATATCTTCAGTCCAAATTACGGAAGCATCCTGCATTTGGCTACCAGCGCTGGATCCGTGGATCTCGTTAAGCTGTTATTGGGATCGGGTGCAGATCCTGATCTGGTTGATCTTGAGTACGGCGAATCCCTCCTGTACACAGCTCTTGGCATTGAAGACGAAACCAAACTCAAAAAGATGATTCGGTATCTTGTTGACGAAGCAAAGGTTCCAATCGACAAGTTGGGGGGCAAATTGGGATATCCTATCATTCGAGCAACGGATAGAGCATCAGGCTATGGTCTATATGACACAGGCCGTAAATTGGTGAAATTCCTGATCAGACGCAACATTCGCCTGGATGTTTCCGACAACCAGGGTCGCCGAGCTGTGCACTTCGCTTGCAAATCACCTTTCACTGATATTCTCAAGACCCTTGTTAGTGCTGGAGCAGATATCCATTCCGCCGACAAGTTTGGCCGTAAGCCAATTCACTTCGCAGCCTCAAATCCGTACGAACGCTGCCTTGTTTACCTGCTTGAGACGCTTGGAAAGACAGATGTCGACGTCAAGGACCACGACCAATGGACCATTTTAATGTGGGCTGCACGCTCTGGTGAGTTCAATTCTGTGGAGACGCTCCTGGAACGAGGCGCCGACATCTGGGCGCGAAGCCGATCTTCTGAGCAGCGAACTGAGTGGTCACCGCTCAAGCTGGCCAACTTTGCTGGCCGTAGTCAGTGGATTACCGATCTGCTCGTGCCCAAGGAGTTATCCAGGACCAAAGGAGACGGTAGTCAAGAAGAATGGGACGAATACTTTCACAAGTGCAAGGTAGGGGATGACAAGCGTGTGATATGCGATAGCTGTCTAGTTGTAAGCCAATCATTCATAGCCCTTTTCTGGACCGGACTAACGATTGGCGATTCCTGTAGCTTATCAGTGGTCTGCGTTGGGACTGTATTGAGTGCAACGATAGCTTTTCGCTGTGTTTCAAATGTGTCCCTCACAAGTCCGACCTCCATAATCCGGAACATAGTTTTAGGGACATTGGGCCTCTTTATGAAACGGAGTCAGTGGCAGGCAGTGTAAGAAGCGACAGCTCCCAGGAACTAGCGCCTGCAAAGGAAGAGGATGGAAACTCGGAAAGTAGTGCTGGGATTGATCTTCAGAACTTGGAGTTAGATTTAGAAGACTAGGCGAGCTTTAGGAGGGGGTGTAAATAAGTTGATCTAGCTAAATATAAGTACCTTTAATAGAATAATTTGAGTTAAATTATGAAAGTAGATTCAAGGGTGTATGGTAAATAAAGCTACGGGTGATATTGTCATAGGTCCTGATTCCTGCTGCTTAGTCGGATATCATATAGTCAAAAGGGTTTATTCCCCGATTTATGCGCGATTCATCGTCAAGACGAACAAGGAGAGCTACCCCATCTCTATCATGACGGATTGACTCGGTTATCTCTCCGTCAAGATGATCAAAAACTATAATCCCACAGAGTTCGAAATACTGAAAAAGGCGGATCCGCTCTAAGATTGACATCAGTTTCGGTCTTGTTTCGCGAACAAGGATACAATCGCTTATCATGATATAGAGCTCAGATCCATTCCAAACGATGGGTGCGAGACAGCTGCGATAATACTCTCGGATGGGGGCGAATACGCGACCTCTGCGTGCAAGACGTCTTTGCGCAGAATTCAATGGCGGAATTGCGTGAAACCAGAAGATGATTATCTGGTCTCTTTCGTGAACTTGGTGGCAGATACGGTTCAGTCTCTGTGTTATATGTTCAGGTGTAGCTGACTCGTGGTGTTGTTTCAAATGAGATTGGGAAGAAGACTTGTGCCGAGCATGGCCTTTTTATATGCCTGGACGCATTCGACTTGGATGAGGCCGATTACTATCTAGAATGGCTCGTGATGAAACACTTCAACAGGTGGCCATTCGTTAATCACATCAGGCACTGGTCAGAGCCTGTGCAGTATGCGCTCTTCATATCGCTCCAGTGGCCATTGATTCTAGAAAAAAGTATTTTTCATCACTGTCAAGGAAGAGATTGTTCAAACAAAGACTCAGTTCGGTCACTCATACAATGATATTGAAGAGGCGAGGGAGTCATCTTAGAACAATGCTCATGACTGATTTTGCTGAACCACCTGTATTATGATTCTAAAGAACCATGTCATAAGAGAAGGTATTATTCACCATGCTATCGACAGTCCGCTTGTAGCATCTGTGCCTTTCTCTTCAAAGCTGACCCTTTCAAAGGAAAATCCTCCGTTTATAAGTGTAGAACAAGTCAAGCGTAGCACTTCTGTGATTTGATGATTGCTTCAAGCCCTCCTCGGTCTCCTCGAAGACTGCCCACTCGAAAAGTTGAAGTTCTACAAAAAGGCCATCTTTATGAAAAACCTCAGTTTCCTCCAAGACCATTAGTAACTTTTGATATAACTGTTGGCCATCTGCATGCAAATATTGCGATATCGCAATGAAGAACCTCCACTCGTCCACCTCATATTCTTCGAGGCGGTCACCGTACTTCTGTCGGATAGGCTTGAATAGATTGTTCCCCGCGGCGATTTGGTTTCCTTGGATCGTATCAGTCTCAAGGAACTCGAAGAAGATCGTGTATTTTTCTGGGTTGGTGATGGAGCTTATTTTTATCGTTTGCTGTCAGTGGTCAGCTGCGTTGTAGGTTGATGTTTGTGATGGGAGCTGGTTCGTGGAACAGGACCACGCATGGTCTGTTTATATGCCTGGGTGAGTGCACCCTTGGCACTGATGAGACCGACTCCTGCGAAGAATGTCAACGGTGATCAAGTACTACAGCAATCGATCGTTTCTGAATGACTGTATGGAGGTTCAGCTCATCACGCTGTCTACACCCTTCGATTCAGCGTAAAAAGTCCGTCTTAATCGCTCACAAAGAGGGAATTCTGTTCCAAAGCTGATTGAAAGACGAAATGATTGAGATTAAGAGGTGAGAAAGATATAGTTCTGACAATGGCCATCGCTCATGTTCGGATCATTTGTTCACTCACTTAGCCAGAGTTCAATCAACTTTGATAACTTTTCTGCCATGAGACAAGTTCAACAGCCTCGCTTACGTTCCAACCAGCTTAAGATTTGGCTATGCATTCCGTGAACGTTTATGTGGTTAACACGAGATGATATAGATCTGTTGCTTTGTCTCAATACGTAGGACAGAGGCCCAGGAAACCAACGCCTATTTGCCTCTCGACCCTTTCTGTTGAGGCCCTCATGCAAAGTGAACAAAGAATAAATTCATTAGCAAGGTCTATTTGATCAAGTCGAAACAGCATCCATGACCACGCCTTATCCATCCACATCGACATGGGACCTTTCGTCTCTCATCACTGTTCATCACACCTTGTCTTTGATTTCCTCCATTCTGGCACCGGAAGCTGGAAGTGGACTGCTAGGAAGCGCTTGTGTCTGGTGGAGCAGGAACTGTGAAATAGTCACACTCGCCGTTGTCTTTTATCCTGACACCAAAAACCGCGTGAGCCTCCCACTCGTCGAAAACCTTCATCTTCTCAAGGACTTTCCACAACTTCCCCACAGCCTTGTCTGCGGTGCTGAACTCAATATCCAACATATATGTGAGTAGACCCTTCTCGAGATTGACCTCTTGTCGGCCTCCAGAGCCATATTTACGGACAAGGGGATCATCTTTTGGTTCTCGTCCTGGTTTGACTCCAGCTTTTGGTTGGAACTGTGCAGTCATCTGGCGGTACTTTGGTTGGCCCATGTTGGGAGAGAATGATGATGATAGGGATTGATTGATAAAGTGGTTTGGTTTGGTTTAGCGTTGGTGATGCGTTGAGTATGTGTGTTGTCCTGCTGAGTCTGTTGTGAGTTTCGATGGAAAGCATCCGAGCATGGCGTGTTCATATAGGTAGATGGACTCCAGTGCTCCTTCCATGAGAGCTCATTTACGCCGAAATCAACGCAGTGATTTAGGTACGGACAAGCAATTTACGGCATATTCAGCAACAATATGAACAGTGATTTGGGTGTTTAGCTCGAGAATCTGGCAAAGTCAGTGATTACTCACTGTTCCTGAAGCCTGGAGTCTGGTTTGGGCAGCCAAGTGACCAGGACCGTGTCTTCGGGTGAATCTGCCCTGAATAACTCACAACACGCGCTATCTATCTGTATCACCCCTTCCAGTGCACAATTTCTCAACTTATCGCTACAGTCTATTACGCAACAGCAACCACGGGACTTTCCTAACATGGGTGTTATGCTCATCATTGGCGAGCATCATTTATCCTCCTCTCTCGGCCTGCCTGGTTAAACCAATTCTCTCAAAGCCTCCTAACTTAAATCTTCTCAAGCGTGTAAGAGTGGATAAGACCAGCGAACGGCAACCACCCATTTACCCGGCGAGTAGCGATACATATGCCATTCACTATCACATAAGGGATGAGTCGCAAGTCAAGGGGATTCCGAGATCAAAAGAAGTGGAGCGTTTTTGTATTAATTACCTATAGGCTCCTAACTCACACTTTCACCATTGGTTGTTTGGGTAACACATCGTCTCCTCCTGTGGTCATTTCCTGTGTCCCAAACCATCCACCCCTCCCGCAGAGCGTGTGGTGCAAAGTTGCAAATTTGTTATGCCTACTGGCCTGGGTAGGGGTTTCCCAAGGGGTACGAACAGTGATTGTCCGCATGCAGAACCATGATTCTTTCCGCCTCCCAAGTCTTGAAAACATCAGTCGCCTTGAGCTTGGGCCAGAGCTCTTCCTTCATCTGCTCATATGTGTCGCAGCTCTTTTTGATAGTAATGGTGAGGTGGTTCTTTCTGCTATCATTATAGGCGACGTTTTCCATGCCGTAGTGCTCTTGTAGCTCTTGGAGGAGTACCTGCTTTTGATGTTTCTTACCCGCCTTCAACTTGAAGTGGATCTCGATTGACTTAGTCTGAATAGCGGCGGACATTTTGGTAGTTGAGATTGTTTGTGGTAAGTGTTTGTGAGGTGAAGTTTATGATCTGAGTGTGTGTTCGATTGTTGTTGAGTTGAGCTGGGAAAGTTCAGGCTAGGGTATATTCAAATAGCTGGACGAGCTGCCATTGTTCGTGACGAACGACGGAAGGAATCACCAGTAATTCAGTCATCAAGGAAACACCGTGACACGTTAGATGCAAGAGTCACCAGTGGTACTGCTCATATCACCGTAATTAACAGACATCTGAGGGAAGTCCCCTCCGTTCACAGCTTCTCGTAACACTGATTCATTGATCCGGAACCGCATGAACGGGGATCAAGGACCACTACTTGTTTCTCTGAATGATCAAGACCCAAGTCCCATTGCTACAAGGGTGTGTGGTCTGTCCCTTGAGGAATCGACTACGATTACGCTTCTGTTATGCCCCGACTCTAGTATCTCTCTTTATATTGCACTGTTTTACAAACAGTTCCTCCGAGTCTTATCTTGTCTCGCTAAAAGGCTCACTCTCCTGGTCAGTCATTATTCTGAACTTAGAAACATCAATAATATGGGATAAGCAAACACGAAGTACATTTAAGTAGCCAGTCAACGTAGGGTCTTGCGCAAGTGCATTGTATTACGAGTTGCTCCCATCACTACACCCCCCTATTCAGCCTAGGTTCCCATTTCCTGCAGTTTATCACGCAACATCAACCGTAGAATGTGCCACCTTCTCAACATGGGTACTGTCCTCATCATTCACATCCATCGTCTTACCCTTCTCTTCCGGTCCATCCAATTTCACGTCTTCTCCAAACGCTTCCTGAATCCTTTCAAGCGTGTACCCTTTCGTCTCGGGGTAAAGCCACCAGAAGACAACAATCTCGACCAGTAGCCAACCAACATAAACAAGATAGTACTTCCAACCCAGAGAATCCATACCAACAGGGTTGACGAATTGATTGAAGAACGAAGCTGCTTTCGTGGAGAAAACCAGAATACTCAGTCCCATGGCTCGAAGTCGAAAGGGCAGAATCTCAGTGGGATACAAGAACAAAAGCGGGTTGAGGCAGATATTGAAAGACGTGTAGTAGATAAAGATGAAAGCAAGAGCGGATTTGCTCGCTGCTTTTGAGCCGGTCTCGTTGTATATCGCGATGCTTGCAGTTAGTGCTGAGAATGTGAGAAACATTGCGATGCCACCTCCAACGAACATGGAACGACGGCCCACTTTGGTGGATAAGACAGCGGCGAAGAGAGCGGTGGCATAATTGACAGTGCTGATGGTTCCGTTGAGCATAGTCTGTTCGCGTTGGGTTGCAATGC